AACGATATTGACTTCATCTTTTAGGAAATTTATCGCAGCCCAATCATTTCTCGAATCAATTGCTGGACAACCTTGCAGATCTCCAGGGTGCTAAACCACATATTCGCGTCGGTGGAAATACCCAGTGAGAGGAATTGATATTCGCGAACCTAACAATAATGCTATTTTCTAATACCTGCTGTCATAGAGATTTGGCTTTGTACGACCCCGATCTGAAGACTTCAATCAACGGAACGGTAGTTCCTTCTCTTTCGACCGATTATCCATCTATCATATATATTGGAGATTCATACTTCGAGTCCTATTCAACATGGCCAGGAACTAAATTCAGCCACGGATTCAATCTTGGAAAAAATGGGACAGCGGGGATGAACACCCTTTTGGGTACTGTCCCTCTTGCCTGCAAGGCTCTCAAAGATGGAAAGCTTGCCTACTGGGAGTTGGGAAATGAGCCCGACTTGTTCACGGCTTATCCTGCCCGTCCGGCCGACTGGGATGAGAAGTCTTATGTTGATGAGTGGTTGGCCAAGACAAAAATCATAAAACGACAGCTTAAGAAAAGTTGCCCGGAGCTGGCTACATATTCAGCCTATAAGTATATGGCACCGTCATTTGCTGGTCTCTCTAATGGCATGGACCCTGTCAAAGCGTGGCAGGCAGGACTAGATGATGATCATGACATTGGATTGAACTCTATGCACAAGTAAGAAATCCAGAAAAACGCTTTCAAAACCTTGGATTGAATATTTCTTGCTGACATTCTCAGCTATATTGGGGGTGCAGACCAGCCCGGTGTGACTCTGGCGAAGACCCTGATGAACCACACGTCAACCGTCCACAGTGTTACTCAGCATGTCAACTTATCTCGCGTGCTCAACGAACAAGGACTGACAAAAGATATACCCTACATCCTTGGCGAAACAAACTCACTCTACCACCAGGGCAAGCCTGGGCTTTCCAACTCCTTCGGCGCTGCTCTCTGGGGAGTCGACTTCAACCTATACTGCGCATCGCAGAGTATCCGCCGAACCCACATGCACCAAGGAACGAACTATCGTTACGCCTCTTGGCAGCCAATTCAGACTGACAAGGCCACGATAGGCACTAAGGCTCCTTACTACGGCAATGTTATGGTGGCCGCTATGCTGCGGGGTGGAGACTCCGATAGCGAGAGCAACAGCCCACAAGTCCAAGTCGTTAGTCTGCCGATGTCCCACGAAACAGACGCCGCATATGCTGCATATGTGAGTGGAAACCTTGCTCGAATTGCTGTGATAAACATGCAGGAGTATAACTACACCGGCACAGGGGAACCGGCAGCTCGGCGACCTTCGGGTAAGTATACCTTCCGTTTGTCCGATATCTCGGTCAGATCCCTATCAGTGCAACGACTCCTGGCAAATGGTAGCGACTCCATTTCAGGAATATCGTGGGATGGCTGGTCCTATAACTATGAATTGAAAGGGGGTGCACCCGTGCGGTTGGGAAATATCACCATTGGTGAGACTGTGAACGTTGGGGGTCGGGGAGAGGTGGAAGTTGAGCTTCCATACTCGAGTGCTGTTATCTTGAGCCTAGATTCTTAGTTTCCCTGTTTCCATGCTTCTCTTTTCCCTGTCTTATGGCGATCGTGGCTTCGTATCCCTAGATAGATTCACACTATTTGGGACTTGGGACACATGTGGCGTTGGGGAAGACCAGATCGATCTGCTATCGTGAAATCTAGATTCATGTCGGAATCACTCTACGGAGTAGCATGACCAAAGCTTGACTTGCAATCCCGAGTCATCTAGATGACATTTTCGTCTGAAACAAGCGAGTTCGTGAGTCGTGGAATACCAATTATGGGGCTATTTGTGGAGATTCAACCAGCCAGCAAACTAAACTAGGACGTAATTAAGAACGCTAAGCGGTCTGCATTTGAGTTCTAAAATCCACGGAATCAAATCCCGCGCCTAAGCAGTTGGAGGCCTAAAAATCTAAAGATCCACAGTTTTTGACGGTGGGTTGAAAATCAGAAGTCGATTCGCAATGCAATTCCAAATCCCAAAGCTTGCCCGCCTCGCCCTTCCTCTCGCCGATCACAGAGAGCCGTTCATCCAGTAGTCACCGCTATAGTTTCAGCCTCATGCCCAGCCCAGTCTGTGTTAGGAAGAATCAGACCGGGTGATCAAAGCCTGCTTGAATAACGACTGGGAACACCCGGGTCTCGAATGCCGTAAAGCCTACGATTATTGTCCAATGACGGTATGTACTCTGCAAATCCATGCAACCATTTCCCGGTACCAGGGATTTGCCATCTGTAACAACCCTGCAACGGTGACACGAACAGAAGGACTAGAGGGGCAAACTGGTACTTTTGTCTTCGACTCGGGCCTAGGCTAGTATGCGCGCGCGCGATGCAAACAGACTCTCATCGGCCATAGGCACCAGTGCAGGGCTTGGTTGTTGTACAGCCCGAGGAACATGTACGAGTATCAGGCTTGGCCCCCGCTCGCTACGCAAGGGGCGCGTCCTTTCTACGCCACCTGCGTCGATGGTGAAGAGAGTTAGGCGGTGGTACGTCGCCATCTTCAAATACGGGGTTAATGATGGTTCCGCCTGTTTGGCTTTTGGGTCCTTTTGGCAGCGGAAGCTACTGTGAATCATTTCAAAGCGGGTTATAGTTTGCCAAGTGACCCTGAACCGAAGAAGCTGAGCCATTCGTTGCATTGGGGGCATTTTACCAGTTTCTGTTTCTTCCCCTCACCCCCCCTAAATCGTGCAAAAGGGGGGGGGGGTTACGGCATGCCTGCATCTGCAGACCCTTGTCAAAATGATTTTGACTGCTTCTTGGCTTCGTTTTCCAGTGCTGTCGAAAGTGGTTTCCGCTCGAATGAATGGTCCAGGAAAAGTCTCCCGGTTGCATGGAGCCAGGCGAGATTGCAATAGTTAGATTGTCTACGGCAAAAGCAAAACCGTTCTGGAGGGCCAGGATCTTGGTTGTTGCAGCGGTAGGCAGGACCTCGGGAGTGGAGGAGTGGATGAATGGAGTGCAGTCAAAGTCACTGCTGCATCGCAGAGTTCGGTCACGTCGGTGGCACCGGCTGCGTTTATCGACAAAAAGTGGACGGGAGTATATGCAACTTCCGATCATTCATCATCCTTTGACGGCTCAGACCAGCTACCCTCATTGTCGATCAACCGAGGGGACTTCGACTGTCGATCCGGGGTCTGAAAATTGATTTTAATGGGTAGCCTTGTGGAATTATAGATTTCTTCGTCGTTTTATCGGCCGTCGCCGTTTGACTATCGGTTTTGCCTCGGCCGAGGTTCCACTTTTAATTCGCCCAAGCGTGGAGAAGGCCCACCTCTGGAAGGACTTACGGTCGTCAGCGTGACCTCGGGGTTTGATGTATTTGTCAAAAAAAAAAACAGAGCAGATTATTTCGGGGTCAGCAACCAATTATTCTCGTGCATAGTGGGGTGTCAAAGTCGAGCCTTGTGGCAGACCCCGAGATTTACCATTGTCGAGACGAAAAGAGAGGAGGAAAAAAACAATTTAAAAAAAAGACCACCGATCCGCCTCACCGGGCCTGCCAAGCCGAGCTCCGTAGGGTTGAATAAGCTCAAGATTCAATGGTGGATTTTAAATCTCTCGGGGAAGCCTAGGCGGTTGTCCATCGGTCCGTCTATACTTTCTTCCATTTCGAGGACGCTCGCTCCTCCGTTGATTGAACTCTCGAAATCACTCTACTGTACAGCTCTATATCGGAGCAACCTTCCGGTTCGGACTTCATTTGAAATTAGATCCGTGCACGGATGATCATAGTTGCCATTATGTACAAGTACGGAGTCCGTATCCGGTGGACCTTGCCAGTGGCTATCGTAAGGTTAAGGGTAGCAGCATCGAACTCTCTGTATATTGTCTATAGGCTACCGGAAGAGGCGAGATATTTCTAGCTGCATACAGAGTATACATACTCCGTAATACTTCAACCGTTCTAGAGCTGAAAATGATCTGGCTTGCAGATGGTGATTTCAGAGGCGCTTTGGCCAGCCATTCTGTGGGGATCTCCGAGACGTGGCTGATACGAGGCCCAAGATCGGCGATCCCATAATATGATTGGTAGGGATAATATTTCCCCACCAGAAGACTGAGCAATCAGTCGATCTAGTACATTAAGCTGCTTCTGTCAACTGGAAGACCCCTGGCGGGCGAAGCGTGATTTGTTGGCTTCCCAACGGAAGACGCGGGATAGATTTCACCGTCGTGTCTTCGGTGCATCCGATGATCTGATCGTTGAACGATTCGACCCAAGCAACTTGAATACATCACCTTGAGAAGGGTCTTTGTGTGGCTAGTGGCTTGTTGTCCAAGCGTAGGATCGACTGGCGTCTATACTAAGTTGAGATAATCTCGGAAACCCCACATATCCTATCCGACCTTCTAACCGTGGTTCGCTGGGAGGGACTTCAACAAATTATAGCATGCCAAAAACAGGAAAAACCAGCAGGCCCGGCTTGCCGTGTCCAAGCGGGCTGGGCCTAGTTAGACTCGTCGATTGTTGTTGTGGGACCAGTGCACCGACGATCCGATCGCGAGCCCAAGAGATCGCTCTTATTGCCACCGGCTAGTCGCTGCCGCAGATATTCCTTTTGTCCTTGCATTAGCCAATTCGCATGCCATGGAAGCATCGGGGCGCGACCTGTGGGGCTATTGTACTTTATGGTCCCCCCCGTCCATGTATAATTGCTTTGCCCTCCACTACTGGTGTCGGGTGCTTTATCCACCTTTGATTAGTCGTGCTCTCAGGTGCGTTCCACGCCAGGGGTCTGCTTCGCTGCGAGAGTAGAACAGACAAATATCTGAAAAAGAAGCTCTGCGCTGTTGGTGTGTTGAATATTCAAATTATTCACCCCGTGCCGAACAAGCATACACGACATCTCCACAGCAGATCGATCCATATTTCACCAGTGAAGCGCAATAAGATTCGTCACACTTTCTGCCCATCGAAGAAATGGGTACCAAAAGAACTCACCTGGAGCTCGGAGAGATGGAACGGCGTCATTCAGATACCTCCGTGCCCCAGTCAAACCACACCGTAAGTCGCATGTTTCTAGGACCAGCATGCATCCCATATCATACTAGATATTGATTTGAATATCTACAATAGTTGCAATATCTAAATGCTCTTCATCCGCATTATGCCATTATCTATCTCGATCAGCATGGAAAGCCTCGCATCGAATCTTCCTCCTCCTATGCCGAATCATCGGCCTCTTCCGCTAGCGATAACATCTTCATCCGACCCGATGTGACAGAGCAATTCATGAAAATAATTCCACCAAATCTTCAATCGATGCCATATACACCGAGTAAGCATGACGATAATCGGACAGCAATGTGGAATCATTTGACTGATCTGTATCGCTACTACTAGTAGACCCGAACCAAGGATCCATTTCACCATGGAGTGCTCAACCTAACTCTGGCTGGATGAATGCTGGCCCTGTGAGACCCGCAGAAATGATTCCTTGCGAATGGCAATCTAGCCAAAGCCGACGAAAGCGACAACGCCCTACGGCAAGAGATCTTCCAAAATCCATTTCCCCCCCACCGACAGCGGCACCGTGTCGAACAGTCCTCCGAGTGGGTGATCGGGATACCCTGCGAAGTTATTATACGAAGGCATTTGAGGATTTCCAGCAGCTGAATTGTCGTGCCATTGCAAAGTCATACGTCAAGCTGGTCGAGCCCCGAAAACAGGTGCATTTTCCATACAATGGACGCAAAATGATCGCAGGGGTATCGCAACGCGTCGATCCGGAAATGACAAAGCCTGGTTGGTGGCCCGAAGGCGTATGCCACAAAGAACCGGACCACCTCCTCAAGACTCGTAAGATCAAGGATATCATGATACAGATAAAGATATACTGACCAAAGTAGCTCGCCTTAAACTATTAGTCCATATCCTCTGTGAGCTTAAAGACAGCCATGGAATAACAGCAGAAAAGCTTTGTGAAGCTGGCCAGGATGTACGACGACAGATTACCCCAGCTAGCAGGCTCGAAGTACTGGACGAAATTTATTTCGTGCGTCAAATGGAGGAGCAATTCATTGACGGAGAGCTTGGTGAGCATTTGGATCTCAAATATTCGTTCTTCTGAAAAGGGCTAACAAAACGCAGATGCGAACACATCGATTCAGGTGTTCCATACTCAACTCGCAGAGCCTGACAACCAGGATAGCGAGAGGGCGTCATCAAATCACGTTAATCGGAGTACTGCATCGGACCGGCAAGCGGTGCCTCTCTCGCCGGCTACTAGTGATTCTAGTGGTCCACGCAGTCCAACAAATACCAGTTTCAATGCATACCCCGTCAATTTGGGCCGCACGGAAATCACCCACGAACCCCACACCGAGCATAAACCATTACTACAAACACCGAATTACCTGCCGGGGTATTACCCACAGCACTTTGTTCCTACCGACAAACCTTCGACCGAATACTGGCCGAATGTCCCTCCCATGCCGGATGTATCTCAGTACGGTTACTGATCAAATTGGAAAGTGTCTGCGTTTCTTTTCTTCTTTTTCCATATACATTACCTTTGGACTCGAACGGGCGATGGCCACGAGTCATGAACACGAGCATGTGTCTTTTTGGGATGGTGTTTTGTGTGGTGTGTTCAGAAGCGAATCTTTCTCAAATTGTAGTACTACACAGAATACGCATTCGAAAGGAAATAGTCATTTGGGTTGATTAATTTCCGGTCATAATTTTAAAACCCTGCCCTGTAACATTTCCCAAAATAAATGGTACTGCTCAAAGCTCCATTGTACCTAGATATCGCCTACAGTCTCGGGATAATTGAGTTAAAATCCGCCCCACTGGTAAGAGATCTGTATGTTGCTTTCTCCAGCTCGATTAGAAGTGAGGTGACAGCGGCATCACCAGGGGGCATTAATTGCGTGAAAAGAGCACCTGCTATGCCAGTCTTGCGATCAATCCACTTCAATTCGTAATCAGCATTTGGAAAAAAAACAGAAATTGATATTCCTTCACGAAAGCAAATATAGAGAGAAAACATACCCAGTGTAAATTTGGCAGCCCACTCCAGTTGACAGTACCGGCCTTTCTGCGACCAGGGATATCCTTCAGATTAATCGTACCCCCAAGACAATGGTCTGCTTGATCAGTGTGATCCACACTATTAATTCCCAATATCCGACTCATCTGAAGGCCAAGCGATTTCGGCATAGCTAGGCGCGATGAATTACTCAAATGTGGTTGGAAGAGAATATCAATGCCGTTATGAGACAGTATTGGGTCTCCACCTTTCAGAAGTGCAGCAAGCAGCTTCATGTAATCGCTAGGTGTAGTAAAAAGTCCAATTCCACCCAGGCAGTCTCTGGCAGGTTGTTGAAGAGTTATAGGCCCTTCTTTAACGGATTCAGAGCCGTGGCCGACGTTTACCCGGTATCCCATTTCGAATGCATCGGGAAGGGTCTTGCGACGTCGCTCAGGGTGGAAAGTGGTTGATGTTGCTCCTATCTGGGACCAAATATTTTTCTGCATGTAATCTTCAAGAGTTGAGTTTGAAACGCATTCGACCTGATAAATATTAGTGTTTGGATAGCGAGAGCATAATTATAAGTAAGAATGCATACAACCCGGCCAGCCCAGTCGAGGCCAGCTCCGTATGCCCATGAGGTGCCTGGCTCAAATATAAGTGGATGTTTATAGCCGTCCTGCCCAGGTGGGAAGAAAGTAAAATAGATATTAGTCTCCCGCTTTCAGAAAACCGATGTTTCAAGACCAACTGACCATGCTCCCACAAAATGTATGTGCTGTACGCCCGTGGAACTTAGACCATTTCTTTAAAAGTGGCGAAGAGCTGTCATACACAAAACCAGCCGTATGGCATAATAGATCACTGAATTCATTCAAAATTTCAGTTGATATCTGTGACCGATATGTTTTGTATTGGTTTCTTTGCCTACCGGATTGTGAGTTTCCCTTGCACCGGCTCGAGGCGTGGTAGAAAGGTATCGGAAGGCCCATCATTATCTAGCATGGAAGGTTAGATGTATTGCAAATAAAAGAAAGTATCGCGGGAGAGTCACTTCTTTCCATATCGCGAAGGATTTTAACTTCTTTGAGTTCTGGTACATAGTCTCTGGCATCATCATCAAGTGATAATAGATTTTGCTCCACGAGCTGCATTATAGCAACACCGGTTACCAGTTTTGTCATTGATGCAACCCAGCACAATGAGTCCAGTTGAGGGGCTGTTGGATTTCCATCCTTGAAGGTTGCTCTCCCACTTGTCCGTTCATATATCGTTTTGCCTGTCTATGAGTGTCAAGGATGCACGTATGGTAGCTACTAGTAGAATTCCGGTGACCTCGGGGCAGAAAGACTAGATCGAGAGTAACGAGAAAGCGGGAATTATTCTTACCAGTGCTGTCGATAACAACAAATATTGCGCCATGCAATGAACCTGTTGTCGGATCTGTGAAACCGTCGAGAATGCGGGTGACCTCATCCATGGCTTTTATAGGGAACCTCTGATCAGGTCATCGATCCAATCCTATGAATTTACTATCTCAAGAGCATAAGCAAAAGCTAGCCCTTTCAAATTGAAAAAGAGGTTGTATGAACTTGGTTCCGCCGATTTTCTGGGGTGCAGGTGGGGGCTTGAGCATCCGGATAACCGAGGTCGCTGTCAAGTTTGACAGGAACGGGGCCGAGGTTGTGGGGTCATTGATAATGTGAACAACTTAGCATCGGCGATCACCGAACTGGAGAATGAGACTTAGTCTAAAGACTCTCAATTTCGTGCTCAAGTTGTAGCAGCTTAGGTATCAGAGACTCGCCGATTTATGAGCTAGTAAGAGCTCCTATGTCGACCCATACATGAAAAAGGTCGATGGGAGTGTTAGGGTATGGGGAATTCTTGGTGAAGATACTCCTCATCGAGGAGTGATTGGTGATTTTGAGATACGTTCTCAAGAGACGGACTACTCATTCTCGGTGATTTCTGGCTTAAATTGAAAGGCTTCCAACTTCAAGGAATAGAGAGCTCAAAAGTGGCAAATAGAACTGTGTAGGTTGATGGGTTAACCTATACTACTAGTACCATTTGGGACGGAAAAAAAAAGGGTTCACGACTCGAAATACATACCTAGGTACTACCTAGGTAATATGTTAGGCTTCTGAACATGAGCTTATTTCCTTTTCGGGCTTGTATTGCTCAGTTGCTGATTTCTATCACCTCAGGCTCCGGGGCTGTTATCTTTTGCTTTCTTGTTTATAAGTATATTCAAGTTATTTCCGGTGCTTAGTAGTACTAGTAGCCTATACTACCTACTAGGTAGTAGTATTGGCCTTAGCTCGCTTATTGAAGCTTGGGCATAGTTATACTACTAGTAGTAGTTACCTAGATACTGGTAATGGCTAACTGGTGCTATATATAGCATCTCTGGCCTGGGTAAGCCTCACTCAAGCCGAGGTCACGGTAAGTCACGGTATCTAGGTAATACTAGTAGTAGTTACGAAGTACTATCTTTAATTTTACACTGTGTTCTTTAATATCATTATGTACTTAAGGTACCTAGGTATTAGTTACGGTGGGCTAGTCACCTGCCTACATGATCCACTATGATTGGCCGACCCGACAACAGCTCCTCTGCAGCTCCTTAACCAACCACCAGTCACCGCCAGACCACATTTCCCATTTACCTTCTCTGTTTTGTTGTTTCTTCCCCCTCACCATCCTTTCAAGTTGGAGAACATCCTTTCTCAAACCACCCAAACGGTGTGCCACTATCTCCGTTTTCGTGCTGCGTGATCGACTGTGGTCTCCCCGCGTGAACCCTGGTTGTGTTTGGAGGCGGCTTCGTGATCGGGTCTCAAGGTAAAGTCACTACTAGTATATCCCCTCCATTTAAACCTTGCCTTGCTCAAAGCATCTTCTCCTTTGCAACATACTATTATATATGCGCCTTCTTGGGAATCTCTCATCATGGGGATGCTAACATTTGCTCGTTTCCTCAGCCGGCCTTACCCTCACTATCAAGACGGCCCTACCATCTTCTCCTTCCAACAACAGTTCCTCATGCAGGACGCCAGCGCGCGTGAGCGTAGAAAATCGTCCACCGGCACCATGGCTTCCGAGTCTATTGCCTCCACTCCGCTTCTCGAACCTCTCGATAACCCCTTCCTTGACGACTATGACCACGATGATTATTACTCCCCTCCAGCTTCTCCCAAACTGTCGCGCTCCAACAGTAGCTCCTATCAAGAAGACTGGGAGACCTTCCCGCCTCTTGATAAGCTCAGCATCTTCGATCTGCTCGACAATATCCAGCTCACACAGCGCTTTGAGAAATGGCAACACGCGATCAACCTGCAGAAGGAGAAGGTCCAGAAGCAGCGCGAGAAGCTTCGGACCACCGGCCAAACCGCTAGAAACCGCGTGGTGGGCGAGTTCAAGCGTCGCGTTCCGACCGCCGATGAACAGCTCGACAAATATCGCCGTCGCATGAAGACCGGTGTCGAGCGCTTGGGTAAACAATGGAGCAAGACAGCGACCGTTACCTTGCGCGAGAAGACCTCTTTCATCGCTGGCGTGCTCAACATTTTCATCAGCGGCTATCTGATCGGTGCTTGCCCAGAGTACTTCTACTATTGGTACACCCTGCAACTGGCCTACTTCATGCCGATCCGCTACTTCACCTACCACGCCAAGGGCTACCACTACTTCCTCGCCGATCTCTGTTACTTTGTCAACGTGCTTTGCATGCTCTGCGTCTGGGTATTCCCGTCCTCGAAACGGTTGTTTATTGGCACCTTTTGTTTAACGTTCGGAAATAATGCGGCGGCCATCGCAATGTGGCGCAACTCACTTGTTTTCCACAGTATGGACAAGGTTGTCAGGTATGTCCTCTGGGCCGATTCATTCTCTTTCGGACATAAACTAATGAGATACCATCCAGCACCTTTATCCACATCATGCCTCCTGTTACCCTGCACTGCATGGTCCACTTGACGCCAGTGGATATGCTGAAAGAACGATTTCCCGCAATCTACTCGATCAAGTTCAGCCAGCCCGGTGACCCGGAGCACTACTCACTTGGTGCGATGATTATTTGGGCCACAGTACCCTATATCGTCTGGCAACTGGGATACCATTTCCTGATTACCGTACGCCGCGCCGATCAGATCGCCGCGGGACGTCCGACCAGCTTCACCTGGCTCCGAAAGTCCTACGCCAAGGCTTGGATCGGAAAGCTTGTTTTGAGTCTGCCCAACGCTCTCCAGGAGCCAGCCTTCATGTTCATTCAGTATGGGTTTGCTTTGTCGACCATGATCCCCTCGCCGATCTGGTTCTGGTACCGCTGGGCGAGCGGTCTTTACATGGCGGCCTTGTTCACCTGGAGTATTCACAACGGCGCCACCTATTATATTGACGTCTTTGGCAAGCGCTTCCAGAAAGAGCTGGAGCAGCTGAAGCAGGACGTTGCACGATGGCAAAGCTCGCCCGAGGGTGGCGGCGTTAGCCCATATATTTTCCCGGATAGTGCCTCCGATGCTTTGAACGCACCGGTCCCACTCGAGAAACGGAACAGCGTCGATCGGATCCCACTTCTGGATCCGATGGCGGTAGTCACCACTGGCACCGAGGACCCGGCCAAGACCGATTCCATGCTTCGAGAGAGAAATTAAAGTTGTGGGGATACCCCCTTTCCATTCGTTTATGATACCCTAGGCGTGCATTCATTTCTTCCCGCGTTATCGCCATACACTGTTGAATCTACCCTACCTGTTCTTGCGTTGTTGTTATCTGATTTGGCGGTTATGCTTTCTGCCGGGCGAGTACATAGAATGAGGTTATTGGATGAGCCGTTTGACGATGTCACGATGATCTATATTAATTGATCTACGCATATACTAGTGATAATTTCCCTACCGTAAACTACAAAGCACCTGCTGGACACTAATTTATAACTGCAGGGGTCTAGACTTCGCCACTGCTGAGCGGCAATTAACTCCGACGCATCTCCGAGGCTAAAGGTCACGTGCGATCAACGTGATCGATTGGATTCCGGCGTCACAACATCCTGTCGGGCCGTTTCCAGTCGTTTTTTCCATCCAAATTCGGTCTTCAATTTATTTTATCATCATATCCATCGCGCGAATATCGTGGTCCAACCGCTTAATCGTTGTTGCGCATCCCGCAATCCCCCTGCTCGACTCTTCGAACCTCTCTTCCTTTTCTCCCAACATTTCCGCAAATGTCCGCCACAATGAGATCCGCTCGTCTGGTGCGCAATGCCTCCGCTTTGCGCCCGGCATTGACCGGTAAGATCGATCTCTAAGATTATGAATATTTGCGACAACTGTAATTGACTTTTCGATGCGCTACAATAGCTCGTAGCCGTGCTACTGCCCTTGGCCCAGCGTCTCTGGCCGCGGCCAGCAGCCTTCTCTTCAATGGTCGCGGAATTCCATCGCAAGTCACTGCTCTCGCTATCTTGATCCCCCATCAGCGGGCATACTCTACCGAACAGACCTCCACATCCAACTCCTCTCAGTCATACCCCCCTCCCGGCTTCAATGCCGAAAATGCCAAGATCCCGCTCCCCCAGGAGCAAGCGCAATCCCAATCAGCTGCTCAAACGAAGCAAGACGTGAAGGCGCCTGCGCAAGAGGGCACTGGCAAAGCTACTACGGCCCCCGAAGAGAAGAAGATCGAGGTCAAGAAGGATGTCAAGAAGTTGACCATCGGCCAAAAGATTAAGAAGGAGGCCCAGCACTACTGGGATGGCACAAAGCTGCTTGCTACAGAGGTCAAGATCAGTTCGCGTCTAGCACTGAAGATGGCAGGTGGATATGAGCTAAGCCGCAGAGAGCACCGCCAGGTTCGTTAGAAATGCAGAGCGTCGAGGGTCGTGGAATCAGATTGGCTAACATGTGTTTTTGGAACAGCTCCAACGCACCACCAAGGATCTGGGTCGACTTGTCCCCTTCTCGATGTTCCTCATCGTTCCCTTTGCCGAACTCCTGCTCCCAGTCGCCCTGAAGATCTTCCCCAACCTGTTGCCCAGCACCTATGAGGGCCAGAGCGCTCGCGAGAAGAAGGCTCTGAACCTGAGCTCGACCCGCAAGGAAGTCTCCAGCTTCCTGCGCAACACCCTGCGTGAAACCGGCCTGCCCTTGACCGCTGCGACCGTGAAGAACGACGAGTTCACCGACTTCTTCCGCAAGATCCGCACCACCGGCGAGTCTCCCTCGACCGAGGACGTTATCAAGGTCTGCAAGATCTTCAAGGATGATCTGACCCTGGACAACCTGTCCCGTCCGCAGCTGGTCGCCATCTGCCGTTACATGAACTTGAACTCGTTCGGCACCGACGCCATGCTCCGCTACAATATCCGTCACCGCATGCGCCAGATCAAGCGTGACGACCGCGCCATATTCTACGAAGGTGTGCAGTCACTCTCTGTCCCGGAGCTGCAGATGGCTAGTGCCTCCCGCGGTATCCGCACACACGGTGTTTCTCCCGCTCGTCTGCGTGAGGATCTCACCATGTGGCTAGACCTCCGTCTCAAGCAGGGTGTCCCGTCTACCCTGCTCGTTTTGAGCAACGCCTACATGTACACCCAGGGCGGCAAGGAGTCCGAGATGGCTTCGCAGGTTGACGCCCTGAAGTCTGTTCTCTCCAGCATCCCCGAGGAACTCTTCCACGAGATTGAGCTCGAGGTTCACAACGCCGAGGGCGCTGCCACCAACAAGCAGCGTCTGGAGGTTATCAAGGAGCAGGAAGAGCTGATCGAGGAGGAGAACGAGCAAAACAGCGAGAACGAGGGCAAGGGTGTCTCCGCCCCCAAGGATATCGAGGATATCGATGAGAAGGAGGAGGCCAGAATCGAGGCTGCTGCCGATAGCGCTGCCAAGCAATCGGCCGAGGCCAACGAGGCCATGAACGAGGGCGTCAAGGCTGAGGAAACCCCCAAGGCCGAGAAGAAGACGGGCCAGAGCTCGTAAGCTGTACTTCACTATACACATGTCTCTTTTATTCGTTTGGCTGCGATTTGCTTTGGGGCTTGCACTGTTGATCATATAGACTTTCTTTTTACTTCTCCGGTCTGGTCCTCCCCTTCGGTTCTCATCTTGTGTTACTTTTTTTTATTACGATGTTGATAGACTACCCCTCTCCATCCTTTGACTCCCCATCTCCATCTCCACCTATTCGTCTTGTCTGGACATTTGACTGCTGATTCGTTCTTTACTTCCCCATCTTGTCTTGTCCTGGTATCTTCGTTAATTCTTCGCTGCGGAGTCTAGCATTGGAGGTTCCTGATGCAGAACAATAGCTAGTGCTATAGTGTTCTGACAATGAATAGCATGTATCGATAGAAAAATATGTGAAAATTCTCAATTTCCCCATATCCGGACAAAGGTAAGTGACCTTGAAGTTGAAATAGGGCACTACTACTAGTAGTAAGTGGACACCTTCAAAGTTTGGCTATCTCAGGCTGGGCACCCTATCCTGTCGATTTAGAAAAGCTGCTGTATCATACCCGGTGACGTGAGTGTTACCACAGGGATCAGTCCTAATTAAATATAGTAACAGTCTGAAATATTTAGCGAAAAAGTGTGGTGTACTAGTAGTACCAAGGTAGATATAGCTAGTGACTAACTATAGGGCGTAGCTTCTCCTAGTAGTAGTAGGATCCGCAAAGTTAAGCTTATTGCGAAGCACCCATCAGGTGCGAGCCATGCTTTCATTTGCCGCCCCCGGCAATTACTAGTGTTAGCGTATAGTCACGTAACGTAGCTCTTTGTACGTTGCCTTAGACTGTCAACTAGTCTTTCGAAAAGATAAAAGTAGAGCCCATAGACAGTAACCTTTATAACCGCTATCCACCAATCAAATAGTCTTAGGCAGTATAGACTTAGTTAACTATTCTCTCTATCCTATCTCTTCTCTTTTCCTAGATCTTAGTTACTAACTATCCCATCCTTTTATTACTATATTAAATACACCCTGAACCTCACTGTAACGTCCTTAGTACCTCATATCTACATAGGATACCGTTAATCGAAGCCAGTGGATTCTAGCCCACACGAGGCACAGAGCTATATATCCAGTATCAGGATTGTTAATACACTAATAATGCTTACTACCTGGGTATACTGCACATCCGATACGTATATACTGCCCATGGCTACAGTGATTATATTATTAGTTGTTATTTTCCAAGGTAGGCTTCATCATTTTGCTTATCTTAATACGCATCACCTTGATGGGTGTGCGTGCTGGAAGGCTACTAGTAGGAGTCCGGGGAGCGCCTGGCCCCCTGGTACCACCGAGGTATATTATGAGTTCAAGTTACTGAGATAGTTAGCACTGGTACAAAGTACTCAGTTACCGGGGCCTACTACTACCTCCAGGGCTGGCGGTGAGAAGTGCACAGTGGGAGTCCATTCGTTGTTGACGTCTCTCACAAAAGACTTGGACCCTTCCTTCCATCATCACCATTCAATTTCTTTTCTTCCTTCTTCTTCTTCTCCTACCTTAGTACTCTTTCACCTCCCCCTTTCAAGTCGCTCTTCCAATTTATTCAACATCAAGATGATCGACAACAACCCTGGTACCGAGCAAAAGCTTCTCACACAGGCGGACTTCAACAACCCTGAAGTCCTTAACACCATCAACCCCCATCCGACATTTGGTTATTTTCACGGTAAATCTAAAGTTCACACCCGGTTCGGATCCAAACGGAATCAAATCATGTTATACTGACTAGAAATGAACAGGCCCAATCACAAACCTCAAGCTCAAAGGAATACCACTCGAGACCGCACCTCCCAATGCCACTTCATACATTAACCCGATACACTCGGTCGTCTGCGAAGTTGTCGTCGGAGAGAACGGGGAGATATGAGGCAAGTAGTTTCCTTGGCCGGATGAACTGGAAAGCATTTCAACAAGAAACATCCTGGTTCTGGTGCTGGTTCGTTTGTCCTCAACGTTCCACCACGTCTCGTTCAAGAGGCGAGAAGTTTTCAATTAATCCCAGTACTAATTTATGCGTTTTTGCTCGCGTCAGTGTCTATTTATGCCCCCAGAACTCGAAGAGATTACCGCTCTCCAAATCACGCCGCAGAGTGTGCCCTGAAGAAATGGGTATTGCTAGGCGGCTGGCGCAATGCAGTCTACCGACACGAGCCAAGACAAGGATTTAGAGAAATCCCCAAATACTGCGATGCTCTCGAATGGATGGCGTGAGTCTTATCTTCCTTGTCACGTATTTCCTTGTCACTTATTCACGAAGGACATTGACCGGTAGACTGCTAATGTTTAAAGGGCCCTTGATCCGGAATTTGCCGCTAAATTCGGAAGACGTTTCCATCGCGAGTCTAATCATCTCGGATCGGAACTTGTCGAGGGGACAGTAGTTCTTGATAAGTAATCTGGAACCTAAAAATGGACAAGAACATGGAGTGAATCCTCGCCAACTCCGGTGGGGAAGAGAAAAAAAAGGGCCACCGTGATGAAAAGGGTATCAAAGAAGAAAGCTTCTCTGATCAGTCGTCGATATTCATTCCCAAGAGGACGAAAGAGAACTTCGACAAAAAGAGCAGCAACACAATCGTGGGCACCTTTTGGTAGCAAGATGAGTTTTGCCTACCGACCCAAATACTCTTCCTTGCACACTGAAATTGAGGTATGTTCAATGAGTATCCTCCAAGTTCTTGCTAATGTACTATCTACAGGAAACACTCGGACAGCTGCGGCTTTCAGAAGATACCGACCTGCATCCCGAATGCGTGTCAGCGGGTGACCCATAGATTCGGGGGAAATGCTTAAGTGTTAGGTGGTCTGGACACCCTCCTAGCACTTGTGTTGATCATTCAGTCGGGGTTAAGCACATTCATGATTTCTACAGGGCTATTTTCGGAATCCCCCACAACATCAACGCAATCATCGGAAATTAATACGTGCCTCTGCGTCTTTTGCAGGTATTATGCCCAGGATTCCGAATTACTGTCATTTACATCACTCAAGCAACGGGATGGGTTTATTGTTGTTCTGGCATTTAGTTTGTCAGTAGAATGATATTTCTTTCTTCTCTATATATTGTAGCGGGCACATGATTGAACTTTGTAGATAAAAAATCAAGCGCACTCTGCACATCAAGATAGGAGAAGTAAATACATACTAGACGGTCACCTGCATGGCAAATGGCAATCGAAGTGATGCAAGTTGAAGTTGAAGTTAGGGCACTCGGCCCATTAGTCACCCCCGCAGAGCGACCTCGGCCTCGGCTACGAGTTTCCCCTCCGCATTAACTGGGGCTATCAAGTTATACACTCCACATCCCAGTACTACTAGTACTTCTACTCCTTCTACAATGAGAAGGCGTCAACTACACCTACTCCAAATCATTCGCAGATTCACCACTTGCCCATTGCCAGTGCTACACGCCCCCCCACAAGCCCCTGATGCCACGACTAAATCCCGCTTCCCTGGTAAGTCCAAGTTCTTCATTTCCTTCTGCGACTATCCGCACGCGTGTCCGTCTACGGAGTACGCCATTTGCATTTCCCACGCCCTGGATTTACCATTCTGGTCGACGATCTCCACTTCGCTGCAGGAATTGCTGTATGCTTGCTTTTTGGACCAATTTCCCGTTTCCTTATCTCCTCTCCACGAACTGCTTTCGGTTCTCGGTTCATTTCGCTCTCCGTCCATGTGGAGCCATCACATTTGGGCCCGTTTGACCCGCTCTGATGCGTGGATGCTGGTCATTTGAGATGAGATGAGATGAGATGTGAAATGTGAGAAGTCTGATATTCATCCTGGCATGACAAGTTTGCCCACTGCTTCTGGAACACATGTCTTGCTTTCTACGTCATGGGCGTACCGCCGTGGATGGACATCCCTTGCCAGTGTGATGGCGCTGAAACACAACCTGGATCGCGTGGTCAGAAGAACGAAAGAACCGGGAAAGAAAAACCTTACCCAAAGATACACATTTCCAAGGAAAACGCAAAAGCAAACGCAAACGCAGAGAAAAAAAGAAAAGAAGCAATAATCATGGAGTTAACGGGTTTGTTTCGTTGCTGACAGATCTACGTGACTAGGAAGCTATCAATAGACTTCGAACATACGTTCCTCCGCCAACGGCGTATGGAGACGTCCCGCTCAGCCGACGGGCCGCAGTATTGATATTGCTGTATGCCGATCCTAAAGGCGAGCTGCGAGTTGTGATTACGATCCGGTCCAAGACATTGAGTTCGTGTACGCGTGCTCCCTTCCCTTTCCTTCCCTTCTTTACCCCTGAGGAATCAAGGAGAGGCCCTGGAAACAAGGCCGCTGCAAAACATGCAGGCAAGCGCTAACCCGATTCTGTACATCTAGACGCAGGCGAGGCTGCTTTACCAGGAGGTATGTGGAGATCGGCGAAGAATCAGCCGCAAGAAGAAATACGTCCCTCAACAGCCCCAAAAAGCAAAGAACAAAGAGCATGAACAGAACTCGGCCCAAAAAAAGCAACAAGGGAACTGCCGTCTGATCAGCAGGGCTGCATTCCTAGTCAAGAAAACGCGTTATCTGTTTTCCTGGGGAAAAGGGGGACGATCCCTGCACTATGATCAGCATTCTCCCATTCCAATGCCCATGCCATGCCACGCCATGCCATGCTCATGCTCATGCTCATGCCCATGCCCAAGCTCATGCCGCGCCTCGTTTACCTTCGTATCGGCGTATAGGTATGGATATTGATACTAACTTTATGATTTTACAGGAAAGGCAGATACACTAGACGAAACGCCATTCCAGACCGCACGCCGCGAAGCATGGGAAGAGATCGGCCTATCCGATATCGATCAGCCACTCCCGGCACCATTTACTGTAGAGCACCTCTGCGAGTTACCGGCAAATCTTGCCAAAACGGAATTGGTTGTGCGGCCCTGTGTCGCGTTGCTGCACTCATTTGACGAAGCTACGGGTGAGAATGCGGATCCCGAAATCTCGCTGATCCCTAAGCTGGATGCGCGCGAAGTTGCAGCTGTGTTTACGGCGCGGTTTGCGGACTTTTTACGGTTGGAAATTAAGAGTGACGATGGGGAGCACCGGGGTAAGGGTCTCAGTGACCAGGGTGCGGATCCAGGGCAGTGGTATCGCGGGTCGTGGAGTTTGTGGCACCATTCCAACTGGCGCAGTAGGTTTTCCAATTTCCTTTTTTTCTGCCTTTTTCTCTTCGTTCTGGGGTTCCCCTTTTCTTGCACTGCCAATTCCCGAATCCCGAATCCTAATCTTGAGGCGACCCGGGGACGCGTTTATCCCTGCAGCCTCAGCCTCAGCCTCAGCCTCAAGGCGTCCAGGGCCCTCAGGCACCCCATTCCATTCCACTCCTTCTCCCTCTGCCACCCCTGTCGGCAATTGCCTGGTAGGCAACGGGCAGGTCTGGATCAAGGTCCCTTTTTTACGAATACGCTACAAAACACATGGGAAAGGCATGGGAAGGGGTGGGCCGCTGTCAGACGGGACCCACTGGGCCGGTTGGCGTTTGCTCCAGTCTCGCCAAAATCGGACTGGAGAATGTCAATGAGGGCCGAGAAAGGTATATGCAGGGCTCTGGCAGGGGGAGCATGTCGCACCGACCATGCTTTGAGTGGGGATTCATGGTGGATCCTCGAATGGGATGGGAATGGATCTGGATCTGGATCAAGAAAACCCTAAACCCGGGGACGAAAAGCAAAGTCACAGCAACAGGCACAGAAACAGGAAGCAGCTGACACATTGCATTAGTGCACCAGTTCTTCGTACCGGTCAATGATCGGGTGGTCAAGCCTCGCGGGGGTCAAGAACAACGGGTGGTGGAGAAGCTAGAAGCGCAGGAACCGAGTGGGCTGCAGCGATATCGCGTGTTCGGAATGACCGCACGAATCATTGTGGACGCAGCGCGAGTGGCGTATGGGCGTGAACCTGAGTTCGAGCATAATAGCCACTTTGGGGATGAAGCGATGATCGCCCAATTGCGGCGAATGGGCCGATTGAGTGCCCGACGCCAACCCTCGGACGAACTGACCCGCGAAATGATGGAGAGGGCCGCTAAATTGAGTTAGTTTAGGGGCTAAGATGGAAGTAGTTAGAGAGGAAATGAAGTCTGTTGCCGTGGGCCAGTTGTCAATATGCAGAGTACAGTACGGAGTAGGGTAGGTAGTTACAGGTAGGGCAGGGGTCAGGTACCTGGGCATACATACAGTAAACACCACATACACTACACTACACTGCACTGTAGAGAGAGTATTAGTAGGGACTCCCTTCGCTATCTCTCCCCTCTTCTCTCTCTCTCTCCCCTTTACACTCCCCACTCTACTCTACCCCCAATCTACTCGTCATTTCAGCCCTTGCAGCCCTTGCAGCCCTCGCATTGCGTCCGTGCGCCGATCGCTTCCTTTGACTCTTTTGTCTTTGGCTTTGGCTTTTGCCTTGCCTGCATTACTTTCTTATCGTGGTTCCTGGCTAGCGAGGCCTGTGGCTGGCCTTGCTTTGTACCACTACATCATCAGCTTATATTTAGTACTCGGCCTTTGTCCCTCGAGTTCTTTGTTCCTCCATGTTGTGCATTTAGCTCTCCTCTTCAGAGCACATCATGCTCTCTCCCACCTCCCTCGACATCTACCGCATGGCTCCCCCAGTTCGACCTTCACGATCGCTTGAGGGCTTAGAAAGAGTTATCCCTCCAAGACTGGAGAAATCCCCATTCACATCATATACCCCATTTACTCCATTCACATATACACCGACTACCCCGACTCGTTCCAACCTCTTCCTCAACAAACCTCTCCCCGCAATGCCCTTTGACGAGCCCGAGCCCGAGTACTCCGGTATGTGGAGCGACTCTGACAGCGATGACGACGACGACGACAACAGCACCGTCGATAGCCTCGCCAGCCCCAGTGAACCACGCTACTCAACCGAAAGTTACCCCATCTTCGTCAGTTCTGGCTCCGACGACTTCGACCTGGCCGATCATCCGACCCCCGCTGATCCCTTGGATGCGATCGTCGCTCCACAACGTCCCCTTCCTCCGCGCACGGACTCGTCACAGTCCAACATCTCCGCCCTCACCTCCAACTCCAACTCCGATACTCAGTACGGTCGCCCCTCACAGTGGTCGCAGACCCAGACCCAGACCCAACCCCAAGCTACTCGACCAGGCACCAACCACTACTTCCGTGAGAAGAAATGGGACTTCTTCCCGGAGCTGGCAACTCCCGGGTCGCTGCCCGCCACAGCTGCCAGCGGACGCGTGAGTCCCAGCCTCCGAAATGGAAAGACTCGCAAGAAGGAAGGTCGTCTGGGTCTCTCTACGAGGAGGAAGCGTTGGAATTCGCTGGATAGGCCGGGAATGGGAGGACTAGCGCAGGCTCGCGAGTCCTTCAAGACATATGTTCACCGTACACTTTCCCGCGATTCACCCGATACCCCCAAGGCCAAAGAGCCACAACGCCCGTCAACAGCCCAGCCGACCTCGCTCCAGCAAAGGAGAGGCCTCAGTGTGAAACCGCTAGACTCTTCCTCACTCGATGTTAACATGCAACTGCGGGCACTATCATTACACACCATGGCCAGTTCCAGCGCCAGCGAAATGCCCGACAGCCCCCGCTCTCCGCGCCAGAAACAACTCGCAGTACCCATGTCCCCGTACCAGAAATACGGCTCCGCCATTTGGGAAACACCCAAGAAATCCAAGAAGCGCAATAATGCCAAGCAACCTGCGGCGTCCCGGTCTGCTTCTCATCTCGTCTACACCAACCCAACCCCGCCCCTCTCCCCGCCACTCAAGACGCAATTGCAGCAGAATACCCGTGATGCAGTTCGCGCCTTGCAGGATGGGACTAGTCATATGTTCTTTGCATTCGATGGCGCGAAGAAAAAAATGTCCGAGTCCAAGGATGAACGGCGCCGTGAACTGCTCAAGTCGCAGATCAAATTGGTTGGACCGGTCAATCCGCATACGTGTTCGCAGGCAGATCCATGGCTGTGATTGGGTCTCAGCTTCGGTATCCCGCCTAGTCCTTCCTTCTATCTTTCTTTGCTGTGTTATATTTTTTTATTAATTTGGAGTCTTGGTATTCAGCTTGGCTGGTTTTACGATCTTACGACACATCTTTCATTGAAGCTCTGGAAAGCGTTTTGGACATTCCCTCATATTTCTTTACTACTTTGCCTTCTGTCCTTTCTATTCCCATATATAGCATCTCATCTCGCGTTCTTTGAATCGGTACTTGGCATTGGCTTTTTCTTTTTTTTTTTTTTTTTTTTGGTTAGGTAGCATAACCCGCGGCGTCGGGAAAGGAGGAAACATTTCAGTCTCAGAGACTTTTGATACCTTGCAGGTTGGATCCAATCGGATATTTCTTTTTTTGGTTCTTTTTTGGCCATTTCAATTGAAACAAGAAAAAACACTTCTCTTGCCAGAAAACCACTTCTTCACCAGTGAGGTAACCTAAAACAAACACATTATATGAACTTGAACCAGCCACTAGATCATGCAATGCTCACCCGCATTACATGCCGCAAATCCTCGCATCCATCCAGCCTCATTCAACAACCGCCTACATGTGCATGGCACCCTCTGTAAGTACCCTCTAACCTCCTAACCTCCGCACCAATCCAATCTCACCGACCAACGCAAGCATCGCCACCGATTTAAGGATCAAGCCCTGAGGAGGGCGGGGTAATGCAAATCCCCCCCTCTGTCCCCCTCTCCCCTGCGTCAGTGTCGAACGGCAGACTATCGGTGAAAAGAGCGGTGTCGATCGTAATGCCATACCTCACTTAATCCTTTTGATCAAGGTTGGGTCGTGCTCGGATCGTATCATATGCGGGTTGCCTTGCCTACATACAGTATGTAGACTTTCTGCGACTGTCAGGAAGATGTAGCCCGTGCATCTTGGGATACGTAATATCTTAGGCCTGTACGAAGTATTATGTACCTGGTGGCACTGGCAGCAGGTACAGTACATGTAGATCGGTCACGGTGCTACTGAATGCTAGTCATGTACTCCACTGCCGACTGCACGTACCTACCTGTTCCTGTACCTGTACCTGACTACATACATCTGGTACGTCGACTTCAAAGTTCTGTCACCGACTTTATGTCGATCGGATCACCCTCGGGCAGATATTTACATACATATGTACGGAGTGCGCTATTCATGCATGTAGTGGATCGCTTGCAGATGCTATTGATTTGGGCTGGAAATCGTTGGCCTATCGTTGGGGTTTCTTGATTGGGATGCGTGCGTGGATGGATATTAGATGGGCGGTGTCAAGATGAAGATGGAGAGTGCCAGTGCCATTGCCAGTGCCAGTGGTTAAGATAGAGGTGAAGCTTCGCTCGAAAGTTGATATCAAGTACCTAGGTATTAGAAGGTGAAATACCAATTCTGATAAACAAAACCTGGAGGCCTGTATAAAAAGAATACAAATTACAATATTCGCGGTCTTGTTGACCTCCTAAACTGCCAGTGCAGCTCCAGGACAACGACTTTACTCCCAATCACATACCCAACATTATTTTATCTCTCACTCCCCTTTCCCCCTCTCACTCGCCTAAAATCCTATATTCTACTTGCCCAATCGTGCCCGATTTCGCTAGAATCGATTCTAGACCATGCATGTAATCGCGATGAAGTATAAGGCGGGTAGACCGATTTGACCTAAGGCTAGGAAGACCTAGGTGGCATCTACCTTGGCGAGATTAGACAGGATAAACAAATCACTATGGGAACGGATATTAAAGGGTGGGGACCGGGGTTGTGTCGTCGGCCGATCTAGAAGGATGGATGAGGATGCTAGCGTCATGTCAACAACGTGGCTCAACTCAGTCCAACTCGGCCTCGCCGAGATCACTCAGCTTATCTGTGGCTCAGTGGCTGGCTGAAGCGCAATTGCAATTTAAATAAGGATGATTTGAAATAGTTAATCCACATAAGCGAGCCAGGGCGGCAAAGTGCCATCGTGAGCCTAGGCCCGTGTTAGCCGGGAGGCGTGTAATATTGGCTAGGTTAAGCGACGGCGAGATGATGGGCAGATCGTAGAATATAAATGGCTGTGACTCGTTTGAGGGATCTAGTAGAGTAGAGTTCGTGTGTATATGGGACTGGGCCTAGTCATGGTAGCGTGTTGTTTGGTGGGGAGTGCTGATCTACTGTGGAGATGGGATGGGCACTGATTTAGATCAGATAACGGAAATATCTTACCATTTTCATCGTACTAGATTTAATTCCCCCTTTCTATGTAGATCTTGAAGCAGATCGCCAGAAATTGGACTCGATTTTGCTTGTTTTGCGGTGCATACTATTCGCCAAAGTGGGCTCGTCAGTTTGCTTAGCGATGCAACTTAAAACTCCCCGTTAAAGTTTATATTAGCGTCCCTACTTGTTTATGAAAAGACACGTATTGTCCTTTAAGAAATGGATTGATCCAAATTGAGTAATTATTATATAGTGATTCGCTTGTGGCTATTTGCTACAACGTGGAGAAAGAATCAGAACTGCAAATAATCATCGCTTCCACCTCGGCGGCCCAGTCACGCCATTTTTATAAACCAGCAAGGGTGCTGGGATTGAAGAAGGACATGAAGCTCAAGATCTTGGCGCCCGTGGTGGATGGCATGGGATTTCTCCAAGGTCCACGGGCCATTCGATGGTACATTTCAATTGCCGAAGACTAGCCACGACGGACCAAATGGTGGCGGAAGGCTAGTGCCTGGGGCAAAGTCCTGATGACAAGCGTTGCGTGTGAACAGATGGGAGAATCATATTGATCTGTTTCTGAATTGAAACGGCGTGTGAATAAGAGTGCTTTTGATGGGCGTTTTGGTGCCCGCGGCGAGCCGCATTATCACACTTCCTTGAACTTGGACTGATGGGCGTGAATAAGTGGCGACCAGGGGAAGTGACCAAGCGGGACAGTGAAAAAACCATTGCTCTTGTCGAAAATACCAGCGAATGCATTATACCAAGCTGCAAAGGCAGCCAAGAGGCCGAAAATTCCACCGGCCTTTTGCACCGTGGCCATTATTTCGCCCGTAGCGCCGCATTGGAGGTTTGCGATTCCCAGTAGGAGGTAGTTCATGTCGAGGAAGAAGAATAATAGAAACATGGCAAGACTCGATTTGAGTGTGCACAGAAGCATAATTGTGGTGAAGATGAACCATGCCTGGAATGACAGTTGTTAGTAATTGTCCAATTCAGCTCATTTTCGTCGCAGGGCTTGCTTACAATCATGAAGAGCCCCATCAGCATCTCACTCTGGCAAACCTGAGTGACAGTTTGTGCTGTGACTTTGGTTCCATCGAAATTAAGCAGAGCGAAGGAAATCCAGTATGCACCATAGGAGCAGAAAGATGTAGCGCCAAATGTATTTCCAAGAGCCATTTCCCTGCGAATGTTATTTCACGGCCAATGGGTCAAGGGAGGTCATGCATGCGGTCAACGAGACTCAAAGGTGACATACCACATTCCGACAAGCACTTGGATGATGCCTCCGTACGCGAGTGCCGAAGAAACATTTTCACCCGCGACTGGCACCCCGGCAAAGACACTCATGCCATTTGAAAGGAATGCCGTCAGGGCAAATCCACAGAGGCCGAGAGGAGCTGGATTGCCAAATTTGCGGACCTCCGAGGGTGGAGGAGCTTGGTCACGAGGTGGGGGCATTTGGTGATATTCTGGGGAATGGGGGCGGGTATGGGGATGGACAAGAGAATAGTCATGGCCGGTTTGTGAGCCCACGGGTGTTGGGCTCTGACTGTCCAAACACGTCTGACTGAATGCTTTGGTATCAGTCTGGGGCTGTTTCAGCTCCGCGACGTTAATGATCTGCTCCATTAATAAGATATTCCTCGAAAACAAACAGGTAAGTAAACGCTGGGCTAGAATATGATTAATGGAAATGGCCAAAAGGGGAAACGCGAATGTAGTTGAGGTTGAAGAATATAGAGATATCACTAGTAGACCCGGGCATTTCTTGGTAAATATCTACCCAAGGACATAGACCTCACTAGTGCTATTTTCGTGCCCAACGCTGGAAAAAAACCAGATTTTGCCACTAAAGCGCAAGGACTTCATCATATGTGTAAAGGAAAACGGCGAGGCCCGGGGATAGCGTCATGTGCGCAGCTTGAAATGGTTAGTTGAAGCTAGCGAGTATGTTTTCCGGAGATGACCCACCAGAACAAGGGAAATCTTCACTATGATAGGTCCCGGATACCAGGGATTGAACTAAAGAAAGCTAGGCCGCGGGTAAGGCCGCGACGACCTCGAAGCATATCGGACAGATTGACGAATGGAAAGACCCTCGCCTAGGAAAGGTGGGCTAGACCATTGTAGACCACCACTATGACATGCATCACTAGATTTATTGAAATCTTCGATTGATCGTGCAGACTCTTGACTGTCATTTGACAATGTTGAAGGCTTGATTCTGGACAAAAAGGGTGAATACCCTTGAGGCATGCGTTTCCCGAAGGACCAAGTTGTTGCGAGGACAAAGGATCATCCGCTCTCTGGACTGAAAGATACGGGATATGGGCGCGCTCATACACGCGCTGATCTTAAAAAGAGAATTTTTGACGTAATTTCCCTAAATTCTCCGAGTCCTCTTTTCCAACATGACCAAAACACTCAACTCCCTGCAGAGTTCGCGCATAAAACTTGAGTTCAGCCCTGGCTATGACCCAATTGCGAGTCACCAGGGACTTGAATGCATCAACATTGACCTCTTTCTTTGCGTATTGTAGTTTTCAAATTCATCATTGAAACTTGTTGTGAGTTGAGGTTGGACGGAATTTGCGGAGGCCGGCGCACTCCGCAAAAAGGGGACGAGCCCCACAGGACCCCATGGCACCGTTGACACCGAGCCAATCGGCGTTCGCTCTGAACTATACGATCAGTCGCTATTGGGAAGCTTGGCCCGATGGGAGAAATGTTTCGAGGGGTTTTACTAGTACCATCTTGGACTTGGCTTCCTATATTATGTTGAAGAATATGCTTGACCATTGCGCGTTTGCAACCTCGGAAAAGGCTTGATACTGGCGCATGCAATCTTCAACATAGTACTAGTATTGGATGGGGAAAATTAGACTTAGTTTACTCCGAACAGGGATTTGCATAAAAAGTGGGTTATGTCTCCACGTCCAGGGTCACGGTGTCGATAAGATTAATTTTGTGGATGATTGAACCCGCCCATCTGGAACTAGAACTCAAGGCTCAACTAAATACTCCTTTCTCCTGTAGCCCTGGAGGCCAAGGGCCAGAAGTAGTTGCTCTCGAGTTGACAGTGTTCGGTTTTCAACTTGAAGGTTATTGGATGGGGACGAACTTCGATACCGGGGATCACATGGGTTTTACGGAGACAATATACTCGTCGAATGATATTTTTAGTAAGATAGTACTTAAGACTTCCAGTTGCTTCTCCAAATGCCGAAGAAATGTGCAGAGATGCGAAAGAGCGGTCATCGCTACATGAAGAACGCCATTGACTGAGAACTTGGCTAGATCGAAATGGTCGAAGATCCAAAAGACCTGCAATGCATCATGGATTTTCTACAACTCTAAAAGCATTCTGATAATGAAGCGACAGAATTACGGCCTCAGGCTGAGATAAGGTAGCCACTATCATAAGCAACTAACTAGTTAGTCCCTAGGTACCTACTAGTAGTATCTAACTCCATCGGCAATCGAAACAAGAAAGAATGACACAGGTACTGGAAATCTCTTGCAACCTGAGAATTGTACTGAATGCTACTAGGATTTCTATGAAACTTGAACTAACCCATATACCCGGCCATGATACTGGCAGATCCAGTTCTATAAATACTGAAAATTTCTAAAAATAACAAGCATGGAATTAAACAATAAATTAAGCATTACAAGATAGTTTAGCTGTCCCGTCGTGCCTCCCGTCGTGCCTTCCTCCGGATCAATCACAGTCCCTGCTGCCGTTCACATTCACGGTAACTTCCAATCATTTCCAAAGAGTCGCGGTATCGTCTTCCCTTACTCCAAGCCTTCAACACCCCCATCCAACCCGTTGCTTTGTTCTAATCACCAGTACATCTGAGACTGCCATCATGAGAACTAATCCCACGAACACCGGGCTTCTGTCTACATTCGAGTCATACCAGTCATTCTTCCCACTGGACCATTTCACTGATGGAATGACTCACATGGCAGAGATCCTCAACGCAGTGCAGGCTCTGACAGGCAAGCCAATTGGTGAAGTTTCCATGAAGGAGCTAATCGATTGCTATGTGATGCACAATGCTTCTAGCAACATCAAAGGCAAACTCGTTCAACTGACCTTTGAGACAACACCCTATGAGCCTTGTACCAAGCCGATGTCTTTGTTAGCCAAGATTACTATCAGCAAGCTTTGTTACAACACTCGCCATGAAGGGAAGTACATTTTCTTGAGACTGATAACCAGCCTTGAAAAAACGGGGACTGTTTTTGCCATCGCTGAGGACGAGCATCAACGAGCGATTCCGGTACAGCTGTTCAACCAAACCTCTCTTCCAGGTAATGAAGGACTGGAGATCTATTCGGCCTTTGTCGTCAAGGAGCCCCTGGTGGAACTCGTCGGGTGGGGAGAAGTTGGTATTCGAGTTGACCATGCTTCCGATCTGAAGTGCATTTCCAGATACAACGAGGATCTGCCAGTCATGTGGAAAAAGTCGACCAACGACAACCGAACGGTGGACCAGTGGAAGGGCGTAGCAAGCGAGCTATACAAAAGTGGTCTCTATGCCCAAGCAGTTGAATGGTATGCACCAGCAACCTGTTTCCCCCCAGGATTTCATGTTGCGTCTCATTGGCTAACCTCTACCAGTTACTCAAAGGCTCTGGAGTACCCATTAACCCCGGAAAGCATTCAAACAATGAAATACCACCGGGCACAAGCTCTGTACAAGCTTGGAAAGTTTGAGAAGGCCGAAATGGACCTAGCAAACCTCGCCCCTGACATGAAATCCTACGACGCAGCACTCTACCGCAAAGCCCGAACCCTTTACGACCTTCGCCGATACAGGGACAGTAGTCAGGCTCTCACCATTCTCTGCAAGAAATTCCCGAAGAATCTCCAGGCAAGTCGGATGTTGTCGGAGTCCATTAAGCGCTGCCTCGAAGAGAAAAGAGGCATGTATTCGTTTAGAGAGATACAAAACAAGGCTTTAGCCAGAAAAATCGTCCGACTGGAATACGCCACATACATTGGTCCGATTGAGGTGAGGCCTGCGAGTGTCACGGGCAGAGGGCTTTTCAGCACTCACGACATCAAGGCAGGTGATCTACTTCTTTGTGAGAAGGCCATGGCATACTTCTCTGAGCAGGATGCGAGCAATAGAATGATTTGTCGTGGATATCGCGTGGGGATGGATAGAGCAACAGCCATGCCACTGGCAAGAGTTGAACTAGTTAACGAGATGGTACGAGAGCTTTGCTTGAAGCCATCGTGGATGGGGAACTTTATGAATATGTACCATGATACTTACAAGAGCACGCTCCCCTCGTTCCGCACTGATGATGGCGAAGCTCTTGTCGATTCGTAAGTGTGCCTAGTCTTGAAAATCCACGTCGTGTTTCTAATATTTTCGCCCAGGTTTCTTGTTCACAAGGTCATGCTGCACAATATGTTGCACTCGGACACTTCCACACGTGATTCCTATATGCGTCGCAGTGCGCCCGGCCAGGGTCTGTTTGAAGAAGAAAGAAGTGACTTCGAAGTAGCTCAGGAACCCCCTTGCGGAGTTTGGCGGATGGCATCCTTTGCCAATCACTCCTGTTTACACAACGCGCAGCATAGCTTCATTGGAGATCTACTCATCATGCGGGCGACAAAGGATATCCCCGCTGGAACAGAAATTCTCATTCGGTATCGCGAGCGTGCTACTGATTTTCTTAAGGCCTCTACGTGGAACCCATTTGAAGATCGTGGCTTTTCTTGCACTTGCGACCTCTGCTCAAGCATTGATTCCACTGATGAACGAGTTCTCAGACTGAGAGAGGCGGTCCTCGTTGATTTGCGGTCGTTCATTGAAATTGTGTTTGTTGAAAGGCAAGGCAAGGTCGAAGTTCGTGATCTCATGCTCAAACTGAGCACCCTCCTTGCGACCTACAAGGACTCTGATCCTTCTCTCCCACGCCTGTCTGTCTTTGAGATCAAATATGCTATCACTCAGATTTTCGATGAGGGTGGTTTGCCCTACAATGCCGCCGGTCTGGCATTGGAATGCTTCACGAGTTTCGGCTATATCATTACTGGAGCAATTTCGACTGAGAATCAACTAGACTCTGGCCCACTCCTCATCAGAAGATGGGGCATGCTAGACTATCGCCTTGTCAAGTGCTGGTTGATTCTCGCACGATGCTATCGTCTCAAGGCTCCTCATCTTGAACGCGCTGCCAGGGAATATGCGATGTTGTTCTACAAGATGATCGTGGGTGAGGAACAGACCTTCCGCTCAACATGCAGAAAGATGCGTCTTTGATTGGTTCGGTCTTTTAGCCTGTTCTGTGCTTTTTGATAGTGTAATTTCTCTTTGGATCTCCGATATGAAGTTGAAGGTAGGAAGTTGAGGGTATGAGGTTGTAGGTATGAAGTTGAAGGTATGAAATTGAAGGTATGGAGTTAAAGGTATGGAGTTAAAGGTATGGAGTTAAAGGTAGGAAGTTGAAGGTAGGAAGTTGAGGGTATGAATTTGAAGGTATGGAGTTGAAGGTATGGTTTCTTGACTCGAAGTCACTCTTTCGTTTCCTGTTTTTCTAGTACTCATCATCATTCATTTATCTCGTCCATGGAGAACCTGAGAATCAAAGAGTCTCCTTATGCCAATGTCAGGTGCAACAGAGATACCGTAGCGTCCTAGTAGCGGCCGTCTAACTTGCTCATGCAAAATGTCGATCGGCTGATGACTACTAAGTACTAGCTTTCATATACGAAGAGATGATAGCTGGGTAGTTAATAGTGACTACTACCAGTAGGCACACATAGGCAACGGCCATTAACTGGTTAGTACTAATAAGGAAGAATAGCAGACGGCTTGGGGAATATGTGAGCAGATGAACTTGAACCACCACGAAGTCGATGACGGGTATCTAGGTATTTCGGAAGAAAGTCAAGTACATTGCAAACAGTCAAAGGGGTATTCATAAATTTGGATGAACAAGATCAGCTAGAGGCTCTTTCCCGACGATGCCTATGCCAAGAAAACAATCGACTCATGGAACGCTTCTTGCGTCCTTGATCATCGGTAGTCGTGGTCTCATTTGAATGACCGCTGCTTTGTCGGGATACACCATCGAGCGCAACTGGCCCATCGGCTTTCATAACCTCCAAGTCGTTTGAATGGCCACTCCGTCTTTGAGAAACGCTGCGGAAAATGACTGGTCCATCATCTAAATCATCCCCAAGCCCATCACCGAGGTTTATGTTCAACACTCGTGTTGATTCTGGTATTTGCTGGGCTATAATGGGTTGTCAATAATTTCATCTATTTATAAGATGATGCCTCCAATGGCGGAAGCTTACTTGTTGTGTCAAGTATTGTGGTTGGTTTCTGATCCGGCTTTCTTGATGGCAATGGAGTATCATCGAAGTACGGTCTGTATCGCTGGAAGCCCAGAAGAGGAACAAATTCGACGATCTCGTCCATGGCTACTTAGGTAGGGATATGATTATTTTGCCTTGGAGGGTCAGTTGAGTTATATGCGCGAAACAAGTTTAGATACAAGCTTGGAAAACTTTCCTACATTTATAGCGAAGGAGAAAGGAAAAGCAACTCTTCCCCAGTCTTAAAGGCCATACTAGGTTGAGTATAGTCTGACTGGCTCGTTGGGACCGGATATGCCGTCGTGCGTGCAATAATTCGCCACCGGTCGCTGTCTTAGACTCGGTCTCGAACTTCTGTGCGCAGCCCTGCGCCACGCGTTTCCCGAGATAAGGGATCGCTAGTACTGGCAGTTCTAGTGTACCTCAACTATTTCTAGTCAGTTCACACTTACCTCGATCCGACAAGGGGTTGCTTTGCTGTCTGGCCCCCCCTTCCCGCCATATCAATTTCTTTTATTCCTGCAATCCCGGTAATCCCAGTAATTCCGAACATTATGAGACTAGAGGTGCCATGCGTGATTTCCATCACTCCAGTGGTTTAAGCGACCCGTGCTACCAAGGATCTTAGTTTTTACCAGCCAAAGGTATTAGGTCCGATGCGGCGGGGGTGTCTGTTCGCCGGTTGTGGATGAGTCTCGTGAAGCGACTGGATGAGGTTGTTGCTTCCAAGGTTTACCCCGCGCTTTTACGAGAGAAAAGGGTCAAGGCATCATTCTAGCCATCTTTTGATTTTGTAGAAAAGAGATTCTCAATGTAAATTCCAGGTATCGCGGCACTTGGAAAATGAATGGCGTGCCCCTCATGCAGGCTGTCACACTACGCGAATATGCGAGTCTTGTCGCCACAGTCAGAGTTAGACTAAACCCAACCCAGTTAAATACCGAGAAATAAATAATTTACTAACCCCCTCCCCCCATTATTACAGAAGCCCTGATTTGACGAAAGGTGAAGGACTTTTGAAGAGCTAAAATACTAGGATACGCGGGATAATGCAAACACACGCCTGTTCGCAATATTTCGATATCATGGAGCTCAGCCGCTACTATCCGATATACCGAGCAAACGTGGTGAACTCTTCATCCTCCTTCAGGCGATCCCAATCCTCATCCCGAAGACAAATTTGAACTATCAGTTCACCCTTCGGAGATCGGGGCATGAAGTAGACTAAACATTCAAAGGCGGAGAAACCTGGTCTCCGAACTGCTTCCGGTTTCCCCAGCCCAAGATTGAAATCGTACTCATAACATCGAATCTTCGACCACGAGCTTGTCATAAGGTCAGATGTAGGGCTCATATTGGCCGTGAAAGAAGCAGTGCACTTTTTCTCCCCCGCGCGAGCGACGAATGTGTTGAAAGCACGCGCTTGGTAAACCAGATCTATCACATCTGGATCGAGCAGGGAGCGGAGATATGAAGCTATAGTCCCAAGAGGTTCGTCGACTACTTGTTGAAGAGACCGCCTGGCAAATGTCAGACTTTGTAACATCCCGAGATAGGAGCTGGGAACACCCATCCGGTCCCTGATATCGACCGCGCGTGAGATCGTGGATATAAGCTTTGGATCAAGCCGTGATAGACGGACTCGGGATATACACTTCCAAAGGAATGCGCACATGGTGTCATCTGTGGACACAAATGGTACTGAGGAATCTTTTATCATTGTTGCCCAGGACTTGAGTTGTTCCAGAGAGGATTTGGGGAAATTTACGCATGCCCAGGTGGCGGCCGGGAGATCGGAATCAGTTGAAGCTGCAGATTCAGTTTGTCGGGGCTTATGAACTTGGAAGTCGAGCTCCGGGCCGGGATTCCAGATATCGTAACTCTCTGGTAATAATGGTATAACCCTGCTCCGGTCCATCATGCCGACAGCTTCCTCCTGCTCTGTAAATGGGATGCCATGGCATGCCTTTGATAACAGGGCAATTATATGGTCTTGACCCGTCATGTCCGTGACATTGTGTTGTGCCACAATTGTTAAGATGAGTCCATCCGTGATGAAGTTTGCCTGAAGTGCAAGAACCGGAGCGGAACATGCTTTTAGACCCTCATCAGTCGCGGAGGCATTGATAGTAAGGCAAGGAGCAATTGCTTTTTCGTCTAGCATTCCGCAAGGAAATGCGGCTTTCCGAAGACCGTTCATTGTCGGCGCAGAGGCATCATGTTGGATGTCATGAATAATCAATGGAATCGCCCCAGATGGGACAATGCGGTACTCCTCGTTCAAATCGTCATAAATTACATTTCCTGCGATCCAGGGAAACGCCGCTGAGAGCCTTTCAAGGCCGAGCTGCAAGGTTCTCACAATATCATCCTGCCGGGAGTGGTGGGAAACGGGAAAAATGCAGCTTATCTGTGTGTAGAGCTTGTATAAAAGCGTGTGCTGACCCAGAGCATCAAGTGAGAGACTAGTTCTCATTCTGATATGGCCAATTCGTGCGTGCTTTAAGAAGAAATACAAGCCTGGCCATAGATGACTTCCGAATTCATCAAGGAACTTGCGTCTCAAGTATGTCTGATCGACTCGAGAGGGACCAGTCACGATTTACGAATCCAGTACGCTATTTCGGTTACTATATCACAGAACCTGTACCACAGCCAAAAACGTCATTTCAAGCAGGAGGGATGAAAAAGGCAAACTCTCTTGATATATCATCATACGGTTAGTATTGAATAGCACTTCATTTCAAGTGTTGCAATCGGAAGAATTGATTACCTGACTGAAAGCCAAAACAAACCAACCGTAATTCTCCAAACCTTGTGCACACCCCTCGGTGAGTATACCCTCGCAAAGCCCTAAAAGGATATCTTGCTAACATTGGACAATCAGCCATCCAACCCGAAGGCGATGAATCATCCCATTCTGTTCCATGGAGTGACCATGCTCAATAACGTAAAATTGAGTTGGTGAATGAGTGAAAAGAGGACCTCCGGGAAGTGATGGAAAGGAGAATCACGCTCAAAATTTGAGGAACTCAGTGATTGATTCACATGCTTAAATGATTTGAGGCGTGTCATTCTGGGAGTTGTGCGGCGTTCCATAGCGGCAACTGGCTCAGTGGGTTTTTAATCTAGACGTACCGCCTCAGCGGCTCCCTGTACCTCCCAGGCCTAGTTTTTATGGGGATTAACTAGGTGCACGGCAGGTGGTCAATGATACCTACTCTTATAGCCAACTCTCAAGAGCCCGTTAGATAACCTCTTGGGGTAGCGCCTGATGGTAACAAGGTGGCTCTGTAAGGTGAACCGGATATTGGGAACCTTAGTTAGTAGCTAGCAGTAAGTGGAGAACTTTTGGCTTCGTTCCTGCGACACACTGTCGGCTCATTCGGGCGATCGTATATGCCAGGGCATCCCGAAATCCAGTCTCTTCGAGTGTTGCGTAATCCAACTCGAGACCTGGACCCGGAAACGACCGTTGGAGACGGCCAGGGGTTGCCATAACAGCCACATTCAGAGGAGACAGCTCGAAGCTTTCCACTTGTATCGCATCGTCGATTGCAGTCATCAACATCCCGGCGTTCTGATCGCGGGCATAAAAGAAGTATAGAATCTGAGAGATACCAGGCCCACCTTTGATACCAAGGTCCCAAAAGGCATTTTTCAGTTCCGTCTCCTTGATTACACCATCCTGGTGGAAGATCCCTCGGAGGCGAGACATCATCGCAAGAACGGAATCAATACTCTCCGTGTCTTGGTCTTGAACGCGATTTCGGAAATCCTGCAGTGCCTCGATAATTCTGTTGATTAAAAGAGACTTGTAGTCGGCGCTGTAGTCATCAGACTGTGGGAGCTTTGGAGGGAGATAGACGTGGTGGAAAAGGTATGTGCTCTCGCCCAGAGAGATTTCCATGGTTGGTGGCTCCATTGTCACGCGTGCAATATGAGTCTTAGATAAGAATGAGATCCATGGCCGAGCAATGCGCCGTGATGCCTGAAATTAGAACTCCTTCGAGGTCAAATCGAGAGGTTGATAACTGACTTCGCGTGAATGGTGAGAAGGAACGAGAGGGATTGCGGAAAAAAAGAAGCGGAAGAAAGTGATAGTCGTAGGTAGGAAAGGTGATCTTGTGGGAGCTGAAGAGAGATAAGCATGTGAAAGAGGGTTGAGAGAGTTGAGAGTGGTAAGGCAGGAGTCGAGGGTATCAGAGAGTGGGTACCCACACCACCCATCACCCAAAATAGCCGGTAGGCGAACAACACAGGTTATGTTTGATGTTCTGTTTGAGAAGGGCTCATCCTAGTAACTTTTTGGGGGGGGTTCCGCTGCTAGAAATTCAAAAGTTGGTCTTGCCAAAATCAAGATCAGATGTAAACATACCCTGGTTGTAGGTGTATGGTGTATAGTGTAACTGTGTAAGTGTATAGATCGACCCACGGGACTCGGACCCACTTAGCGCCGCCTCCGCATTCCGTCATGCCGCATTCGATCTGCTCCTCCTCCTCCTCCTCCATTCCTGCTTCTCTCTTTGTCCTGCTTCTCTTCTCTTACTTTTTTGAATCCCTCCATCTATTACGTTCTGCTTATCTCTCCTCTTATTTTCATTCCCCTCAGCATACACCACCGTCGCCATTATGGGTGGGGAGGCTCCGCACATCGCCCCCACAGCTTCCAACTCGCTTCCCCGCTTAGCTGAACGCCCGGTCGGCCAGCGGATCACCAAGATCTACACGGACCGTCTCAAGCAATTCACTGCGACCGGCCAGTATGAAGACCAGAACCTCGTCTCCAAATACAATGAGGCCGTCAATTCCGATTCAGACCATGTCAAGCTCTCTGTTTACTCCGTCCCGACCAGGAGCGCCCGCCCTTCAAGGAGGCAATCTCACATGAATTCACCCCAACCCACATCGGTGCCTCCTTTGGTCCCAGCTGGTCCACCCATTGGATTCGTATTCGATTGACTGTCCCTGAGGATATGCGCCAGAAAGAGCGACTCGAATTCCACTGGGATGCAAATAACGAAGGATTGATCTGGTCCGAGGACGGTCATCCCCTCCAGGGTTTGACAGGTGGAGGTGATCGAATTGAATGGATCATCCCCGAAGAATGGCGGGATGGGAAAGAGCATACTTTCTACATCGAAATGGCATGCAACGGCATGTTCGGCAACGCCCCCGGGGGAGATACCATCCAGCCGCCAAGACCCGACAAGTACTACACTCTCAGCAAGGCCCAGATTACCGCTGTCAATCTAGCAGCTCGTGGCCTATTCTATGATTTCTGGATCATTGGAGATGCGGCTCGCGAATTTCCCGGCGACTCGTGGGAGGCACACGAAGCCAATATGGTTGGCAACGCCATGATCGATGCTTTCATTGCCGGTGACGGAAGCAATGAGTCCATTCAGGAGGCCCGGAAGATTGCACAGAAGTATATTGGCGATAAGGTTGACTCCTCCGATGTTTACGCCCCGGATACTGCACCATTTGTCTACGCTATCGGCCATTGTCATATTGATACTTGTTGGCTCTGGCCTTGGGCGGAGACCAAGCGAAAGGTCGCGCGGTCGTGGTCAAATCAGTGTGACCTGATGGATAGATATCCAGAGCATCGCTTCGCCTGCTCTCAGGCTCAACAATTCAAGTGGCTCAAAGAATACTATCCATCGGTCTTCGACCGTGTCAAGCGCTGGGTGCGAAAGGGTCATTTCCACCCGATCGGTGGTAGCTGGGTTGAGCACGACACGAACATGCCCAGCGGCGAGTCTCTTGTCCGCCAGTTTCTTTATGGACAGCGATTTTTCGAAAGTCATTTCGGCAAGCGATCCACGACATTCTGGCTACCCGATACATTTGGCTACTCAACCCAAATTCCTCAAATATGTCGCCTGGCTGGTATGAGCCGATTCTTCACTCAGAAGCTGAGCTGGAACAACATCAACAATTTCCCTCACACTACGTTCCAATGGGTCGCCCTGGATGGCAGCCAGGTACTGTGCCACATGGCTCCCGCGGAGACCTACACTGCGGAAGCTCACTTCGGCGACTTGAAGCGCAGCGTCACGCAGCACAAGTCCATGGACAAAGACAAATCGTCACTCCTAGTCTTCGGAAAGGGTGACGGAGGTGGTGGACCTACTTTCGGACATCTCGAGAAGCTGCGACGAGCCCGTGGTCTGAGTGACAAGGTCGGGACACTCCCACGCGTCAAAATGGGTGACTCTGTCGATGATTTCTTCGATAAGCTGGAGGCCAATGCTGCTAGTGGCACTGAATTTGCGACGTGGTATGGCGAGCTCTACTTTGAACTTCATCGAGGTACCTATACAACCCAGGCCAACAACAAACGCAATAACCGCAAGTCCGAATTCTTACTACGGGAGATCGAGTTTCTCGCAACTCTCGCCACTGTTCACAGTTTAAAGAAAGAATACAGCTATCCGAAAAAAGATATTGATGATATGTGGGAAGGCGTTCTTCTCTGCCAATTCCATGATTGCTTGCCTGGAAGCTCTATCGAGATGTGCTATGACGATTCGGATAAGCTCTATGCTGAGGTTTTCGAGACTGGCACTAAGCTGCGCAAAGATGCTCTTGCGGCTTTGGGAATCACTGGTCAGAACAGCAAGGATCTTGTTGCCCTCAACACTCTTCCCTGGCCTCGCACTGAGGTTGTCAAGATCCCCGAGTCCATGACATCCTCCAATGCATCCAAGTATGCTCTTGTCAATGGGTCCACCGGTGTGGTTCAATGCAGGCCAGTCGACTTCAAGACCACAGCATCAGTCACCGTCTCCGAGATTAATCCAGGCATTTTCCGCCTGGCAAACAGCAAACTCAGGGTCGATATCCAAGACGGCGTTATACTTTCGCTTTACGATGTTGAGGCGGAGAGAGAAGTGGTCGCAAAGGGTGGCAAGGCTGGTCAACTCGTTATCTTTGACGATAAGCCTCTTTACTGGCAGGCCTGGGATGTCGAAGTGTTCCATCTTGAATCCCGAAAGGAGCTTTCTTCCGGCAAGACGTCCATTGTGGACAGTGATCCTCACCGAGTCAGTGTTGTCACAGAGACCAAGATCAGCGAGAACAGTTGGATCAAGACGACAATCAGTCTCTCTGCCGCCGTTTCTTCCGAGTCATCATACGTGGAGTTCGAGAGCGAGGTGGAATGGCAGGAGACAATGAAGTTCCTCAAGGTTGAGTTCCCAGTCGACGTTACCAACACAGAAGCCTCCTACGAGACTCAGTATGGTATCGTCCGACGCCCAACTCATTACAACACAAGGTATAACTTTCCATATAAACATTGCCTTTCTTATCATCTTACTAACTTTATCTAGCTGGGACATGGCCAAATTCGAAGTCTGCTGCCACAAATGGGCCGACCTCTCCGAAAACGGCTACGGCGTCTCCGTTCTAAACGACTCAAAGTACGGCTTCGCAACCTGCGGCAACCTCATGCGTCTATCACTCCTGCGCGCTCCCAAGGCCCCAGACGCTCACGCCGACATGGGTCGCCACCGCATCCGCTACGCCATTCTTCCCCACGCCGGGGCTCTCGATTCTCGAACTGTCCGAGCCGGATACAACTTCAACCAACCCCTCGTCGTCGAGCAAGCCAGCTCCAATCTCTCAGCCTGCAACGCTGCGTTCAGAGCTGTCTCGGTTCGCGGTGCACCATCTCTGATTCTCGACGCTGTCAAGCGCGGTGAGGATGACGAGGACGTTTCGACCAACGACCTCCCTTCACGTAAGGGCAAGAGCATTGTTGTTCGCATCTATGAATCTCTCGGTGGAAAGGCACGTGGCACCATCCATTCTGGCCTGGATGTCAAGCGGGTCTGGAAGTGCAATGTTCTTGAGGATGATGAGGAGGAGCTTGAGGTTCGGAAGGCGGATGGTGGGTCTGCGGTTTCTATTGAGCTGAGGGCGTTTGAGGTCGCTACTTTCCGACTGCAGCTCTGATTTTCAAGATTTTTGTATGATTGCAATTCATCTTCTGAATTGTTTCATCAGCCACTGTCGTTACATGTCCAGGTACTACTACGGTCAATAAGGGGGGGTCACAGACTTTAGGTGTGCCACTGTACTGCTACGACTGGCAGAGTAGTACTGGTAGCTCCCGAGATAATTTCGGAAACATACTTCTACTATCTTACGAACTTGAACCGTCTGAATACTAGTAACTACTAATACTAGTAGTACTAGTAGTACCGGGGTATGGATGCCACTTGATTTCCCAGGTGCTGCCCAATTTTCCGGGAAATCGCTCGCCCGGGATAGAAGTTGAACCACTTGAAGTTCCAAGTTGGTTGGGAAATGACAAAGTGCCGTTAAAATCGAGTCAGGCTCGTTTGGAAATCATGGATCATAAATAGAAACTCGAGAAAGATCCAATACCACCCTCCACTAATATACAAGATCACCATATAGTGATTGCCCGACGCCGAAGCTCTATTCAACACACAAACTCCAAAAAGTAGCACCATAGACCAGCAAACTCCCCCCATAGAAAAATATGAAATGCAACATTGGCCCTTTTTAGCATGATAAATCAGACACCCCTTCTAATCCCGCCCATAGCTGACCTTCAACCGTTTCGCTGGCTTATCCTCGTCCGAATCTTCGGTCTGGTTCTTCCCCTTTGTATTCTTTGATCCACCGGATGCCTTCTTCTTATTCTTCGACGAGCCGCTGCTGACGTTCTTCACGCCCGACGCAGAAGCTGCGTCCCCATTGCTCTTATTTGAGGGTGCGTTTGGACCTGGTGTGGATGTTGGGGTCGCGGCATGCGAGGGTGTTGTTTGGACGGATGATGGGCCGGGGGGAGTCCTATCGATGCGCACGATTAGTATCTATTTCATTTGGATCTGAGATGAAGTATCATCGCGATCGGCATCGCCTCTCTTCTCAATCACGTACCACCATGTAACTGGCCGAGCTCCGGGAGAAAACCCGGTCGGACTCTGTAACTTGTGCCTTGCGGCGTCCACCTGCGCCGGATCCTGAGACTTGAGACCTGATGCGCCGAGACTGGAACCACTTGCGGAGCCTTTGATATAGTTGTCGAATCCTTTGATGATGTTTCCGGCTGTTGTTTCTTCGAGGTATGATTGCTCGAAACGGAAGATTTGGTCTTCGAGTTGGGACTAGGATTCGTGATTAGCATGCGTAGCTCCCTCTCTCTTTTCACATTTCCGAGAAGGATTCCACCGCCGTAGCGCGTTCCATTAGATCATGCATCATTCGATTGCAGAGACCGAAGGCATTGCCTTGATGGATGGCGCGCGCGACGGTGGGATTCGTCACTCACCATGCTCTTATCCATCAAACGCTTCTTGCTAATTGTATCCCGGAGGTCTCGACGCAGTTTCTCGTAGTATGGAAGTCCGCGACTATTGACATTTTGGTCGGTTGGCGCATTCGGGGCCCCTGTGGTTGCGCCGTTGGCCGGTGTAGCGGGCGCGTTGGTTGTGGGTGCCACTGCCTGAGCGGGGGCAGTCTCGGCCATAGTGTGTGTATTTGTGTGTGTAGCTGTAGATAGGGTTGAATTGGTGGAGATTTGGGGTCGGGATAGGTGGTGGGATGTCGTGGAAAAGTGATGGTTCGCAGATCGGATGCAGCAATTGCGGGATTCCACTCAGGTCGCGATGAGCACTGCAGCTTATCGGTGTTTGCCTGGTTTGCACCCTCTGGTGGTGTCACATCGTCGGTGTTTACATCTTCATCACTCGTCTTACTGCTTTGCTTCGGTCACTTTCACTTCTCAGATCTCTGGAACCTTTCGCTTTCGATTTACGATTTTCGATTTCCCTCGTTGAAACCGCATCTCACTCACGATGGATCACTCGATGCATGCTATGCACGACATGGACCATGGACACAGCGGCCATGGCGATATGGACATGGGGGATCAGTGCAGCATGAACGCAAGTCCCCTCTTGATCAAAGCGATATTTGCTCAGCATAGCTAACTCTGCTCCTTTAGATGATTTTCACCTGGTCCTCGAAAAACCTCTGCATCATCTTCCGCCAGTGGCGCATCACCGGCCCCCTCTCCCTCCTCTTGTCCCTCATCCTTATCGTCCTCCTCACGGCTGGCTACGAGGGTGTACGACATGTAACCCGCAAATACGAAGCTGCCCATAACCAGCGCTTGAATGCATTTGTTGCAACGACCAGTTCGTCAGGTAGGTTTTCCCTCTCTTTTCCTGGCCCCCTCTTTTCCCCTCTCGGCGGACAATATCGGGGGATATGTGGCGATGGCATGGCGCGGGTAATCTGAGACAACTTGACGGGTGATGTTGGACGGCGGTGATGTTTACACATTAGCCCCTCCCCTCTATTTCTGGAGTCCTGGTTCAAGCTCTCATTCTTCTTTGCTTTGCAGACAATGGGATTCCCCGGCCCGTCACCGCTGACCTCCCGACCGATGCGTTTCAACCCGTTGCTGGCGAAGGCTCACCACTGCTTGTAGGACGGGATAATCGAGCTGCTGTTGCTCGGCGGGGAAAGCTTACTCTGGCTGCGCTGTATGCCATTCAGGTGTTTTATAGTTTCTTCATTATGTGAGTGTTTCTACAGAGTGATCCGTGGTCTTTCAAAATAGACCCCTCCTAACGCTTTGTAGGCTTCTGTTCATGACTTATAATGGCTCGGTTATGCTGGCTGTTGCTGTGGGTGCATTTGCTGGGTATTTGGCTTTTGCCGACGATGGAACCTCTGCGCAGAAGACTGTTGCTTGCCACTGATCATTATCATCTATTCCGTAATGGCGTTGTGGTTCTTTCATAGCACGAGCGAATATATATCGCTCATACCTAGGTACTCCATCAATCTACCTTATCGTTAATATATATTCCAATCTCTTCATGCAAGTAATTAGTGGGTCCGAATCTCCGTTTCCATGGATCATATTGAAGTTGCTTGGGCTCAAGTTCATTGCGTCGTATGCATTCAAGGCTGTGTCTGTATTTATGCAAGAATATAGTAGGAAATAGAACCAAAACCTCTCAAACCGGGCATGGTTCATATGCAGTCGCCAATATTTCTATGCGTCATCACTCATGGAACTTCGGCATCGCTGTCGTCGCCGAAACCAAAGCTGAAGCCTCCTTCAGCACTTTCGCTTTCAGGCTCACCTTCCACCTTCCCATGAACAAGCTCCTCCCACTTGCGCTTTTTGCCATCTGCCTTCCGTTGCAGCTCCTCGAGTGCCTCCTCAAGGAGCTCGGGATATGACTCACGCATGCCGTTAACAAATGTTTCATAAGGGTTGGCCACGTTCTTTCTGAAGCCGGAGACTTGGTCGGCCTTATTAGACATGAAATCCAATGCTGCTCCGAGATGCGCCCGGGGGATGAAGTTCTGCGTGATGGCGATTGATGGTTCCAGATTCACCACCAGATGCCACCAGCCCGATGGAACGTGTAAAATCTCACCCTCGCCACAGATACCTTCCATACAGCCCGCAGTTCGTCGGGCCTCGGCGTGGAAGTTCAACAGCCACTCGGCGATGCTGAGTGGCGAAGTGACCTCGCTCATGTCATCCGATACGTATACACCAGGAGGCGGGGGTCGCTTGTCGCCAGACGGGAACATGATCCAATATTTTGGTCCGCGGAGGACGGCATTCCAGGCGCTTGTGGCGTTGGGATCCTTGTGGAATTTACTACCCGATCGCTCGGGTCCGACAATCAGCCACTGGTGATCGGGCCGGTCGCTGCCTACCACCGAGAAAAGATCCTCGGCGAAGCAGGCTGGTGGCCAGTAGGAGGCGTTGGGAGTTGTCTCGGGAGCACCGACTGCCAACCCCATTTTGGAAACGAAGCCACGATCAAACAGGTACAGAGGGCTCTCGTCCGAGTTATCGGCCATGTAATCGCCGTACGTTCGTAAGGGCCAATCGACAGCCTCAGCGCGGAATGTGCCCTGGCCATATCGGCCCAACAAGGTGCCGACCGTCCAGTCCTTGTAGACGGGCCAAGACTTGACGGGTTCGGTCAAGACGAAGGGAGTGTCGGCCCATTTCTCATGGAATTCTTCCGGGGAGAGGTCGGCGAAACGGGGAATTTGGTTGCGCAGAGGGATCTTGGTCACATAGGGATCCAGATTGATGTGTGCGCAGCTGAAAGGCTGGTAGAGTGCATCAGAATAAAGATGGGAGCAATCAACGGTGGGCACCTTTGTTGCGGGTAAATTGAGATAAGTAGATCTCCAGGTACCCCTCCATGTAAAGTTTTCTGGATGTGACCTGTAATATTGTCAAGTTAGCAAGGGTCTCTTCAGGGCTGATGAAGCAGTCGCTAGTTGAGCCGCATCCACTTGGCTCCGCTCTGCCCCCACGAGGATATACTTCCGCGGCTAGACCTCAAGCCATTTCCTCCACAGAGCGCTAGCTGCCAGCGTTTGAACATGTAACAAAAAAAAAGGAAGATATCTTACTCAACGAAAAGCGCTTTCCAGATTTCTTCAGCCCGGGTGAATGCATAAAAGGCCTTGCATGTGCGGCCAAGACGTAGTAAACTGTGGCCATCCAGACCTTCCAATAGTATCAAGATTAATTCATCCGGAAGTAGTTTGAATGATCCGATAGTGTCGCGCAAACTCCATGTAGCTAGTAATGCATTTCCACTAGGTTTAACACCCAATGGATGAGATGGGATAGCTTCTTTGTGATCATCGTGATCCTCTTGGGCCGGTGGATAACTTGGTAGTGTTGTGATGTCAGGCATTGTTCCCACCCCTTCTTGGTTTAGGGCTTCAAGATTTTTTTTTCTTTGGGGAGGGGGTTTTTTCTGCCGGTCCGAGCGCACCCCAACAGCCACGATCACAACCGATGTGAAAAGTGGTGAATGAGAGATGAAGTAGGGAGAAGAAAGTCGTAGGAAGTGAACAAGAATAAAGAGAATGATCTCACATCGCCAGAAGGGAAGGAACGATGGGCAAATCGTTGTTTCCTCGCTTGGAGGTGTGAGCCAAATAGGGAAGGCGGTAGGGTGACCCGCCCACCCACCTTTTGGTGAAAAAAAAAAGCGTCGTAGCAAATGGCGGCGCCGGTTGACGATTTTTTCTTTCCTCTTACAACCGTGTCTCCATACACATCACCACCACCACATTCACTTCCCACCTAGTATTCAACGAGCTCTTCGCTTTAGAAGAGTCTTTGATACTAGATCCTTAACGCAGCGAACTTCCCCCACGGGCAACGTTCGCTTAATTCTCCCCCACCAGATCACAGCGATAAATCGCCTGTGATCATCCACCTCTACCGCCAACATGTCGAACGACAAGGGTCTTGAGGACCTCGCTGAGGGTATGTGAAATATCCTCTCCGATTTTTCCTTTTTGAATGTGTGGAATACTCTTGTCGCGCTGCCCTGGTTGCTCGCGACTTTGGGTGGCGACGTCAAAGGGGGATTCAAGAAAATTGAGATAAGGACCAGAACTAGAACCAGAACTGACAATACTTGCGCTTCTACAGGTCAGATCGAGTCTAACTACGATGAGATCACCGACTCCTTCGACGCCATGGACCTGAAGCCCGAGCTGCTTCGCGGTATGTGATATCCCTCGGCGCTTTTTCTCGCCCGTGGCGGGGTATGCAGAAAATTCCTAACTATCAATCCCAGGTGTCTACGCCTACGGTTTCGAGCGTCCCTCCGCTATCCAGCAGCGCGCCATCATGCCCATCATCAAGGGTAAGTTTTTACCCCCTCTTCAACCTCTCTCCGTTGAGAGATTTTCCCAACTTCAGTGCCTAACGGACGAAATTCAGGCAACGATGTCATCGCTCAGGCTCAGTCCGGTACCGGAAAGACTGCCACTTTCTCCATCTCCGCTCTGCAGAAGATCGACCCCAACCTGAAGGCTTGCCAGGCTCTGATCCTTGCTCCCACCCGTGAGCTGGCTCAGCAGATCCAGAAGGTTGTTGTTGCCATTGGTGACTTCATGACCCTTGAGTGCCACGCCTGTATCGGTGGTACCAACGTCCGTGAGGATATGACCGCTCTCCGTGAGGGCCCCCCAGGTCGTTGTCGGTACCCCCGGCCGTGTCCAGGATATGATCCAGCGTCGCGTCCTCCGCACCGACCACATGAAGCTCTTCATCCTCGACGAGGCCGATGAGATGCTGTCCCGTGGTTTCACCGAGCAGATCTACGACATCTTCCAGCTCCTTCCCCAGTCCACCCAGGTTACCCTGCTCTCCGCCACCATGCCCCAGGACGTCCTCGAGGTCACCACCAAGTTCATGCGTGACCCCGTCCGTATCCTGGTCAAGAAGCAGGAGCTTACCCTTGAGGGTATCAAGCAGTTCTACATCGCTGTTGAGAAGGAGGAGTGGAAGCTCGACACCCTGTCCGATCTCTACGAGACCGTCACCATCACCCAGGCCGTTATCTTCTGCAACACCCGCCGCAAGGTCGACTGGCTCACCGACAAGCTCACTGCTCGTGACTTCACTGTCTCTGCCATGCACGGAGATATGGAGCAGGGCCAGCGTGATGTTATCATGAAGGAGTTCCGTTCCGGTTCTTCCCGTGTCCTGATCGCCACTGACCTTTTGGCCCGTGGTATCGATGTCCAGCAGGTTTCCCTGGTCATCAACTACGATCTCCCCGCCAACCGTGAGAACTACATTCACCGTATCGGTCGTGGTGGTCGTTTCGGTCGTAAGGGTGTTGCCATCAACTTCGTCACCGCTGACGATGTTCGCATGCTCCGCGAGATCGAGCAGTTCTACAGCACCCAGGTTGAGGAGATGCCCATGAACGTTGCTGACCTCATCTAAACTCCCTAACTCCTTTTATGTCTTGATGCGGATTACGATCGCAGAACCTGCGTCAAAAGTGGCTTTCTGTGTTTCCTAACGCATTTCCGCTCGCAGCTGGCCTGATGGGGGTTGGCCAAAGGCCATCCCCTACTGACATCGGGTCACTTGTTATGGTTTCCTATGTCCCTGCACCCACCGGAGATGTGACACGTTTCTGCGTTTTTGCTGTCACGGTTTTCCTTTTACTGCATTTTTCTCCGTTACCTCTGTATCTAGCTCGCTCTGATTGGTTAAGGATGCCCTTTATGATACTTAATCGAATAGATCGGGCCAAAATGTTACTTGTTCCTCACGGTGTTGTCCTAGAGTAACCTTGAATGTTTTTTTTTTCTGTTTCCAGTTTATTTTCCATCGGTTCTAATTTCCTCGTAGTCCATCCTGCCTGTATAGCCTGTTTCCTGTTTCCCCGTTGCGTAGTCCTCCAGGGCTCGTACTAGGCAAACTTCCCAGCCGCGGGTATGTTTACCTACCGCGACTTCCATCTCGCTTTCCAACCACCCACATACTTCTTCGCTCGAGTTCTTCACTGGTCTTCTTCCAAGACTTGCCATTTCCCAAGGTAGTTTGATCTTACTTTAATCCTTTCAATACTCATCTAACCAATCCCCCCAGCTACCACCTTGAGGCATCTCAAACGGCAACCACCATGGCTTGGGATCCTGCCCAAGTGAAGCCCTCGGCGCTTCTCTGGACCTACGAATTGCAACGCGAGCAGGAGGCCTTGACCCAGCATATGAAACAGGCAAAAGATCAGATTGAGAAAACCGAGGACCTTGTCGGTCACCTTTCAACCTGCCTGAAAGATCTTACGGTTATTGTCGCTTCGATTGCCACGTCCCTCAACGACCAAACACCCCAGGGCCAACAGCGCCTGCGTCGCCTTCAAACCGAGCTCAATGAGATCGTCCTCCCCGTATACGACAGAGCCAAAACAATCGTCAATCGGAACGAGATCTTACTTGCTACAATCGCCAAGCTCCGAGGTCTACACAACACCGCGAACTTCGGCACCACTATCACTGCACCGAAGGCACCACCCGGTCTGGAGCCCACTTCACCGAAGACCTCAGCCATTCCCGAACCCACTACACCAGAAGAACTACTCGGTCCCACTGGACGGAAGGCATGGCCAAAACCCAAGCCCGATCCAAATAAAGAGTTCGCATCGTCCCCAATAACCCAAGTTCTTCTCGACCTCTCACGTTCCGGCACCGACCCAAGCAAATACAAAGACGCCGAAGCCGTTCGCATCGAAAAGCACGCAATCGCCAATATTCTAAGTAGGGAAACCTTTGATAGGAACGTGAAGAAGTTTATTCACCAGAGGAACCGCCCAATCAGTGAATACTTTGACGAAGCCCACGAATTTCGACGCCGGTGGTCGATCGCCGTATACGGCAACGGGCCTACAAAAGATACCAACGATGCTCTCATGATTAGTTCCTTCATCGCCGGTCTGGACAGTCCTCTCTACCGACGACGATTCAAACACTGGCTGCGCAAGGAACACTGGACATGGAATTTTGTATGTCACTTTACGCAGATATTGGTCATGGAGGAGGAGTATATGGCTAAGCAGGAGTATGCGATGGATCATCAGCTTGAGGATGGGTCTGTGCTTTTTCCGGATGGGGAGAGGTGTTACCGGTTTAGTTATTTGCCGCCCATTACGGATGAGGATCTTACTTCGAGTGACATTTATGATGATTGAGGGTTCGTTGTGGGATGGTTACTATGGGCTATCAGATTCGGTAATTGAAGCAGCTCACTATGTCGCGTGGATATCTCGAGGAGCGTTCGGTTTTGGAATCCAGGAAACCGTCTTGGCTCTGAAGGTAGTAGTTAGCAGCCAGCGTGGATATCTTGAGGAGCATTTCGGGGTGAGAGTTTAGGGAATTGACATTATAGCTATCATTCCTATGTATCGTTTTTATATGTTCAATTAGTGACGAGCTTCTATGTATTTTCAATAGCGAAAACCTTAGTATTCTTACTTTCCAAATCAGAAGCTATTGAAAGAAATACGGTCAATAATACCTAGGGGCTACGAATTCCTGCAGAAATGGAGCTACTGCACAGGCCTATATTGCAATTACCAGTGGTATTTATCTAAGTATTTCTTCCCTTCAATTTCTCTTTGGACGTAATAACCACCTGGGCACTACCAGTCATACAATCTCTGTGGATTTTCCACCATCAGAGTCTTCCACTCCTGATCAGACAACCACGAACGTAAACTTCTCAACCAAGCCATATCATCAACTTCCAGATATGGAGCCTCCTTCAAAGCCTCCTCCCTCGTACGAACCTTCATTAAGGGCGTATGTGGCCTGTCAACTGAGATTAGCATTTTTTCAAACTGCCAAATTGAACCCAAAAGACAGAGACGGATACATACCAATCACTTCCCCACAAAATCTGCTGGGGATTAGCATCAAACAAAGCCCTGACAAGCGGCTTGAGATCTTCGAAATGCGGCGCCTGGGTACTAACCCGGTATGGCGCACTTATTTTAACAAAAAGATGCCCTTTGTGAACTAGGTCAAGAATATCCTCAAACCCGGGTTGCTTGGTAACATCGGCGTCAACATCTCCCTGAATCCCGGTCCCAGTCGATTCAGATAACATGCTTCGACCCTTGAGCAACGCGAAATGATCCGTCACCAGCCTAATCCCCCTCGCCACAACCTCATCCTCAATAACAGGTTTCAATTCAGCCCAGAATTCCGGGTGCGTGTGGGTAAACGCCATGCTCCAGCCGGTACAGTGGCCGTCCAGAGCCCGGGCATGAGCGGTGAGTGCGAGCTTCTGCAACTCGACATCGTGCATTGCGTTGTAGCGGTACATGTTGACTCTGATGCCGCGGACGCCATTTCTGTGGAGATTGGCGAGTTCGGCCGGGGTGGTTGTTTCAGGGTCAATTACGGCGATGCTTCGCGTTGTTGTGGGGCCGAGGTCTTGCGTGAATGTGTGTAGGCATGTGCTGTCCGCGCCGTAGGAGAGGCCGTGGGTTAGAACTGAGTTTGTGAGGCCGATTTTTGATTTGAAGTCGGTGTATTGTTTTATTGTTGCGGGGGGTGGGGTTAGGTGGCGGTTTGTGTCATAGGGGAATCTTGAGGCTGGGAGTTTTAATGTTAGTTCTCTGTTATAGGGATGTATTGGGAATTTTCCTGATTGTTTCGGATCGAGGTGAAAGAGTGTCTTACGTTCGAAGATGTGGTGGTGGACGTCCCATCCGCCATCAGGGAAGAGTGGCGACGACATATTTGGCTTGAGAATCTCCAGGTTCAATTTGTTTATTGAATAGACGTGGGACTGCTTAGGAGTCTGCTGGATCTGGTGACTGCCACAGCGCAATCAGGAGGACGACTGAGATACTCAGAGGCTGTGCTAAGAGCGAAAAGATATAAAATAAAATAAGGAGATACTCAGCCGGCTAAGATCGACCCCGGAATCCAATAGCAGGAAAAGGAATGGGCCAACAGACCGAGAGTAGAGACCCGGGGCAGAGGCCCGGAGTGTCCCATTCATGCCTGGCATAGGAATATTGCGAGATTTGGATTTTTGGGGGTCACCCCAGGGTGGATTTTGTGAGTATCACGAATGGCGATACTCTGGAGCGCTCCGGGTGGGTCTGGAGCGGTCCGAAACGCGGACGCATCTTGACCAAGGCCACCCTCTCCTTGGAAATTCCCATTCTGATCCTACTCCTTTTCTCGGAGACATTCCGAAAGGAAAGGATATGCTGCGCACCTCCGAGACCGTGGTTGTCCCGATTGCGAATTCGCGATGTCGGACTGCTCCCATCCGTATCGCAGAGATGAGCAAAACAGTCGCTCATTGGATAGGCTCGTCATGATGCCGACTCATATGAACCTGGGCATTGACAAGATGCCTTGAGATCCAGCGCTGAGTTCAAACCATGTCGACTGGAAAACAGCAGGTATCTCCCTGGCAATCTATACTCGCCGGAGGCGCTGCCGGTGGCCTTGAGAGTTTGATCACTGTATGGAAGACATGAAATATGAATGAACAAGTGCATACTAACTTCTTTGATATTCTTTAGTATCCGACAGAATATCTCAAAACTCGTCAACAACTCGTTCAGCCCGGTGGTGCACAGAAACAGTCGCTTTTACAGCTCCTTACATCCACCGTTCGACAGCATGGTGTCCGCGCTCTTTACACTGGCAGCGGGGTCTTCTGCGCGTCCAATGCTTCTAAGTCCGCCATACGATTTTTCACATTTGACACGGCCAAGCAGTATATGCCGACTGATGGGAAGGGGAAAGTCACGCCTCTAGGAAATATGGGTGCTGGCTTGCTGGCCGGAGTGGCAGAGGCAGTTATCGTGGTAACACCCGGAGAGACCACCAAGACAAAGATGATCGACGATCGTGCTGGTCCGAAACTGTACAGATCGACTAGCCATGGAGTCCTATCCATTGTCAAGAAGGAAGGTCTGCCGGGGATATACCGGGGTATGATCCCGGTTACATTGAAGCAATCTGCCAATGCGATGGTGCGGTTCACGAGCTACAATGTCATCCTGAGTAAAATGCAGGCGAATTCCTTGCCGGCATCAATCTGTACGGTCCTCGCAGGTGCTATGGCCGGCGTGGTCACCGTCTATGCGACTATGCCATTTGATTCGGTCAAAACTCGACTGCAGGCTGTCGATGGAAACCAGCGGTATCGAGGCTCGCTGGATTGCTTCCGTTCGGTGATTACGCAGGAAGGTGTCTCTGCTTTGTGGAGAGGAACTACTCCACGGTTGGTTCGGTTAAGCGTTCGTAGATCCCAGCCTTGCCATGTTTCTGACTATTGCTAACGTCTAAAATTGTAGGTTTCGGGTGCGCTTAGCTTTTCAATTTACGAGGCCGTTGTTCAGTGGACGAGAACGTTATCGATGGCCAAATACCAAGATACAGATAAAGCACACTCGTAGTGTGATGAAGTGGTCAATGTTTCTAAATAATTAGAATAATCTGGGTTTCCGTTTGTTTTTCTTTTTTTTTGGACCTAGTAGATACTCGAGTCGGCCAATACTTCTTAATATACCAGTGATTATGTAGAGCTAACCCTTGGGAAGGTCCCGAGGTCTTGATGAACTACTAGTAGTACATGGGTATCCCTTGATTCGGAAACCTCCCAATCCGTGATCTGATTCAGTCCAATATTGTCAAAACTGTCAAAATTCAAGAACACGAGGATCAATCTATGCCAAGGCGTTTTTTTACTTCCGATACGGAGAAGATAATAGGGCTAGATCCGTGGTTCCCTATGGCACCATACATATGCGCGCTGTACCCCAGAATCGGCCTGCGAGCCAAGCCTTTCCCCACAGCACGAAACCTTCCCTTCTCAACTCTCACAATCTGCATTCTCTAGAGTCTTCGCGAATTTGAATCGCACAGCATTCATAAAAAACCCTCGGTAGCCCCGGCGCCACTACCGGCAATATGCCTTCCGAGGATGGCAGCGTTGCACCGCCGAGAAAAGTCCGCTCGGCATGCCGCCGATGTCGCCAGAAACGAGCCAAGGTGACTACCCGCGACCATTATAGTGTCAAGAAACTGCTGACCATGTTATGAGTGCGATGGTGGAATTCCTGCTTGCAGTAACTGTGCTCGGGCAAGAGTTCCATGTATCGATGTTCATACCGGCAATAATGACTTGTCCATTCCTAGAGAGTGAGTGGTGTCTGCAAATATCGCCACGCGAAAGCAACGTTTCTAACGAGTGAAAGTTTTGCTGTGAGATGCTGTGCTCGCATCAAATGGCTTGAACAAAACATAGGCACTCTTTGCCCTGACTTTGACTTGTTGCAAGGACCCCAGGTGAATGCTGATTTTGTCGAAAGGCTCAATACGTCTTCAGATGGCCCGAGTGTCGCCCCCAGGGCCTCTGCTACTCAAAGAGACACCTCAGAGCCTAGTATTCAGGAGTCGTTGGAGGAGCCAGTCACGAATAAGCGCTCTTACTCGGCCATGGATTCAGATGCCGACTCTCCGCTTTCCGCCAAGGCACGATCCGTAGCGATCGACCTCGGCATGCTTTCACTGCAATCCGATTCGCGTCAGAAACATTACTTGGGATCCTCTTCAGGATTGCTTTTTGCTAAATTGATGGGCTTAGATAATGAGCAGCAATCAGAGCAGACCGCAATTCAAGCACGTCGATTGACCCCGCGGCGCATATCTGACGAGATCTATGAGTCTCTCTATACCAAACTGAGAAAGGTAACAAACCCCACCCCTCTGCGATTAAGTCTATCAAGCATGTATACTGACGTTCAAAGGAACTGCCATCCCCGGAAGAAGCGTGTCTTCTACTTGAGGTTTATTTCGAAAACATCCATATAGATCATCCATTTCTCCACCCTGCATCATTGATCAACGCGTATCATGCATTATATGTGTGTGCTCAAGCAGGGTACAATGGATCTGTGGATCAAAATGGTTGGATTGATGCTGTTCAACCATTCGGCTACAACGGTAAAATTGATACCGTCGCTGGCCGAGAAAGCACCCCAATTTCTTTTCCCACGGCTGTATTCCATATTTTTGGGGTATTCTCATTATCTGCAACCGTTTTGACACGGAAGAAGAATTACGACCATTCCCCAGCTCGCTTTCAGCGTATGGCGATGTGTACGGCATCGGAGATTTTCTCCGGAATTTCTGTTCCGTCTCTGCAGGCTGTCTTATTGCTGGCTGTCCAGAGCCTTATTGAACCAGCTGGCATGAATATCTGGACGTTGATATATATTGCCATGTCTCACTGTATAGACCTCGGATTACAAAGAGAACCGAGTGACTCCAGTATCCCAAGCTGTGCAAGAACTATGTTGAGATTCATCTTCTACACCGTGTATTCCATGGATCGGTAAGGATAAATCTACACTAGCCTTTGGAGAAAGCTCTGCTAATTGTGATAAATAGGTCGATAGCCACTATTCAAGGTCGCCCACTTGGAATCAGAGACGAAGCATTGGATATTCGACCCCCGGACGAAGCAGATATTGCAGAAATGATGAAGATGACAGAGGGCGATTTGATCATCAAGCTACCATCATCAAGACTTCTGGAGCTCTCAATTTCAAGGTTTCGATTAGAACAACACATCTCAGAGATTAAGCTCCTTCTATACCACTTACCGACCCGCACACATAGTTTTGTCTGGCCAACAAATCTCTCCGAAATAAAAGCAAGAATCAAGTCCGATCTTGATGACTGGCTCCAAGGGGTCCAACGGATTGTCCCATTGAACAATATGGATGCAGAAGAAAATACCATATTTCAATTTCAGAAATTGAAACATGAACAGCTATATCATTCAGCAGTCTGCCTGCTTTTCCAACCATCGCAATCATTCCCGAGCCCAAATCAAGAGGCATTGAGATTATGCTACGAGAGCTGCAGCACACGCTTGCAGATCTATGACGCGCTTAGTAAACGAGAAATGCTCTATTATAACTGGCGCAACATCCACGGAATATTCTCATCGGGAGCAACCATCGTCTACTGTGCCTGTGCATCCCGAGACTTACAACGCGCCATACCCTTTGCAAGGCTACTTCGTGATCTGCGCACTTGTTCCAATCACCTCAGCATCGGAAGCCAATGGTGGCCTTCCGTGCGCAGCGGTAAGGAGAGCTTCGAGATGATGATTGACTTGGTCATCAAACATTTCAATGGCCTGCAGCTTCAAATCCACGACCCTGGTACCTCATCCGAGAGACAAAGAGGACCTAATATCTCACAGGCTGGAGCCTCACAACCACCTCCGTCCTACACTAGTGTGTATACCGTGGGCAAAGATCAGACGGAACGGGGAATTGCCTACAGTGACCAGGGACACCCTCAAACCGATCAGTTTGATTCGGTCAACCAGGAACCGTCATTTGGGATAAGTAAGTTGTTGAAGCCTCATACTGGTCAAATATCTTGTTCCGCATCTTTCTTGAGAAAACCCTTGCTAATATGATTAGTGAATAATGCCCAGCAATCACTCGACAACATTGATCTTCCCCTGTCTGTGGACCCCTTGCAAGACTATGATCCCCCAACAATTGAAGCTGCGATGGAAAATTTCATGGCGGACTATTTACATGAAGATTGGGGCTGGGATCCATTCTCAAACTCCGCTGGACCTTTCGATTTTCAAGGGAATGGATTTCTTTAGATTATTGCGCGCAGAGGTGGTGATAATAGTTGTCAACGTCACATTTTCAAATAAGACTTCTATAGTTACAGTTATAAGCAGGAGACTAGCCTCTATGTGAAACTTTCCATGGCGTATTTGTATTATACATTCTCGACAAAACATTTACTTCCTAAGCTTCTTGATGGTTGGCCCCATCTCATCTCCATTTTCCAAACAATCCCTGGTCTTCTCATCAATCTCATACCGCTCCTGGCAAAGACGCAAGCACTCTTCAACGGTATCAGGTGGGATTGCAACGACGCCATCACAATCACCAAGGATATAATCACCTGGGTTGATGGTCACCTTCTCATTTACCTCAGCATTATCATACTCAACTGGAACGTTGAGCTCGGACGACCGGGTAAAAGTGTTAGATCCCAAAATACTGATTCCACGCGCAAAAAGTCCCATATTCAAGGCACGATGCTCCTCGATATCCCGGAAGCGACCATCGATGACCACACCAGCAGCTCCGAGCTTCTGGGCGCGAGTACTCATCAGTCCTCCCCAGCATGCGCTGATCAAGCCCTTCGGCTGGGAGACAAAAACGACACTGTCCTTCGGGATGGCGTCGGCAAAGTGGCATGGAGGATTTGAAAGTATCTTATCAGCCGCTGGCACCATACGCACTGTATAGGCTGGTCCAAAGATTTTGGATGGTCCGCTCATACGGTGAGGGCTGTACATGGATAGACCGGATAGGTATCCGCCATGCTTGATTCCGAGCTTCACGAGAGCGTCTCCGATCTCAACGAGATTCATTTAGATATGCTCCAGTATTGGGAGATCAAAGTAACTTACATCGCAGGAGGCGAATTTGCCCAATGCTTGGACGGCCTTTGCTTTGGTTGCCATTTGAGTTGAAAGGTATCAAGATTTTTTGGTTGTGATGGTTCTGGAAACAAATCGGCGAATGTTCAGGGTTTTTTTTTAGAAAAAAGAAGTGGTGGACAGGGTAACTCGGCCTGACTACTCCTCATAAAATGATAATGAAAATCAATTCCTATTATGCGGAGATCCCCTCCTTGCACCGGTTCGAGTTCGCTGTGATGGTCAACTTCGGTCATCCCGACGATTTTATTGGTGCGGAGCCCTCCAGACCCACCCGGAACAGCCCAGTATCGAAGGCAAGACTCGCAACCCTTGGGAAAGTGGCGATCTCGGCGAACAACAGGAGTTAGTGGATCGAAAAATGTTGTAAATTGAAGATCTCCGTATTGGTTGCTTGAATTCGGCCCGAGTCCTTTTTATAACTGCCCCCCCCCGCGTTGTTCAGCCTGCGCACTCTGCGATCGTGTTGACCTCAAGCTGCCAGCATGTCGCAAACTTTATCGCGCATTGCGCAGAGACCACGGAGACTACAGACATGTTCGCTTTTACAACCGCGAAGGCTTGCAACTTCTAGCACGTCTCCGTCTAAGATCCTCGGTGTCGACTACAACAAACAACTCGCGGTCCTCGATACCCTGAAGAAGCAATCAGAACGTCCGTTGACATTGACCGAGAAGCTATTATATAGCCACTTGATCATGGATGGAGGCCGTGAGTGGGATCTGGAAAAGATAGATCGTGGAAAGACTATACTCGAGCTGCGACCGGATCGCATTGCTTGTCACGATGCCACTGCTACTATGGCTCTGCTTCAATTCATCAGCGCCGGTCTTCCGCGTGTGAGAACCCCAACGACAGTGCACAGCGACCACCTTATTATTTCCGAGAAGGGCGCGACAGAGGATCTACAACGAGCTTCTTCAGAACATGCAGAGGTGTACGACTTTCTCAGCAGCGCGTCAAGAAAATACGGTATTGGGTTTTGGAAACCTGGGTCTGGCATCATTCACACTGTGATTTTTGAGAACTACGGCATGTAAGTTATATTATTTTGTTCCGAACACTAAAAGATTTTTGCTGATTCTTCTTCTTCTGAAAGGCCTGGTGGATTGATCATCGGAACTGATTCGCACACACCGAATGCTGGAGGACTAGGAATGCTTGGTATTGGAGTGGGAGGCGCCGATGCCGTCGATGCTATGTCCGGAATGCCTTGGGAACTTGTTGCTCCCAAGGTTATTGGTGTCAATTTAACAGGCCAGCTCCAAGGATGGGCGTCAACCAAGGATATTATTTGCAAGATAGCCGGCATTCTCACAGTTTCTGGCGGAAAGGGGTCGGTGATTGAGTTCTTCGGACCCGGTACTCAAACACTAGGAGCAACCGCAATGGCTACTATCTGCAACATGTCGGCAGAGATTGGTTCTACATCTTGCATCTTCCCTCATTCACCTTCAATGGACCGCTACCTGGCAGCTACCAAGCGCGACTACGTGGCACAGGCTGCCAACAACGTCCGGGACGTCCTCCTCACAGCCGATGAAGGATCTCAACAATACTATGATCGCATCATTGATATCGATCTCTCTACCCTGGAACCGCACATTAATGGCCCTTTCACACCCGACCTGGCCCATCCACTATCACAACTCAAAAATTCCATCGCCGAAGAGGACTGGCCAATTGACTTGAGCCATGCTATGGTTGGCAGCTGCACAAATAGTTCTTACGAAGATCTCGATAAATGCAGACAGCTTATCCGGCAAGCGAAGGCAGCTGGTACTTCCAAGTTCAAGGTTCCATTCCTGTTGACACCGGGAAGTGAGCAGATTCGCGCAACAGCCGAAGCTGATGGTATCCTGAATGAATTGAGGGAAGCCGGTGCTGTCGTGCTGAGTAGCTCGTGTGGACCGTGTGTTGGATCATGGGACCGCAAAGATGTGGACGTCAAGGGCAAAGAGAAGAACTCCGTCATTTCGAGTTATAACCGCAATTTCATCGGCCGACATGACAGCAACCCTGCGACCCATTCATTCGTGACCTCGCCAGAAATGGTCACAGCCTTCGCTTACTCCGGTCGACTTGATTTCAACCCAATTACTGACGAAATCATTGGATCCAAGTCGTCGTTCAAACTCGAGGCCCCAAATGCCGAGGAGCTGCCGCGGCGCTTCGAGTCCGGCCTGGAAACTTTCCAAGAACCGCCCGCTGATGGGTCCTCTTTTTCGGTTTCCGTTGATCCCAAATCGGATCGTTTACAGCTGTTGAAGCCATTCGATAAGTGGCAGCCCGGTAGTACCAAAGACATGGAGGTTCTTATCAAAGTCTCTGGAAAATGCACTACGGACCACATATCACCTGCAGGGCCATGGTACAAATATCGCGGTCATCTCGAGAATATCAGCAACAACATGCTTACCACGGCAACAAATGCCTTCCTCCCTGATGATCCGCAACTACTTGGACACACCAGAAATCCTCTGACAGAGGATATAGACGTTGTACCAGAAGTCGCCCGTCACATGCAGAAACAGGGCGTACGCTGGTGCATCATCGGAGATAACAACTACGGCGAAGGCAGTTCTCGTGAACACGCAGCGCTTGAGCCACGCTTTTTGGGAGGAACGGCGATTATCGCACGCTCTTTTGCTCGTATCCATGAGACGAATCTGAAGAAGCAGGGCATGCTCCCCCTTACGTTCGATGACCTTGCGGACTACGATCGCATCGCGGACGGAGATCGAATCTCCTTAATTGGAGTTGAAGAGGGTGAGCTCCAGCCCGGCAAGTGCGTCACGATGAGGGTAGCCAGCAAGGATGGCTCGACCTGGGAGACTCAGCTCAACCACAGCTTTCACCAAGGTCAGCTTGCTTGGTTGCGGGCCGGTAGCGCTCTGAATTATATAAAGACCAAGACAATTGGCAGGTAGATCCATGGATGAGATGTTCAATTTTCAAAATTCTGTACTTTAGTTTCACTCGAACTATCATGATTCCTGGATTAGGTATATCAAAACTTGAAGTTCAATGTTCAACAACACTTGATTAATACTAGTAGTAGTAGTAGTAGTAGTAGTACTGACCCATTCCACATCTCTTTTAACCGTGGATGATCTAGTACTAGTAGAAATCAGGATGAGTGCTGAATGGTGCACATATGCCGGACCTTCTTCTAATCTGATCTTGGCTCTCGATCAAACTCTCAGGTTCTAAAATTAAAATATTCCATATAATAGCTTCTTAATATGGTCCTAGTAGAGAGTAATAGCTACCAGTGGGGGATAGAATATCCATACTAGTAGACGAATTGATTCAAATCCGAAGGCTACGAGTCAAATAAACCAAAAAAAAAAAAAACCTTTAATACACACCGAAAGCCCAAAATGCAATTTTAAGAATTATTGATTAGAGAATTACCAATGGTCCTAGAAGCCCTATTGCCACCCACGGATCCCTCCGCCCCCCCCGGAATACTCCCTACCCCAGATTAATTCCCCACGCCCGCCTAAACCAATGCCGTGCCGGGGATTCGTCAACCAACTAAATTTGCCGCCACAACTTTCCGTTTCCAACCCGCTCGGGCTGCTCCTAGTTCAAATTCTCCCCCACAGAAAGCGTTCGAGATGGAGCGTGCCACCCACCGTGTGATGTCGCTATTATGTACTAGCTCGATTTTCTGTGACTGGGGATTCATATAAACCCTCCTAGAGCACTTCTCACCTTCTTCAGAATGTGAGAGCTCGTCGTTCTTCTATACTCATTATCTACAGATTTGGGATTTCCTTCTTCATTTCACCAGCTACCAGACTTCAGACATCGAAAGATGGGTGCTGCAGGTGGAGGATGGTCCAACGACGCCCTCAAAAAGGTTCCTCTCCCAGCACGCAGGGGCTACGTCTGGCTTGCTGCAATCTGGGCTTCTTATTGTGGTGGTCTTCACGGCTTCAACACAGCAAACATCTCCGGCACGATGAGCCTGAAGCCTTTCATCAGGGACTTTGGATGGACAGATCTTCCCTCGGAAACGATATCTGGTTATTCAGGATGGGTCGTCTCCTCGATGCTTCTCGTAAGCTATCCGTGTGAATATTTTGTGATGCCCAATTCGCTGACTTCCCATCTTCACAGGGACAAATTCTTGGAGTCTTGGTGTCCGGCCCCTTGGGTGAACGGCGCGGTCGAAAGTCCGTCATTATTTCTGCCGCCATCTTTTACTCTATCGGTGCGATCTTGATGGCTGCCAACTTCGGCTCTCTCGCTGAGCTCCTTGTCGGGAGAGTCATGTCTGGTATTGGTTCCGGTCTTGGGATGACCGCTGGACCCATCTATATTTCAGAGATCGCACCCACAGAAATGCGTGGCATGATGACGACATTCTACAATATCAATATCATGGGTGGGGTAGCTGGAAGTTACTGGATCAATTACGCTTCATTCGAACATATATCGCCCGAAAACAGCTGGCAGTGGCGGGCTACGTTAGTCCTTCAGCTCATTCCCGCCATTGTTCTCTTCATTGGCTACCCCTTCTTCCCAGAAAGCCCCCGTTATTTGATGATGAGGGGACAAATAGAAGCTTCCAGACATAGTTTGTTGAAAATTCGAGGCCTTCCAGAATCCGACCCTTACTTCAGTCGTGAATACGACGAAATCAGAGGCCGCGTTGATGCAAATGCCGAGACTCAATCTGCCTGGCAATCTACAAAGTCACTCCTAAGCACATGCGTCACAGACTCCGCAACCCGCAAGATGCTTTTATTCGTGATGATCGTCCAAACATTCTTCATCATGAGTGGCGGCAACTCAATCACTTACTATGCGCCGACTATCCTGAAATCCATCGGGCTGGATTCGGCCCAGGTCCTTCTATTCTCAGCTATTTATGGTATGATCAAGGTATTTAGCATGCTTTTCTATGCATTCTATCTTACCGATCGTTTCGGTCGTCGTCCGCTATTGCTTATCGGCTCCGCAATGAATACTGGATGCTTGATCTACCTTGCTGCTTATCTCGGTCTCGCCGATCTCTCTAAATCAGGCAGTCCATCACCAGCTGCATGGGTAGCAATCGTTGCAATCTGCATCTTCGCCGTTGGATATGCGTTTGGCTGGGCCCCGGTCTTTTCTCTTACAGCCTCTGAGATCTGCCCGACTTCGACCCGCGGAACGGTAGTGACGATTTCCTTTATGTATCAAAATTTGCTGAATTTTGGCATCACGCGTGGATTTCCAAGCATGACCCAAGATATGCACGCTTGGGGACCGTTTGCCCTCTTCGCCGCTTTCACCGGCTGTGCTACTCTATGGGTCTTCGTTGGCTTTCCCGAATGTAAGGGACGAAGCATGGAGAGTGCTGGAGATTTGTTCTACCTGCCTTGGTATAAGACTGGCTTTTCTAAAGTTCCCACTGTTGAGCAGCAGGCTGCTGAGAGGGTTGTTGATTTGGAGAAAGCGTCATGCAGTGAACACCATGAAGACATATCCGCAGAGGAGCGCAAACAGGGCTAGAAAAATCGGTCTCAAACTGGACGACCCTTGAGTACGAGGATATCTTTTATACTCTCGCGTTCTTCATTCATAACAGCTGTGATTTCACCCTAAGATAATTAGCCAATGAAATTCCAACCGTATTATGCGCGCTATGAATTTCTATGCTACCACTGGTAGATGTAAATAGTAGAGAAAATCACTGGCAGTCATACCTAGTCACATTTTTCTTTGACACGACATATGAATGAACTGTTCGAATGACAAAAAATCGAACGCGTGAAAGGAAGAGTGGAGAGTAAGTAGTATCAAGCCTCCTTACCTCGGACCGTGGGCTGCCAAGACTTCCGCTCACCCTGTCCACCTCCACCTCCACCTCTACTTTCTCGTCTTGTTTTCACCTCCGCAACCTTAGAGCCCCCGCCAAGCCTGTCGATTTCACCCAAACGCGTCAATGAAGGTCGCCGAGATATTGTCGGATCTCACGTCTTTGCGCGTGTGTGTAAGTGCCTTCAACCACGCGATCATCGCCTTCACCCTTCACCTGGAAACTCCAAAAGTCCAGGCGCAGTCAACCTGGCTGAAGCAGATGAGCTCAAACTGACCCCTGATAGGATCATCATGCTGCTTTCGCTTTGTTGAATGCCCACCAGGTGACCCTTAACACTTCCTCGCCATCCCACTCGGACCCGACCGCCACGGATGCGATTACATCCAAGAAGAACAAGGACCTTCAACGAGCAAAAGAACTGGTGGAGCTTCATTATGAGGTCAAAGCGCGGCATGTCAATGGCCAAGTCGATACTGCTCTTCAGCAGGCGCGCTCCGATGTCGAACAAGTCCTCAGGGAACTTTCATAAAGGAGACCAGATTCGGAAGGCAAATATTTTCCGCTCTGCATGTGGCGTGTTTCAAGGAATCTCGATAACGACGACATGATTGAATGAAATTGGGTATATCTATCAATGCGTAATAATTTCCATAGCAACTACTTTGTCGAGCAAAACTCGACGATCTGATCATGAGCCACGACACGTCCTTCCGTCTTCCCACATAGCTGTCCTACTGCAGCGGACTTCGTTCGAATTCCATCGTCGCTCAAGACGTGCAGGAGAGCTTTGGAGAATTCGGTTGCGTCGATACCAGGTGCTGCCTTTCGGCTTCCGTTCACTCCAATCCCCAACCATTCCACTCGTGTCGCACAGTCATAAGTGTCAAGCCATTGAGGCAGAACGACCTGTGGAACTCCGACCCTGTAAGATGGATAGGTTAGCCATGGTTTGAGTCGTGAACGAATTCCGATTCACTGGGTCTGGTTTCAACATACTTGCATGCCTCAAAATACGAATTAGCTCCTCCATGATGCACGTAAGAAACGATTCGCCCGGTTTCCAGAACGGAGATAATGTCGGGTTGAATCCAAGAAACTACCTTTACCGATCCAGCGGTAATGAGTGAGCCTAGGACTTTTTGGAACGCCGATGAACCCTCCCAGTCATATCGCAGCTTCCAGAGAACTTGGATATCCGGGTGCTTGGATAGCACTGTTGCGATTCCCTTGGCCATGTCAACAGCAATCTTCTCGGTTGGCTTTACATGGGACCCAAGACTGATAAGAATTGTAGGCTTTTGAAGCCAAGCATCCATTTCGGGGTCCTGCTCAGACAACGGCCGACACTTTCGAAGAATGGGGCCGCAGCTAACGACATTATCCGGTATCTCGAAGGGAAAGTCCAATTCGGGGAAAGCGGGAGTGAGCTGCAAGGCGTCCTTTTCGTATGCATTTGGGAGGGGAAATGGACTGCGCCCTTCCGGCTTCTTTCCATCCTTTACCTCGTCGGGTACTGGCTTTCCGAAAGCCAGAGTCATGACGACACGCAAGATCAAGTACATGTTGTGAAGCACGAGCTTCCAAGGCACTGGGAAAGGAAACCCAGATCCGGTCCTAAGGGGAGTCGTTAGAAACTGCAGATTCATATTCGGATGGCAGTCGCGGCTTACACTGGATACTTCCAAAGAACTGCAGCCTTTGGTTGATTTATGACCACCACGTCCTTGATTGGGACAGGCCATAGCACGGTGAACCGAGTCTTCGTGGCATGGCACGCATCTATACCAACATGGAGAATTGGGTCCACGACGACCATGGCCGGTTGAAGCTCAGCCAAGATATGGACACAAGCATCGTACGCTTGCTTATACTCCGAAGGCCTCCAGCTCTCCATGGCCCGGCCAACCTTGGCAAATCCCTGTGTCGCGCCCTTAACGCCGGGCTTGTGGAACAGAAGTCCGACGCAGCTGCGAATCGCTAAGTCGGTCATGCATGGAGAGGGAATTTCGTGGAATTGGGCGGTGTTTTCGCATCCGGCGCGTTTGTGCAAATTATGAACCTCGTCGGCAACAGGTGCGAAAGAAGCAAAATGAACTTTGAAGTCGCCCTTGCGCAAGAACTCCTCCGCGACGGCGAGAGCCACATTGCATTGGCCCAATTCGCTGTTTGTGAGGAACAAGATATTCAGAGTCGAAGAAGCCATGGTGACCAGCCCAAAAGCAGCGCTTCAAATAAAAAATACAAAAGGGGTGTCGCAAATAATTGTGCGGGGGCCAACGCACTTTAAGCTATTTGTGAAAGACGAGATAAATGATCGCCCCACGGGATCAGTAGGCTTACATTCGTTCGATGTGAAGGGTTACGCGAACATCTTTTCCCTTTTATTACGCTTATAATTGACCGCGAGCCCGATTTCCCCATCCGATTCTCCACTTTGGTCATGTTTCAGTGGGTGAGGCCGCCACATGGATCACTAAAGGGCTGATTTACGGCGTTGATCATTTCTATTTGAACTTTCAGCTCGGCAGACTTTTTTTTCTTGCCCACCCGAGTCTGTCTTTCGAGACTCCTTCTTCGACCGAGGCTTAGGCTCTAACTCTACCATAAAACAAGCTAGAGTGGGATTGAAACACTGGGTTAGGGGCTCATTTTTGAGGCGACACGAAACAATGGTTGGAGTACGGTCTCGGGTTGGATTGTGAGGGATAGGCAAACCCTCCGAGCCAGGACCCTGGTCTGAGCGCGGAAACTCTATTTTTTGGCAAGACGAACCGTATTTAACGATATTAAGTGGGTAAGTGGGTCGATCGCCACCGAAATCACAGCCCGGCAGGTTAAGCTCGCTGACAGGACGCCGAAAGATATCTCGTTCTTTCAACAGAGCAAAAAGAAAAAAGAAAAAAAAAGACTCTCCTCCCATAAAAGCCATCTCGCTTTCTCAACATTACGATTGAATACAATATACTTCGAGACTATACGAGTTTTGAAGGAAATCCCTAACAGCGACCGAGTTATTGTCACCATCAGACTCCAGACCAGCGGGTAGTACAATCGACCTCGGAGCAACAACCTATCCATACTGAATTCCCACAAACGTTTGCCTTTTATGGGCAATAGTCAGTTCTCGGTAGATTTCATTTCCCTGATACCGTCACGGAAATGACGACCAGAGGTATCATTTATTATCTATCGTTTCAACAATGGGCAATGTCACCCAATATATTCTCAATTAATTTGACATGAGAGTCTTCGACATTCTATGTACCATTCATCACTACCTTAAAACTACCTAGATACCTAGGTAACTGTTTGAAATTACTCTCTCGGGGCCCCACACCCCATGAAATGGCCCAGTCCTTCCAGAAGCCAGATGACAAATTTTGGGCTCGTGGCATATGTACAACGCGGGATCCACCACCATGTACGGAGTCCAAAGACCATGCGTGGTCTGGAAGCTCAGTGATATTCCCCACATGCTTCTAGCTTCTATCCGAATAAATTCGATAGAATTACCCCATGTGTATACTTTCATTTTCACCACATCGGGCTATGCCTCTCGAGACCCCCGAGGTCTCGTTCCCGGGCGAATGCGGGGGTTTTCTGCAATAAAAGGGGCAGGAATCGCTCGTTGCAATAACACGGTAAAGATTTCAAGTACACTGCCTCAGTTTCAATCAAAATATGCCAACGATTCCCGAACGTATGAACGAGCGAACGGGTGCCAGGCCGCGGTGGCACTTTTGTGGAAACGGTGTGATTTTTGATATCAAGGGATAACTAAGAACATCATCGGGCTGGACGGAAGGTTTCACATGTTAGGTCAAAGCTTGGTTATGGAACAGGTTGATAGAAGAACATTAGGTACCTAGGTATTCAACCTGACTGAGCAATGTTCAAGCTTACCTTCACGCCACGGCGGATCTGTTTGACATCAGAAGTGCGACGTATGTCACTAAAATCGATCCTGCTAAGAGGAAACACGCCAAAGCAAACACAATCAGGAATATTTGTTTTGGGTCTGCCTCGCTGCCTTCATGTAATGGGTAGTTTCCCACTGGGGGGGGATTCCTCTCCATATACTTCATACCGAAGATCATTTATCGATGGAGGTGGAATTGACGAATAGTTGCGGTCCAGGAAACTCTTGCTTTTCCACATGGCTAGGTGATGTAAACTGGCAATTTGAGGAATACATTATCTCCAAAGGGATTCGTCGTTCTTAAAAGACGGCATGGTGGCCAAATAAAGGAAGCGGGCGGCTTTCAGCGCTATCGAACTTGAAAAAAAGCAATTCTGCCGCGATTATCCACTGTGGTTTTGACATGTATTTCGAACATACCATTTTTTGATGTATCTGCAGCCACCTAGATAGATATCACTTCTGTGTCCCTTGCCTGCATGCGACCGACGAAGTCTTGCGAGCTGGTGAAGCCCCGACACACATACCTTGCACTCCGAAATCTCCAAAAAGCAGGCTAGAAAATGTGCTAGGAATTTCCGATCGCGATCTTTGAAGAATAACATTTTCAAGTCAAAGAAGATAATTTGCTCATTGTCCCCATTGTCCTCGTTCAAAAATAGCGACATTCTACGATCTGATTGGGTGTGCGATTGATCACATCCCGATAAACTCGCCAGGATCTTCCAGGCTTGTTTGTCCTCGCACGCTGTCAATGCATGATAATCTTGAAATATCCCGAGGTTCACGAAAATACTGTTTTTAATTTTTCGCACTCCGTACTCCGTAACTGTATGAGATTCGCTCAAAGGAATACATGGTTCTTCCAACGTGTGTTTTTTGTCTCCAATACGATCGACGACGTGCATAGATTACGACAAGGAGGTGACACCGCATGCAATTTTGAACTGCACATCAGCTAGTCTTGCGTTTCAGCTCCCCACAAAATTTTATTTTCTTTTTTCAAGTGGCGTTCCCTACCGCCACATGATTCGATTACATTGAAATTCCTTTCGCGTGAGATCATCGAACCCGATCAAACTTGAAACTTCGAGACTGTAGGCTATTTATTCGAAGTGCCTTGATGTTTCTACTTCTTCTTCTTTCTGATTTAGTGTCAAGTTAAAAGGTGGTTGGCCTCACTACTCCGTACTCATGGTCCGCTTTGCCAATCCGAGACACCACTCTTCTGCCAAGGGTTCTCCTTTTCCACTGCCTTCTAATACCAAGGCCTCGTGCGCGGCGGAACATGACGCGATATTATATTGCCATGAAACAAGATGACTTATCACAGGCTGAATGTATCTGCACTCTTGTCGCTTTGACCTGATCATGAATCAACATGCTCACACTGTCTTGACAATCAGATTACAGATGATATTTTTTTTTTTTAAATGCTTTCGGATTCAAAAATAATATATTATCTACCAATGTTTGCCATGTTATCTTCCCAAATGACAATAGTCGGTGTCACTATTATTCAGAATATGAAAGGCCGCCTTATGTTGCCAGGCAGGGGATAGAAAATCGGTCGATATTGATGACTTCCAAGGTTGTCTTCTCAACTTGAAATCAGAAAGTATCTCATAAGCGGACGAATTTGTTTTCACCGGCATGTATGAGTTTCAAGAATGAATCCACGAGTTGCTCCTGATCTGTAGCATTCGATTTTGAAATTGCTTCTTGAATCCTGCTACGGCTAGCAATCAAATTCTTCGCAACCTGATTCCAGTTGACAATTTGAGGCAAGATATGCACTTCAGGCAGGCTCGGTGCAATCGTAGCTGGAAGAAGCCTTCCATTCTGCTTGCGAATCTGACCATCTACGATGACCATGTCGACGTCCCTAACCGAAGAATGAAGAACAATAGCCGCGACCGGATCCTGTTCAGAGGCACAAACCATACCGGGGCTTTCCCCGTCGAATATGACAATATCCGCGAGTTTTCCGACAGTCAGTGAACCCAGGTTCTCTTCCATGCGAACTGCTCGAGCTCCCTGGATTGTTCCTAGTCGGAAGACATCTTGAACATGAAGATTCAACGAGCGCGAAAATGTTCCTTTCGCAATTAGCGCCTCGTTGCGATCTGCTCTTTCATGTTGTAATGCTAGGCGCATTTGGGAAACCATATCGGCTGAGTTATTGCTGTGGCAGTCAATACCCAAGGAGCAAATGTCAGTGCAACCATCACGAAAACAGACAATATTCCCATGTCCCATTTGCAACTCAGTATCTGGGGTCGTTGATATCCACGCTCGGGCTTGATTTAGCTTGCTGATATCACTTGCCGTCAAATTGGTGGCATGTGAGAGCAGGATATCTGGCCCCAAAAGCCCATAGCTCTCAAGAGTATCGACTACCGAATCCGGGCCTATCATTACAAGGTCAGCATATTCCAAGGTTGGTCCCAATATATCCCTTGATTCAACTCACCAAAGTACAATCCAGCGTAGTGAGTCGTTATAACTCTTGCCCCGAGCTTCCGAGCTTTGTGGTAAATGGAAACCACTTGATCTTGTGGCAACATAAACCCATCAAAGGCGAACCCCATTTGGACTCGTCCGTCTCCAAAAGGGGCAGCAGCACCAAGATTTTCGAACTGCTCTATGACCCAGTCGTCTAGCAGTCCTCCATTAATGGTGATCTCGGGCGTCCAATCCTGAGTCTTGGCAGTTGGCGCGTAGCAAAACACCGATCGGATCCCAGAGGCTATCGTAGCCTCAATCGCGTTTGTGGCTAGAAATATCGTTAATTCCGCCTTGTATCTGAAAATTTTAGAGGTATCTCTCACTATGGGCCGGTGAAATGTTGACATGGGCATGATCAACCAAGGTTGTTGTTCCTGCATCCAAAGCCTCTAGACAACCTCCCAGTTCACCCCAAAATACATCTTCCGGGATGTAGTTGGCGCTTTGCATGTTCCCTGTTTCAGAAAAGAGATGCTTAGCTAAATGATTTTCCAAAATAAACCATTCTTCTGCCATTAAAGGGTCACGTACCATTGGGGAGGTATTCTAGTAGGGTTTGATCAGCATGGCGACCCTTAAGCTGTGTCTGCCACACATGGTGGTGTGTGTCAATAAATCCAGGTGATATTATTTTGCCAGTACAATCAAATATCTGAGTACCGCTAGGTGGGTCGATGGTGGGCGCAATTTTGGAGATCCGTTTGTCCTCAATCAACAACGAATGGCCACGCAGCGGCTTAACATAGTCGTTTGGTTGACCCGAGGGGACCAGGATGGTTGCATTTTGAAGTAAAATCCGCGATGTCATGATGGAATCATGCAAGGTCTTCCACTTCAAATAGATTTGAGTTGAAAGCTAATCTCTAAAAAAGCGTGTAGACTTTCGAAGATGAGTCTTGGAACTCCATTTATAAGAGGTGGGGCGTCGCTATTCGGTCTTTCGGTCCCTTCATGTCAGCCGAGTCCCGAAGAGATTGTTTTTTAATTTGTAACACAAGTAAGGCTTCAAGATATCTGATGGGTCTAGGCACGTCTATCGAAGCAAACGGTGCCAGTGGTCATCGGGAATAATTTGGAAACGGACTTAAGAATTATCAGCGGCGTTTAGTCTCGGACAGGTACTTCGTGACGTCATTGGTTATTTACAACTTTCATCACGCTGCCTTCCTTGACATACTATTAAACCTCGTATTCACCCCAAGATAATCTCAAAATGCCTAGTCACTCCGGCGTCCTCTTTCAACGAACTATAACCACAGATTTCTACCAAAATGTCCTTGATTTCTGGTTCGGTCCAAAATCCTCACCCGACTATCTTAAAGAGAAATCGTTCTGGTACGGTAGCCCCTCGGACGATGCATACGTTAGAAAGCATCTCACTGGATTATATCAGGATGCCAAAGATGGAGAGCTGAATCCATGGAAGAGTGTGGGTGAGGGCGAGGGCGCGATGGCCCTGATCCTCTTACTCGATCAAGTGCCTCGTAACATCTTTCGCAACACCCCACTGGTCTATGCGACCGACTCGCAGGCAATCTCAATCGCTCAGTATACAATCGATAAAGGATTGGACAAGAAGTTGACAGTTATTCAAAGACGATATATGTACTCCCCCTTCAACCACTCTGAAAACCTCAAGGATCAACAGACATCGGTGGAATTATGTACCGAGCTTGGGGACACATATCACCTACATTGGGCGAAAGATCTCCATGATCAGATCAAGCGAAATGGACGATTTACGCATCATGACCAGATTTTGCAGAGATCATGAACGTGTGGCCCTTTTCGTGATTGACCGTATAGGGCTTTCTTGAATATTCAAAGCCCTGTCGCGATCACGACTATTCGAAATTATCGCTGTACTCAAAGAGCGCGAACTTTCAAAATCCATTCCAACCGCCGTTAGTTTCTCAAACATATGCACCGATCTATTATCGCTCACTAACCAGCTATACGGATTGCTGGCCAATGGCACAGATTCGGCCCACTTTTGGCCCTTGGGGTGAGTGGGCCGGCCCATCTGAGGATTTTGTGACCGCTCCCATAAAAGGGGCTTTTCAGCTTTTACATGAGCATCAGCGAGTGACCAACTCGGTCCTGCAGTCTACAATGTATGGCTTGCACCAGTCCACGTGGGCCAATATTTTAGACTTTATACTGTTCTATCTTATGCAGAATACATTACCTGCTGTGATCCTCGTAACCACGCCAAAGGGATCGCCACTTCGTTATTTAACTATTCCCTATCTGGTCTGGGCTGCCAGTCGGTTTATACGTCCCTTTGCACCAGCAGGCTGCCCTACTTGGTGTCAGACTATCTGCGTGCTCGTTCTAGTGGTCATTCAATCGATAAATTTTCTCTTAATTCATCCCTTGGATCGAAATGATATCGTTCAAATTGCCAAGAATCCGCAAAGTTTGGTATCTAGCGTTCTCGCCGCAGCGAAAACTCTAGTTCAAACACGAGGTGTGAATACACCATGGCAGGCGAAGAACATCCCTCCTCATGCGCTATATTATAGTCGAAGGGGAATGCAAAGCCCTGAGCGGTCGCTCTTTTTACTTCGGCAATCTGCGATCTTCTTCTGGCAATACCTGGTCCTTGACATCATCCAAACAATAACTGTTCAAAATTCGCCGCCATCGCACCATACTCGTCCATTGAAGCTTGAATGGAATGTTTCGCTTCATCAATGGGTGGAACGAGGAACCACCCATCTAGCCATCTGGTTCATAGTCAACCGATTAATTGGAGACTCTGTCTATCGCTTGCTATCGATCGTTTTCGTTGGCCTCGGTGAAGACAGCCCCTCAGACTGGCCTCCTGCATTTGGACGCATTTCAGAAGCTTATACCTTACGGAACTTTTGGGGGTAAGTGCGAGTCGGACTTTCATACTCGGGAACGTGTCTAACCTGATAAATAGCAAATTCTGGCATCAGTTTATGCGTCGACCATTTACATCTCCCAGTACCTTCATTACACGCGATATCTTGAGACTTAAACGGCCTTCTCTTGTTGAGCGATATGTCAATTTATTCTTGGTTTTCCTTTGCTCAAGTCTATATCATGTAATTGTCGATCTTTTACAAAGTGTGCCCATCCAGAATTCAGGTTCTATTCCGTTCTTCATGGCTTTTATTCCCGCAATCATGATCGAGGATAGTGTGCAATGGCTATGGAAACAGCTCTCTCCGTCTAGAGCCCAAGATTCGAATTCTCGTAAGTCTGAGCCGCCCGCATGGCAACGAACTCTTGGATTCTGTTGGGTCATGGGTTGGCTTGCTGTATCATCCACGTGGTATTTTACCCCGATGATACAATCGACTAGCCAGGACGTCTACATGGTTCCCTTCAGCTTCTGTCAATTATTTGGCATGGTACCTATGGCAACATCGTGTGTTTGCAGCGGCGTTCTTCTTATATACGTGTTCGAGGTTGAGCTTTGAGAACAAGGCACCTGCACTTCTAAAGAAGAGAAATGAAATGCTTTGTGTCATATCTTCTTAGACGTTTCGAGCATTTGATATCAACAAAGTCGAACGCGCCTGAAACCACAATGGGTCTTCGACAGCAAACAATCTGTCTATCTATTTTTCGAAACTATCCCCAGTATTAAAAATTAATACCAGCTCTATATCATCATCAGTTGGGATACAAGGAGTATTTAGCTAAGGTCGAGGATACTTGAGTAATTTGACTTGACTTGTCTTATTCTTCCTTGAGTATCTCGTGGTGGGGCAGTCAGCCTAGGCAGCCGCCCCCCGCTTTGAAGCCTCAAGAGCCGCAGCCTAAATGATATCATCCAAATTGCACTTCAAGTTGATACATAATTCATCCATCTTGGTCTGCATCGACCAAAGCCCTGGCTCCTTCCTCTTTTCTATCTGGACACATCTCCTGGTCCCCTCTACCATTCATACTCTTCCCATTCTTACAGCTTCAGAATGGAATCAGCTTCGGTCTCGGAATGCACTCACCAATCTGTGCAATTTGAATGCTCACGCCATGCTTCTCAAGCACTATTCAAAAGACCCAATATGCAGGAACGCATTGCAGCAACAAAGCTGAAAAATGATAACCATATACCTGGCCCCGCTCTAGCAAGTGATAATCCCAAGACTTTTCCTGGGCCATTGGTGCTGCCAGGAGATGAGATTGCCGAGGATCCTGAATATCCGCCTCAATCATTGCAGGAATGGGTTGATGAAGAAGATCGCAACCCAGTCACCCCGAAGCGGAGGACCGTTTATGTGGTTCCTCCACCACAAATAAGCGACGATGTAGATTTTTTAAAAACATGGAGCCAGCCAAAGGATTATCAGCAAAAGGACCGGGTGGAGCCTCCTCTAACTAATGAGGTACATGAATATCTGAGCGCGTTTTATCACGGGCTACCTGTGAAGCTGATGTCTCGATCAACTCTACGCCTCGTCGGATGGAGACCCGGAGGAACTTCCGCCAAATCGACCTCCAAAGCCAGGTCTCGGCGGCCAAAGTATGTTGGTCTAGAAGTATCTCAGGAATGTGTTCGAATCCGTGTCCGCGCCTCGAAGGATGGCGTCTTTGATGGACAACTCAATCTAAATGACCTTCTCGATGCTGCGATTGGCATGTTGCCCAAGGATGCATACGCACTTCTATTTCTGGTGAATCACGATATATACGAAGACGAAAACGATGACTTTGCTTGTGGTCGTGCTTATGGAGGGAGTCGGGTGGCCGTCGTTTCAAGCGCGAGATATAATCCAAACCTAGATGCGCTCGAGTCGGTCGAACGTCTTCACGCTTGGCCAGCATCACATTGCGAAACTTACATATCTGCCTTCTGCGTTGCGGCTGATGAAGATTCCAATGCGAAAAAACCTTCCAAGTCACACACGAAAGCAAAACAAAACAAAGGGGACGTCGGCACCTCTACGTCCAAGACAGGTCCCGTGGAAACCGCAATATCCGTCCACCGCAATCTTCCCATGGAAAATTTGACGTCGAGTTCGCGCTCTGCTCTTTGGCTTGGACGTATTTGCCGGACAGCTAGCCATGAACTAGGTCACTGTTTCGGTATTGACCATTGCATGTACTATGCTTGTTCTATGCAAGGCACAGCATCCGTGGGTGAAGATGCCTCACAACCACCTTATCTTTGTCCAGTCGATCTGGCTAAAATTCTCCATGCCACTTCCACTACTGCTATTGAACGATACCATGCCCTGCTCGCTTTTTGTGAGAAACCTCATTACAAGAACGAACACATTTTTGCGCCTTTGGCGGCTTGGATTCGTGGAAGATTAATTGAGCTTGAAGAACAGGTCCGATAAGACGAATATTCTCTTATATAGTCTCGAACTTATACTTTCTGCACCTTGGATTATGGGAATGGTTAATAATGAAGTGGTACTTCTGAGGGTAGGTTGACTATAGGAGGAGATGCTAAGGCTGTATTTGTGCCTACGCGCACCGACCTCCTTTGGAGGTCGGTGCGCTCTGTTTGTCTGATAACTTGTTTTGTATGATAATTTCACATAGCATCACCAAAAGTGATAAATATGAAACGAGACCGAATTACTAGTGGTATGTAATATTCTACATGAAATTCAAGTTACTCTCTAACTAATAGTTCACGCCTGAGGCTATAAGGCGTCAAGGCACACAGCAGTGGCAGTATCATACCGCCCGTTGGTCATTATTCCACGCCGAACAGCTTCCTCCACACCTTGCTTCCATACCTCGCTCGCGCAGCTTCACTCCAAAATGGCGGCCCCCGTGGATGCCAAGCTGCTGAAGAAGACTAAGTTCCCTCCGGAGTTCAGCCGGAAGGTGGACATGAAGAAAGTCAACATTGAGGTCATGAAGAAGTGCGCCTTTCCCCGGATTTCCCAAGATGCCGCAGTCGCGAAATTAACATTCGTTACAGATGGATTGCCAGTCGAATTTCCGAGGTAAGTACCCTCATCGAAATTATTCCGGGACGCTATGCGACAAAACAACGCTTCGAAATATTGGTTATCGGGCCATGTGGGTGAATTGGAACTGATTGACAACCAAGATCCTCGGCAATGAAGATGATGTGGTGATTGAGCTGTGCTTCAATCTACTAGAGGGGACGCGCTTCGTATGTGACCTTTACCTTCTCTTTTTACCACTTGACAATTTAAGAAAGTGCATTGGCTAACGCTTCACCTTTCTCCAACTAGCCCGATATCAAATCGCTCCAGATCCAGTTGACCGGGTTCCTCGATCGAGATACAGCCAAGTTTTGTCAAGAACTGTGGTCGCTATGCCTCAGCGGCCAGGAAAATCCCCAGGGTGTTCCGAAGGAGTTATTGGAAGCGAAGAAGCTAGAATTGATGCAAGAAAAGGTACCCTACATCCTGACCCTATATTTTCGCTACCCATTTGACCTTTTGGACTACAGGCCGAAGCCGAGAAGGCTGCTGAAGCAGTCCGTCGACAAAAAGAACAAGAGCATACCCGTGATCGCGAGATGGACGACCTAAGACGCCGAGAGCGTGGTGATCGAGGTGATCGAGGCGGAAGAGGTAGACGAGGCGGCGGTCGTGACTTTGGCCGACGAAGCTCACGATCACCACCCCGATACCGAAGCCGGGAACGATACCGTGAACCCCCATCTCGCCGCGATTTCGATTCTTACGTCCCGTCTAGCAATCACAGAGGCCGTCGACCAGATCACTCCCCCGATTCGCGCTCCCCTTCCCGCTCCCGCTCGCCGCCTCGTCGACAGCGCCGCCGCAGCTTCAGCAGATCGAAATCGCCGGATCGCCGAGATCGCAAGGAAAATAGACAGAGGCGACGAAGCCCGGACTACGGTGATCGAGACAGATCCATCTCCCGAAATGATTCCTCCCGCTCACCAAGTCCCAGGCGAGACCGAGGCAGACGCCGCTCTGTCTCCCGCAGCGTAACACCCCCACGACACCACCGCCGACACGGAAAGACCAAACACCATTCCAGATCGCGCTCGCGGTCGCGTGAGCAAGGCGCTCGTAGAAAAGTTGAAGATCGTGACGCTGGCCGCCTAACCCGCAGTCGCAGCCGCAGCCGCGATAATGATAGCCACAACCATCACCACCGGCGTCGTAGCTCTGGAGGTCGGAGCCGGAGCCGAAGCCGTGATCCTAGAAAGGAAAGAGGTCGTCGCCGTTCCATGGAGCGATACAACCCTGGTAGCCGGAGAAGGCGTAACACATCATCTGCATCCGCGCCCGATGAGAAGCGACAAAAGATGGCGGATGAAGAAGAGGGTTCCTCACGTCGTTCCGGATCACCAAGTGGGAAATTGTCTGTAAATGAAGGGGCAACCAGATAATGCCGAATGAGGTCGGTTCTTCGAACCTCGGAGGCATAGCTAAAACTTCATGCGCATGCAGTCCGCATTTCCATTGGCGTTGAATATCCCGGTCACATTTCTGTTCACGTGTTCTCTTCTTTTCTTCTCTTCTCTTTTTACCTTCATGGGGGGGACGGTTTGATTTTTTTTTTTCTCAGCTATCTACATGAAATAGACATTTTAAATGCAAACGAAACCATGGAAATTCACATCAACCCTACTAGTCCTGTCCGACCTTACAAAATTTTCAAGTTCCAAGGTTGTGTTCTTCAACTGGGCACATACTAGTTACTAAATACCACTCCAGTGGGTATCTCGACCTAGGTATACTAACAAACTACTAGTAGTAACAGTCTTTGGAACCATATCATGAATGGGATGGCTTGAAGGGAACTTGGAATAGGGTCCACTTGAAATGCATCTGATAATCAGAAGCTAAAATCAGACCCAGTGTTCCATTGAAATTTACTCGATTCAAGACTTGACATATAAAGGAACTTTGACTCAGATAGATCTATGATAAAGTACAGTTCTCAATAAGAAAACAAATTTCGTTCACAACAGAAGATAGTATAACAGTGGCAGGTTGAATTGTATAAGGAATGTACTCCATTGAAGGGGGGAATCTTGAATAAGGCGCAAATCGACAAATCGTATATAAATAACAAGGTGAAGATGATTCGACAAAGGTCTAAAAGTCACAAACCGCCCAAAGCCGTTCGCCCACATAAATATACAGTTACATGGATGGACAGGCTAGAAGTTCCCAGAGCAGATTAGAATTAAGATTAAATATCTACAGACAGGACAAAGGCGAATGGTGAGCTGCTGAGACCACGATAAGACGTGTTCTGCAGGCCACTCGCCATGCCATGGGGGTTCGAAGGTCATCTTGTCATGAGAAAAAATAAAGCAGAAGCTGGAGAAGACAGTGTTGATGGTCTTCATGGACTGCGGTTTTTGAGCCGCTTATTTCTCGCAGTTGCAGACGGTGGAGGTGACGGTGACAGTGGTGGTGCTGTCGGTCTCGTCACCGCCGCCGCTGGGGACTGAGGGAGCGGTGGTGGGAGCAGGGGGGCTGGTTGGCACCGCCGCCGGGGACGACAGTGGAGGTGACGACGGGGGTGACATCGGTCTCGCAGGGAGTGCTGGCGCTAGCACCAGGGCCACCGGGGACATTGCCAGACTCGGTGGGAGAAGCACCGGAGGGGGCAGGGCCACCGGGGATGACGGTGGAAGAGACAACAGCGCTGGTCTCAGTGTCACAGGGAGTAGTGGCAGCGCCGGCAGGGCCAGTGGGAGCAGGGCCGCCGGGAACAGCACCGGACTCAGAAGGAGAGGCGCCGGAGGGAGCAGGGCCACCAGGGATCACAGTGGAGGAGACAACGGCGCTGGTCTCAGTGTCACAGGGAGTAGTGGCAGCACCGGCAGGGCCAGTGGGAGCAGGGCCACCGGGGACAGCACCGGACTCAGAAGGAGAGGCACCGGAGGGAGCAGGGCCAGAGGGAACGGAGCCCGAAGGAGCAGGGCCACCGGGGATCACAGTGGAGCCAACAGTAATGCTGGTCTCGGTGTCACAGGGAGTAGTGGCGGCGCCAGCAGGGCCGGTAGGAGCAGGGGTCTCGCCAGGAGAGACACCAGTAGGGGTAGAGCCACCGTTGGGACCACCGGGGATAACAGTGGAGGAGACGATAGCGCTGGTCTCGGTATCACAAGGGGTAGAAGAGGCCTCGGGGCCGCTGGGGACAGATCCAGAGGGAACGGAGCCAGAGGGAACGGAGCCAGAGGGAACGGAGCCAGAGGGAACGCTGCCAGAGGGAACGGAGCCAGAAGGAACGCTGCCAGAGGGAACGGAGCCAGACTCAGAAGGAGAGGTTCCGGAGGGAGCGGGGCCACCAGGGATCACAGTAGAGCCAACAATAGCGCTGGTCTCAGTGTCACAAGGAGTGGTGGTAGCGCCTGGAGGGACCGCTGGGGGGCAGGAGTCTCGCCAGGGGAAGCGCCAGTGGGGGGTAGAGCCACCGTGAGGACCGCCGGGGATGGAGACAGAGACGGAGCCGGAGGGGACACCACCGGAGGGAACAGATCCAGAGGGGATGGAGCCAGAAGGAACGCTTCCAGAGGGAACACCGGGAGTCTCAGAGGGAGAGGCACCAGTGGGAGTAGAACCACCGTGAGGGCCACCGGGGATGGAGACAGAAACGGAGCCGGAGGGAACAGCAGGGGTGGACGAAGGCAGGCTGGGGACGGAAGAAGAGGGCTTGGGAGCACCGGGGATGCTGCAGCCAGTGAACCACTCGATGATGATCAGCTCAATGCTGATACCGATGTCGATGCTGGTGCAGCCACCAAGGAAGGCAGCAAGCTCAGCACGAGCCTCCCAGGAGAGGGAAGCGAGGCTCTCGCCAGAGATGAGCAGACCAAGGGCACCACGGAGGTTGACACTCAGGGTCTCAAGGACGGTGACGCTCAGGAAGCCGGTGATATCACCAACAAGGCCAGTAACGAGATCGACGGAGGTGTCAACTGTAGCACCCAGGGACAGCCACAGCAGGACAATGGACTTCAGTTCGACACCCAGAGAGCAGCTGGAGCCAGACAGCCAGATAGCGAGGGCAGTGCGGACCTCAACGGACAGGGAGGAGGCGAGGTGACCCTTGGCGCAACCCTTGAGGGCGAGAAGAATGTTGGCATCGAGATTGGCGGCAATGTCAGCCTCGAGGAAAGCAGCAATGGAGGCTTGGGCGTGGACGGAGAGAGCACCGTGCTCCTGAACGGAGAGTCCAACGGAAGCACCAACAGAGATGGCGGACAGAGCACTCTCGGAGAGAGAACCAATGGCAACGAGACCAGCACCGTGCTTGCCGTGAATCCAGGCAAGAAGGGAGACCTTCAGGTCAGCGCTGAGAGGGCAGTCATCGAGGTTGAGCCAGGCAAGCAGAGAAGCCTTGATATCAGCAGTCAAGCTGCCAACAACACCACCGTTGGCGCAGACACCGAGACCAGCCCGGATATCAGCACCAAGGCTCAAGTGGGCCTCAAGGAAAGCGGAAAGGGAAGCCTGAGCAGAGAGCTCAAGGACAAGAGTGGACGCCAGGTCCACAGCGGAGAAAACACCCTCAATAGTCACGTAGATGGAATCCTTAGCAGCAATCTCAGCGCAAGCAGGGATGAATGCGGACAGAGAGGCCAGGACATCAGCAGCCAGGGTGACATCAGCAGAAGCATCACACCAAGTCAGAAGGTGAGTCTTGAGGGAACCCTTGATGTGGGCTTGGGAGTGCAGCCACTTCTTGAGTTCAGCACGAGCACCGACGTGAATGGTGCCAGCACTGCATCCGATAGCACCACCCTGGAGAGCAGCAGCACCGTGAGCACTCAGACCAGAGAGGAGCGAAACGGAGGCAGACGCAGAGGCCGAGGCACCACCACCCAGGATGAGGTGGAGAATGTCACCAACGTCGACGGTGACATCTCCGAGGATATCAGCGAGGAGGCCGAGAGTGCGGCGGTCGTAGGTGACGTCGCGGGCAGGGTAGGCCAGAGAGGAACCCGCCAGAGCGGCGAGCAGGAGAAGAGAGGAACGCATTGTCGGCGTCACGAGTGTGTGATAGCGAATGTATAGGCGTCGAAAGAGCCAAAAGTGAATGACAGTAAAATAAAATAAAAAAAAGACTGGTCTTGACAGAATATCAACCCGTCAGAAAAAAAAAAGAAAGACAGACGAACCACAACGGCCGTCCAAAAACAGTATTAACGATAGACTGGAGGATAAAGATCTGAAGTACTGACGGGAGGGCGAAGATCCTCAATATTTATACAGCCCCCCCTAATCATCCAGGAATATCGCCTCCCACTGGAAGCCGAATCTCCACTTGGGTCCAGGACATCCCAGTAGCACCGGACGGACCAGGAGGTGCAGTAGGGTGTACACTACCCCGGTCTCGACACCTCAACGCATCAGTCCATATTTGGAGCTATCCACTCTAATCCACATCCCCCTTAGCCTCGCGGATATCGGGGGGGGTAGTCTTGGATCTCTGAGGGCCCCTCCGGTGGAACAAGGCTACCAGTAATAATCTAGCGGATGAGCCTGGGTACAACATCATGGGTGGAAACAGTGCCCGCTCGTGCCGTCTATTTGTGGCGAGGCCGTCACAGATGGTGTCAGGTTCCCAGTAAGGCCCATTGAAAGAGATATTGGGATTTTCATCCTGACTATTGACCCTACCTTGGCGATAGGGCCTGGTCAGAAATATGAGAGACCCTGGAAATTAGGGCAAGAAGTGCGGCAGTTGGCATACGGTATGTATACAACTTGGGATCCAAGTTTGCGGTCAAATTTTGGTGTTTTGGCACGAGTGCTTCCGCGAGGAGACATGCGAGTCCATCGACTAACCCGGTAACTCAGGCGAGGATCAGCAGGAGAAATGTTATCATCACCCACCTGTCCAAGTATCTCAAGGGAAACGATCGTCATGACCCACCAACGGTCGACGGGCCAGGGCCCGAAAGGATATTGGACTGGGCTATTTTGGTCTTGCTTGCTGAAAAGAAGGTAATCCTGGTTTGGTCAGGTCGCAATCGAGCTTGCAATTAAAAGGGGGTGGAGTGCTCTATTGCTTGGTTCTTTAGTTGATTAAATCCAATAAATGGAGGAGCGCCATCGACTTGACCCAACGAACCTCTCTGTCTCTGACTTCTGGGCTGGCAAAGAACTGAGAATCATTCCGAGTGGTCCATTGGGAAATGGCCCCATATCCTCCAGGGGTTTAGTCCAGGAACATGATGCACAGCCTAGACGCTTTCGAGCTTAGTATCAACGCATCCTGGTCTGCTTTCGAAATCCCTGCGGAGAGAAAGAGACATGTCGAAACAAATGGACCCAAGGTTCAAAGTCTTGACTTCGGTGGCTAATCGACTGATTTTTGGTGCTTCACGCTTATTGTTCCTGGGTGGAAATTGTCGGGTACGTTGGCCAAAAACCGTTAAGGTGTGAATTCTTCTCCACATGCGTACCGCGGATGATGCATGCTATCTTTAACCTCTTGTTTTGTTTTATTATGGTGATTGCTATTGCTGTTATTCTTTTTTCCGCCCATGTGTGTGTCAAGGCAAAATCCGGTTATATTTCGGAAGGATGATGCAGCCTGCATGCAGCTGGCGGGAAGAGCTCCACGGGGGGCAGTAGGAATCCCTGCAGGATGGATGGAGAGCAATCCCAAATTCCGGATTTTGCGCACCAAAAGCCCAGGAGTCGAAAGTCTGGATTGGCAAAAGTTGGGGAGCTGCACTATGCAAGCCACCGCCCGACCGGCAACGATAGTGTGTAAACTGCAGTTCACCTCGCAGGGACTGGGACCCCACCGTATGGAGTAAACAAAGAGACAGGAAAAGCGACCGGCGTCGCAGAAGTTGCAGAGAGACCCATTCAGTTCAGAGCTGCCCCAAAATTGGCCACCCACAAGGCCTCCTGAACCCAGGGGTGTTGACTCCACAAGGAGAGGGCTTGGTGGAGTCAGGGCATGCAAACGCGAAACAGGCACAGCGCCAGGGGCAACCTCAGCAAGTGGCTGACTAGGACTCCGCTTATCCTCGTTTGTCCAATCGACCTATACAAATATGTTTGCCTTTTAAGCTTCTCTGTCCGCCAGACTCCGCAGACTACTGCACCAGAATGAAACTAGCGGCCAGCCCCCTTTTCCCTTCAAGCCATCGGGTAGTGAACCGGTTCGTTTGACCCTAGAGGGGCTTCCCGAGGATCTCGAGGCGATCGCTGTTTCACTATTTCTCTCCTCTCCCCCAGGTTGGCTCTTGCCAGGGCATGGAGACAAAGCGCGACGCCTCAAGTGTGAGATATAGTAGCAGTTCGATCGATATGGAGAAAAGGGTTTACGATCGTGCTAAAAAAAGAATCATCCATCGCGTTGAATTACCAAATTCCGAATTCGAGGCCCTGAGGTTACAGCTGTCAAGAATGCAGGCTCGTGGAATTTCCCACTTAATTTTACGATGCGTCCGATTTGTAACACAACTTGAACCTTGTGGGACAGCTGAATTGCCTCGAGTAGAGAATTTTGGCCCATGCAGTAGAGTTGCCGAGGGATCAGACATAGCCCCTCGGATGAAGATTAATCTAATTAGCTTCGGTATAACACTGCCTTGTTGTCCGGCTCCTTCGGATCCTGGACATCAATGGACACGGGATGATAGATCATCTTTCATTACAATTGGATAATCTTGAACATCATCCCTTGGGGGCCATGCATCAAACGTCATTCCTACTTCCGTCCTTGTCATAAATATGCACATCGGAAAATATCTTTCCTCTCTTGAATCCCGTCGCCACTAATTTTCCGACAGCGAGAATAAGTGAACCGTCTCTACTCCGTTCTCCGTAGAGATACTCATTGCAAAGTTTTTCGGAACTCAAATCTGATAAGGGACTTAGCACAGATCAATGGATCGAGAAACACTTCTTTATCCACTCCTCCTTTAGGCCATTGCACCGAGAGTTCTGGGTCGATCTAGCAGGTGGGCACTTAAGCGGATCGATGTCGATGGCATCACATGGCAAGAACTATACTTTGAATTTTGATACTCCGTAGATTATTTTTGGACTTTTTCTGGAAAAACAAATCAACACTCGGCCGGACATTCTCCATCCACCACCCACGGTAGAGTTCCGGTGTGGTGTGTTCTGCGTTCTGCAGAACCTGCAGGCTTTGCGACAGATGCATAGCAGACCTTATTTTGCATAGTGCGCGTACGAGGGGTTATGCCATGGTACCTGAATCGAAGAATTTTCTCGGCGGGGACAAGGGCGAGGATGGTGGAGCCGTTGAAGAGGTTGAAGAGAGAGAGAGAGAGTTTGCGCATGTGAGCCTTTTCATTTACGGTGCTTGTAGCCGATACCCTTCAAGTTGTTGAGATTACCCAATTTATGGGATTTTAAGCTGCCCCTGTTTGGATTGCTCAGTCTGACTTGCATGTACCTTGCATGAAAGAAGTGTGAAGGAGGTTGGCTAATATGTTTATTTTTGATGTATGTACGCAGCTTGCCATCGGTCGGAGATGGAATTGGTCTTAACTTTGAAGGCTGCAAGTAACTTGAACTTGAATTCTTTGCTTAGGTCGCGGTGAAAACTGGACAATTTCTCGCCAGATTAGTACTACTACTAGTCACCTAATGCGACGGACTTCTGGTGCCTGAACCCTCATATTATTGAGATGGAGGATGATGACGGTGCTTACGCGAAGACGTGGCTTTTACCAGAACCAAGTTTATCTGAATATACTAGTATTAGAAAAGCTGTACCTGGAGTTCCGAGATACTGCCAGCAAAGACGAAGGACCCAGGGCCTCGGGATCACCAGCGAGTAATGGGCTTGTGAATCGCAGGAGGAAATTGGAGAACATTGAAAATTAGGAAAACTGACCGACCGATATAGGTTTAGCCGTGATATGAATAGCATCGTTCGTCTCAGGTCCGAGTCTCTGTATGGTCAGTCATCACCAGGTGCCACGTGAAGTTAGCTCTGCATTATTTACATATTAATTGAGATCATCGGCGAGATAACCATGGAGTACCTAGCTAGCCACTAACTAGTATCATCAGCAACTAGGCAGTACTAATTCAATCAAAAGTTTAATTGTAGAATATCAAGCACGCAATGCCCATACCGCAGGAAATTTCAGTGCGCGACAAACCACGTTCAGATACAAACACAATGAGCGCGGTGGACTTTGGGGAGTCTGAAGCAAAACCTTGCTAGCTTGAATTTCAGGCTTTAATTATGGCTGCTGGTCTTGTTCAGCATCTTCATGATCTACCGTTAAAGCGAAGACTCTAGTAAGAGTTCGAGCAGAATAGAATGTATTATCATAATCCGCAAAACAGACATAAATGTAAAGGAAAAGAAGGGAGAAAAGCTATGGCAATTGGCTATAAAGCAAAAGGGAATGGATGGATGGGTTTTTAGCATGTGATATCCAGATATCCAGTTTTTCACAGATCCCACCAAACGGTCTGGGCTGGAATACATAGATAAGATTCCCTTTATCTTTGACGGCTCCTTGTACCATATGTCATAGATGAATGGTGTTTTTCGAACGAAAGGTTTTCCCTTCTTGTATCGCTTATCACGGAGATAGGACAGTTTGCGAGATCGCAGGTTCTCGAACGTCAGAGGTGCCATATCTTCGAAACACATACGAGGGCTGTGTGTGGTAAGTGAGTGGTCAAGCTTGGAACTCAGGCAGCTAGGATCGTTTGGTACATGAATCCTCCATAGAAGATCCTCTCTATCCTGACCGAGCCCTAGGTTGACACATTTTCTTGCGTGAGCGTGGAATATAAAATTTGACAAAGTTTTAAATGATCCATGACGATTGTCAGCAGGTGTGTCTTCGGGTTCGGCAGAGTCAGAGATTGTGGTGTTGACGGTGAAGGAACAAGTAAGAACGAGTATGAGAAAAAGTAAGAAATGCTATGAAGGTGTTAGAAATAGGGATGTTTAATAGTAATAGAATACTTTTTAGTATTAGTATGAATGAAGAAGATTCATCCATGGAACAGTCTCCGATTCTAGCTTCAACCCGATCAGGACGAAGTAAGATGGCGGTGATGAATACTGTATAATACTATGAATACTACCAGTAGAATAAATTCATGAATGGTACTCTATGTATAGTATATGTACTGTAATGCCCTACTGTAATGCCCATGTCGAAAACTACCAGCTCAGATGTAGTACCTGTTTTTTGTAGATCCTTCCTTCTGTGCTCACATGATATTGGATGTTTCCTCTTCAACCCCCTCTCTTCATCTCTTCTCTTCATATCTCTCGATAGCACCAATAACACCAAAAAAATGACAACAACGCCAACACACACAAAGAACGACAAGTGCGGGCAAGATGGCCCAGTTTTCGCCTCCCGTTTCGCCCGTCTCCCCCCCACATCATTTTCCTCGTAAGTGAATCTTGGAAGAACTTCGAATTAACACATATACACTCGGAGCTAGGATTAAACGATGACTAGACGGACATCCGAAAGACATACCTTTCAAAGGCCATGGCTACAAGATGCCCTATGACACGATACTTCGAAGCTCCAGCCTGATGCTTCCACTGCACCTCTGCTTTCACGCATGTTTATTGATCAGCGACAAGACGAGGGCGGAGCGCCCTCCGGGATATGCATTCTCTGATAGTAGTTCGTACTGCCAGCAGTAACTTGAATCTACATCGCATGCCAAAATCAGAAGAATTCTGTCGAGACCTCCTGTCGCGTTTGGTGCCAAGAGTCACCCGGAGCGACACCGGTTTACACAGTATGATATGATGAGACGAACCAGGGTAATGATGGGACAGTTCCTGGCGGGTTTCTAACCTATATTGCTTGGCAGATTGTGCCTGGGGTACGGTTGGCGTGGAGCGACGCCGGTCTAGTATGTGAATTGAGTTTAGAGTCCCTTCCAGAGTGGTTACCAATATTTAATGAATACAGGAGCGCTCAAAGACCTAGATTTATCTGTGAAAGTTCTCGGATCAGATTGGCCTTCATGATGGCATCTTCCCCGGTGGAGGGAGACTGGCAGAGCAACCCCGCCAACGAAAGATGCCCTCCTCCAGAGGGTCCGATGGATTGCAGCCCACCTTCGTGTACGGCAGACGAGTTTTCCCCCGCTGAGCACTTATGGACAAGATTTTGCTGCCACAAGACTCGTTTGAGTCAAATATCACAAGAATGGATAAGTTGCCGTTGGAGGAAGAGCTCCTCTATTTTTAGAAAGAGATGCTCTATAAAAGAGCTGAGTACCAGGCCCTTCAATTTCACGAGCAATCGGTCGTGCAAAGGCTTGAACATCGCCGGAAATACTGTTGCCACTGAGCCTGGCAACCCCTCGAGCCCATCCGCCGGCTTCGGACTACTTCACAACCCTCGAAGCTTTAACCTACTTATTTCCACTGCTGAGAGACCTAAGAGATGAGGCTCCCATGGCTGCTGAGTTATGCCGTGCCCACTATGTGTGTAGTAGATAGCCTCAGGTCATTCCTCCTATATTTATCTATCCATCCATCATGCATCCCTCCAGGAAATCATCCACCAGACAACTTGTCTCGCTGCGCTCCTTCGCTGTTTCATGGCCTTTTGTGATCTTCCCATGTTTTTTTCCCATATCTTTGTCCATATTCATCTTATCATGAAATACCTGATTTCAATAAATCAATCAATCCTATCTACGACTTGCTCTCTCCAGCTCTATACCCATGGATATCCCTGTGAGGTATTTTCCCCTTCAAATGAGCGATGCTAAGTGGACACCCCATTTCGCTATGGGAACACCATATCCTGCCTATCTAGAAAAGATGCTGTGTATAAGGTCCTACTTTCTCGCCGTCAGGTAGGTAACTGAGGATGTACCAGTAGCCAATACTCTCTCAGTAACCAATAACCTAGTAGACACTATAGTCTATAGTATGTGGCCTTAAAGCCACAATAGGTAGCCCCGGGTCAAGGTAGGTAAATGTGGGGGCTTATCGCAGCTTATCCGGACCGAGGCATGTGGGTTTTGATTAGAAGTGCCCTGCCTCAAGGTGGTCCGACATGCCGAATCTCCTCTCTACCTTTACCCTCTACTCTACTCTACTCATCTTTCGTCCTGTCAAGTTATCCTCGAATTAATCCTTCAGCCCTTTTACTTCGAGCACTTGGTCTACTATTCCTCATCTCGACATTCAAGCAGCCTCCTAAAGGTTGTACCTCCCATCATGTCGCAAGACTACTCCTTCAAGCACTTCACCGTGCAGTTCCCAGCCGATCATCCTTATGTTGCACACGTCGAGATCAATCGCCCCGACAAAATGAATGCTTTCTTCGAAGCGTGAGTTTCTCTTCCCATTTCTATATCACTCGACATCACTGACTTCTTCATCCTGCTAGCATGTGGCTCGAAATGAAGCAAGTCTTCGAGAAGCTCTCCGAGGACAGCAATGTACGCGCCATCGTTCTCAGCGGCGCTGGAAAGGCTTTCACGGCTGGCCTAGACGTCAAAGCCGCATCAAGTGGTCCCTTATTCTCAGAAAACAAACTCGACCCCGCACGCGCTGCAACTCTCATGCGCCGCCACATCACCGAGTTCCAGGACTGTATCACAGCTGTCGAGCGCTGTGAGAAACCCGTCATAGTCGCTATGCACGGCTTTGCGCTCGGTCTCGCTATTGATCTATCCACAGCTGCCGACGTGCGTATCTGCTCTCGGGACGTCAAGTTCGCCGTCAAGGAAGTGGATATTGGCCTAGCAGCAGACATCGGCACTCTCAGCCGACTACCCAAAGTCGTGAGTAACTTTGGCTGGGTGAAGGAGGTTGCGCTTTCAGCGCGGGTCTTCGGCGCCGAGGAAGCGCTTCGTGTCGGCTTCGTGAACTCGGTCCACGAGGATCGTCAGGCAACAATCACAGCAGGCCTCAAGCTCGCTGGTTTGATTGCGAGCAAGAGTCCTGTTGCGGTCCAAGGTACCAAGGAGATCCTGAACTGGTCGCGCGACCATTCTGTTCAGGATGGTCTGCGCTACACGAGTGTGTGGAACGGCGCTGCTCTCCAAACAAAGGACGTCACCGCGGCCCTTTTATCCGGATTGCAGAAGCGTACGCCTACCTTTGAGAAACTGTAAGCATGCACTGGCAGTTGACCCGTTTGATGTTTCCGGGATTCGGGGCTATCTCCACCGAGGATTAACCCGACCCACCCCCCCCTTGTATATAAAGTGCAAAGAACGGAATATATAGTACAGTAAATAGTATTTCGAGTTGAATCCGCAGCCACATTGACATCTCACTGTTTATCTGATTCACTCAAACCTCTTGGCCAGACCGTTTGTCTCGGTCGAATTCCGCAATGGATGGGGTAAGCCCTGCTGGGAACAAGCCCCGAAACAGAGTGTGTTTCGGCAGCTTCGGTTCCAGGATGACATTCTCCTCGAAGTCAAAATAGTATTTTGACATGACGCCAGGTGCCAGCCTTCACCCCTCAGGAAGAACTCTGCAGATTACTTGCAGGGTGAGGATGCAGGTTCCATGAATCAAAGGCACTGAGCGATCGCCGCATCCCCGCGGCGGCGTTGATTTCGCCGTCTGCAGGCTGGATCATCGTCTCCGTAGGACCGAGCAGGACCGAGCGCCTGCGGACGAAATCCGTGAAGAGCTTGGCTTAGGCTTGCTTTTTCCCACGTATCCCTATGCTTGGCTTAATTTATGCAGGAAGGGGTTAATCAAGTGATGGGTGGATACGGTGAGGACTACAAGCCGTATAGTAGTTGGTAGAAGGCTATATAAGCATAGTGGATTTGTGCCTGTCACAGATCATTCCTCTCAACTATCTGATTAGATTTACTCGATATCACTTTCAAACATCTTTCGCCATGAAGTCTACTCTTCTCCTCTCGGCCATCATTCCCAGTGCGCTGGGAACGACCATCTACCTCGCTGGTGACTCGACTATGGCAACAGGTGGAACTGGATCTGGCACTGCAGGTATGTCTCTCTCTCTAGCGGTGGTATCCATGAGTAATTACTCTCCGTCATTCATGCTGATATCAATTGATACCACTAGGATGGGGTCAATATGTTTCCCCCTACACCACAGCCACCGTATCCAACCAAGCTGTCGCTGGCCGTAGTGCCCGATCCTACACTCGAGAGGGACGATTCGACACCATCGCAAGCCAAGTCCAATCAGGAGATTGGGTGATCATTGAATTTGGCCACAACGACGGCGGTTCTCTATCCACAACCGACAACGGCCGCACTGACTGCTCCGGCACCGGCGACGAGACCTGCAGCACCACCTACGACGGCGTCGCCGAGACCGTCCTGACCTTCCCCAAATACCTGGAGAACGCAACAGCAAAGTTCAAAGCCAAGGGTGCCAATGTGCTCATCTCGAGCCAGACCCCCAACAACCCATGGGAGACGGGTACTTTCACGTACTCTCCCTCGCGATTCGTGGCGTATGCCAAATTGGCCGCTGAGACAGCGGGTGCATCATATGTGGACCACGGAGCATATGTGGCCGATAGATTTGAGTCTTTGGGCCTTAGTACTGTCGATGCGTACTTCCCTCTGGACCACACCCACACAAGTGCCGCGGGAGCGCAGGTCGTTGCTGAGGCATTCTTCAAGGCGGTGGTTTGCGGAAACGTTGGTCTTCAGAGCCTTTTGAACACCTCGAGTTTCCCCGGCAGCTGTCTGTAAAGGGTATACGATACAGTCAATGTGTAGAAATCAGTAGTAAAAAGAATGAAATCAATTCAGATGCAAGATTCATAAAGTATCATCATATATGTCCATAAGCTACAAGACAGCAATAACCAAGGGTATCATTCGCGGGAAACAGGCTGCAACATCGACAAGTCTGTTCAAACTCAGCGTAATTCCTCGAGGATGGATCGGACGATGCCTCGTTTCTCGACGCGTTGATAGTATTGGTGCAGATTTGGGAATCGATTTTCAAAGGGGCCCTGAGCCTGACAGATCTCTCGCAAAACTGGCCATAACGCGCAATCATCAATGCCGAATGTTGAGCCTCCGAGGTAATGTTGTCCATCGAGGGCGCGATCAAACATACTGAGCCCGAAATCAAAAATGGTCCCAGAATTGCTCTGGCGGTGTTTACGCCAGCAAGAAAATATCTCTTCTATCCATAGGACGTGACTGCCACCTCGAAGTATCTCGAGACCAGGGCGGACAGATTCAGCGGGCCGCTCGGCAAGACATTTCAATATATTCAAGTCGCCAACGACAGTATTACCATCGGAGCCCGTAAAAATTGGCTGTTTGGTAGAATTGTAGTCGTTTTCAGTAAGATCCACGACGAGGTTGGCACTCGCCTCATATCGGATCCCGCTCTCCCCCAGACCCATACGCACCCTGAGATCAGCTACTGCATCGCCACCCAGCGTCAAACGTGACGTTGATGGAGTGACAAAGTTGACAACATCAAATCCGCTGCCATATACTCCGCTCCAACTGAATTCTGTAGCACGATTTTCTTGTCCAAATGCATAGATCAATCTCTCTGTCTGCGCGGCATCGCCGTGAATCACTGGGCGAGCAGTTTCTCTCGATTTGCTCACAGCTCCTTGGCCCCATATAAGGTTGGCTGCCGGGTCAACAAATGTGCCAATGTACCTGAATGTAATCGAGATGCGTTCGCCGCCGTATGCTTTCTCCTCGGGTGCTTTGGCCGCGTCTGGTCGCTTATCCGGTCGAATTCCATGTAGCCAACGCATGTTCGTTTTCTCGCCGAGAACGAAGAGTGATCGATGCGGGAGGGCGACACGTTGTGTCGCGCGAACCACTTCCTGGCCTTCCTTTTCCTTGGCCTCGCTCGCAGACGTCTTGGTGCGGAGGACCATGACACGCTGAGCGCCTAGACTCACATTGCAGATGTATGAGCCCCGAGCGATGTCGAGTGTCTTATCCGAGTGCTCGGAGATCGAGTCATTTCCGTCGCGGTAAAGTTGAATGAGTGCATGGTTTAAAGGATGACCAAGAATGCGCTCGACTGCGATCCTTGCTTGATCCACTGCGGGTGTGAATTGTTTCAAGGGCGGAGATTCATCGGCTGGGTGTCGATAGATCGGCATCGATCCATCTGGCTGGATGGCTCCTTGTACCGCTACCAATCGAGGCACCTGGCCTGATAGGTGGTACATCTTCTGCCAGGAGACTTCTGCGTGAATACGCGCAAAGCAATCTGCAGGTATATCAAGATCGGGAATAAGACGAGAATCACCTTCTCCAATGCTGTTGCTAGGTTTCCCATTCGCGGCATCAGGGTTTGGCTCACGACGTTTCGGGCGGCGCACTCGAGCGCGTACATGTTTCTTGCCCTCGATTCCTCCCGAGCGAGGCTGAGAACCTCCAGCTGTCATCCGGTGCGATCGAGTGAGTGAGGCCAGCTCGGTCAAACTGCGCATGTCATCATCGGGGTTTTCTTCCGGAATGGTATCGTCCGCCTGAACCCCTAAGCTATCCATAAAGCCCTCGATGCCAGCCGGCACGGTCGCTCTTTGTTTTGGTTGGGAACCGCCTTTCGCGATGGCATGGGTTTCCTGCCAGTCCAACTCCTGAATCAGCTCGCGTGCATCTAGGCCTGTTGCTCCAAGGATATCCGCCATGCGCCGCATGGCCTCTTGATGGCGTTGGAAGTCCCGATAGCCGAGACAGTCTTCGATGAGGGTTACTGAGAAACCGTTGCGCACGGCATCGCAGGCGGTCGCATAGACGGACACATTGGAGAGTGAGCCACAAAGATAAATCTCCGTGATGAACCGGGATCGAAATGAGAAAACGAGACCCTCTGACTCCAAGGCCGAGTAACCCGACTTGTCCAGGACGGTGTCTCGCTCCCGGTCGAGGGCAGCGAGAATAGGCGCGGGGAATTGGAAGCCGGAAGTCTGTGGGGAGCAGGCCATGGCAGCACGACCGGAAAGAAAAGCTTCGGGGTCAACGGGTTCGGGAGAGTCGCGGTCGGAGGAAGCTTCGATAATGTCGGAAGTAGGTACCGGTACCCGTCTCGGGGGTTGCTTTTCCAAGACGATGCGGTCGCCAAAGTTCCAGTCGTCCAGCCCCTGGGGGGAATCATACTGCGATCGGACCCAGATTACATCGCCGACGCGACGAAAGGCGGCGACCAGCTGGGGGACGGACTCGAGGATATCGGCAGTGTTGGCGACGTGCAAGGCGCCGGCGGGGCGCACAAAATCATTTTGAAAGTCGAGTAGCAGCAAAGCCTTGCGGGTCTGGATGGTAGGCAGATCACCGAAAGAGAAGAAGCTCATCGTACCGACATGGTAGGGCAGTAGGCCAGACGAGAGGAGGAAGAATTAGAGGGGAAGCAATTCGGGGAGTAAGAGGGAGATTGGAGTGGGCGGTTGGGGGCGGAGACACCTGAGGCAGAGAGAAGTGGTAGTCGTACTACCCTCATCCAACGTGACTCCAGGCTCTTTCAGGTTCAAGGAGGGGAAACGAGGGAAACGACAGGGAATGGGAATGAGATGAAGATGGCGATTGGATGTTGCGGTGGGATGGAGAGCATTTCCGTTATGTCGGGTCACCTGGGCCACTACGATTGGCTGTGTAGTCATAGTAGGGAGTACATAGGTACGAGGATTATCCATATGTAGTACCCTGTATAGTATACTATGTATATTATATGTAGTATTATCATCATGATGATAATATTATACTAGTATCTACTGTCTGGTAACTATAGATATATAGTAAGTAGTCTATAATAGCTTACTAGGTGCCTATGTACTACTAGTTAGTTAACTAGTACCCTTGGAATAGTATGAGTAGCCAACTCATTAGGGATCTAGGGTACCCAAATAGCAGTGTAGCCCGTGATCTGGGGTATTCTAGTGAATTCCCAGGGTATATCTCATATCTCTACTAAGTATCATAGTACTAGAGATATGTATCAACTTATTACTAGGTACTACTAGTAAGTCTATAGTGACACACTTCTCCTTCCATGGTTCCCTGGGCCATATACGACCCACTCGGCGTATCTCACCAATCATAGCTGAGCTTAACTCACCGGCATCGGACCGGGGAGCAACAGCAGAACTCCGGATATCACGTGCCCTCGATGACTCCTGCTTGCGGAGCTATGCTTGTGTCATGCTTTGCCCCAACTTTCTTTTAAATCCCGCCATTCCTCCCCTTCCCCTTCATCTTCTTCCCCATCTCTTTTCTTCCCACACTCTCCACTCCACTCAATTCCTTCACAATGGCTTCCCGTGTCATTCCCCGTGCCTTCCGCATGGCCCGCGTGGCCGCTCCTCGCTCCGTCGTCACCGCTGCCCTCCCCCGCCCGGCTCTGGCTTCGGTTGCTCGTCGTGCTCTCACTCCTATCACCCCCGTCCGTGGTGTCAAGACCATTGACTTCGCTGGTGTCAAGGAGGATGTCTACGAGCGTGGCGACTGGCCCGTCGAGAAGCTCCACGAGTACTTCAAGAACGACACTCTTGCCCTCATCGGTTACGGCTCCCAGGGTCACGGCCAGGGTCTGAACATGCGTGACCAGGGTCTCAACGTCATCGTCGGTGTCCGAAAGGATGGTGCTTCCTGGAAGGAGGCCATTGAGGATGGCTGGGTCCCCGGCAAGAACCTGTTCGATGTCACCACCGCTATCGAGAAGGGTACCATCGTCATGAACCTGCTCTCCGATGCCGCTCAGTCCGAGACCTGGCCCACTATCAAGCCCCTGATCACCAAGGGCAAGACCCTCTACTTCTCCCACGGTTTCTCCCCCGTCTTCAAGGACCTCACCAAGGTCGATGTCCCCAAGGATGTTGATGTTATCCTCGTTGCCCCCAAGGGTTCTGGCCGTACCGTCCGCTCTCTCTTCCGTGAGGGCCGTGGTATCAACTCTTCCATTGCCGTCTTCCAGGACGTCACTGGTCAGGCCAAGGAGCGCGCCATCGCCATGGGTGTCGCTGTCGGTTCCGGTTACCTCTACGAGACCACCTTTGAGAAGGAGGTCTACTCCGACCTGTACGGTGAGCGTGGCTGCCTGATGGGCGGTATCCACGGTATGTTCCTCGCCCAGTACGAGGTTCTCCGTGAGCGTGGCCACAGCCCCTCCGAGGCCTTCAACGAGACCGTCGAGGAGGCCACTCAGTCCCTGTACCCCCTCATCGGTGGATACGGTATGGACTGGATGTACGCTGCCTGCTCCACCACCGCCCGCCGTGGTGCTCTCGACTGGTCCCCCAAGTTCAAGGACACCCTGAAGCCCCTCTTCAACGAGCTTTACGACTCCGTCCGTGACGGTTCCGAGACCCAGCGCTCCCTCGACTACAACTCCCAGAAGGATTACCGTGAGAAGTATGAGAAGGAGCTCCAGGAGATCCGCGACCTCGAGATCTGGCGCGCCGGAAAGGCCGTCCGCTCCCTCCGCCCCGAGAACCAGAAATAAATAATATTGTGATACCATCTTGGGAGGACTTTGGAAAAAGTTTATGATGTACTATGAAACTGTTTTTGCGATCGGGTATACAATTTTCAACGGCCATTGAGTCGAATTTTTCTATCATTTCAAACATTCTCCCGTTCCTTCCAATTGTATCGTAGAAAAACCCCAGCTGAGATCGGACCCCTCGGTGAAAAGTCCGAGGTCCTTCAAGTTCTTCCCCCCCCCCCCTCTTTCTCCGACTTCCTACTATCATCCTCACCCATCATCAACCCTTGAACATGACTACCCTCGCTGAACGGGCACAATTACTCACCCCCGCCGCCGTCGAGGCCGCATACGGTCTGATTCAGCCATATGTGCACCGCACCCCATTGCTAACATGCAAGACCCTCGACTCCATCGCTTCAACCCCGCAATCCCCCGAATCCCTCGTCGGCACTCCATTTGAGGGCCAAACACCCGCCCGTCCAAAATTCCGCCTCTTTTTCAAGTGCGAGAATCTCCAACGAATTGGTGCCTTCAAGGCCCGCGGTGCTTTCCATGCGCTCCTGCGGCTGATTGAGGAACGCGGGGAGGAAGAAGTGAAACGGCGCGGGGTGATTACCCACAGTTCTGGTACGGGGACCCCATGAAATGAAGTGGAATGAAGTGGAATGATCATAACTAATCTAACAATGTTTGCTACCAGGAAACCATGCACAAGCCCTCGCTCTCGCCGCCTCAACCCTCCACATCCCCGCCCACATCGTGATGCCGAGTATCAGCACTTCATCCAAGATCGCCGGCACCCGCTCCTACGGCGCCGAAGTCATCTTCAGTGGCTCGACCAGCGTGGAGCGAGAAGCCGTCGTTGCAGAGGTACAAGCCAAGACAGATGCCATCCTAGTCCCACCCTACGACGACTTCAACATTATCTGCGGACAGGGTACGACGGCATTGGAGCTGGAAGCACAATACAAGGAACAAGTCCGATCGGGGGGGACCCTCGATGCCGTGATCACGCCTGTCGGTGGCGGCGGTCTCAATTCCGGCGTGGCCACCTTCTTCTCCGACAAGTCGACGCGTGTCTTTGGCGCGGAGCCTGCTTTTGAAGGCGCTGATGACTGTCGGCGTGGATTGCAGGCTGGAGAGCGCGTGTCCAAGGTTTCGACCTTGACGATTGCCGATGGTCTGCGGACTCCGGTTGGGTTACTCAATTGGGAAGTTATCTCCAACAAGCGTAAGGTTGAAGGCGTGTTCGCTGTCACAGAAGACCAAATCAAGGCCACCATGCGCCTGGTGCTGGAGCGTATGAAGGTCGTGGTTGAGCCGAGTGCCGTCGTTGGACTGGCGGTTTGTCTTTTCGATGAAGATTTCCGGAAGCGAGTCGAAGAAGAAGGCGGCGAGAAGGGCTGGGACGTTGCGGTCGTGTTCAGCGGAGGCAATACAACTGTAGAAGCTATTGCCAAGTTGTTTGGCTAAGTAGTTTGATATTGGGCACCACTTGCATATAGACAACTAACATACATTCGTAATTATCTATCAGGCTGGGGCATCGTGATTCCCCCATCCTTCACATAAAATGCAAAGCTCCCACCATTATACCAGTCTACTCCATCCGCCACACGGCGAGGCCATTCCTCACGGTCCCAGGTATTGATACAGGCAGAGAACTTGCCCTGGTGGACCACATCCTGCCGCATTGATGCATCTCTCTCGGCATCATCGATGCTCGCAGCTGGGGGAAATGGACGGACTGTATCACGGTAAGCAATTAATCGTAGAATTGGGAAATTTCCCCATGGTGCAGGAAGGGCCGGTTTGAGCGACGGAGTTCGTGATGGCACTCGATCATAAGGACCAACAGGGCCCGAGTTGTTAGGAGGGAGGCGACCAGTCGTGACGGTCGTAGTGTATACAACCGCACACCCAAATCGACTCTGTAATCGTTTCAATTCTTTGACCAGCTCGGTGTACAGATCGGAGAGGTAGAAGCTGTGGTTCAGCCCGCGTTCCTCGTCAACTTGTACGCGAGGCCGGCCGATATCTTCAGTGCGAGCAATCTCGTCCCGTAATTTGTCCTGCCAGAAAAATGCTGTTGCACTGTCGATGCAAAGCATCTGCAGCGGGCGAGAAGCAGAATTGTGTCGTGGGAGATCGTACAGGTACGAGTCGAGAGAACGGAGGGTGACAAGGACCGCCGATGATGATTGTGGGCAAAAGACATGAACATGCTGTAGACAAGAAACCAGCATAACCTCCAAGTCTTCGTCAAAAGAACTCCCAGCATCCTCATTCAGAGCGTCCGGGTCCAGAGTCTGCCGCGCTTGATGGACAATGCCACGAGCTACAACTCGAAGCCGATCAGCATCGAAACGATCATCAGTATCTATCCAGATCACAGCCGCCTCTTTCCCTCCAATTGGGAGGTTTTGGTATGAGCGAGGGAGAATCATGGAGGCAGTCAGATAGTATAGCAGCTGGGATTTGCCTGCCGCGGAGACACTGCTTGATATCTCGACAACTGGGCTGGGCTTCTTCCTGCGGTATACGGAGTCCGAGAAGAACGCATTGGAAGGCCGACCCGTCTCAGGATCGAATGGCAGCATATCGTTCTCCGGATCAGCGCTGTGGAATATCATTTCTTCATTGTCAAGACGGTTCTGCTCTCGCTGGGCGGGTGATTGCAGATGGCGCTGTGTGTGTTCACTTTGTCTCAAGGTCTTGAGCATGAAAACCTCGAGCAGAGCGTCGAGTATAGGTACACCGAGTGGTCCAGATTCGGTAGTTTCATTGGATGGGCATACATTTGCCAGATCATGCAATAACTAGTGATATTAGTGACAGGAGGCGTCATCAAGATCGCGTTAATCAACATACCTGATCCAATCCCTCAAGATGTACCTCGGTCAGTGAGGACACGCCTAAGCTGGCAGCCATGGTAGGCAATGAATGTCATGAACATAGCACCTGAGCACACATCGATGCAATGCAATGCAATGTAATGTAATGCACTTTGTGGAAGCGGGTGAGTGCAAGTACAAGTGCAAGAGCAAGCGCGGCGGGCCGGAGCTTTCAAGAGCGGCACTTCTAAACTTCGCAACTCTCTCCACCTCCACGCATTCGCAACTCGACCTCGAATACCTCTCCTCCCCACCACCCTCCTTGGTCCGACTTTAGCGATATGGCACCCCTCGTTCCCTGCTTCAATGCAGAAACCCTGCCCGAACATGTCAACACGATTAAGCGCAATTTCCAAGACAAGCGCCGCAAAGGCCCCGATGTGAACCTGAAGGAATGTCAACTTCTCGAAATGCTTCAGTACTCCTGCAATCCACCACAAGAGGAGATCCCCAAGCCCGGGGTGATTGTGTGCAAACCCGTTGTCCGGTTATTCCGACGGTGAGTTTATTGCGCGGAACTCATCTTGTCCATAACAGTGAACTGATTCATCGCGACAGCTGCGCCGGCGGACTGACAGTCGAAACAACATCCTGGGAACCTCTCAGGCTGGCAGAGGAGGCAAAGAAACAGGCTGAGGCTACAACATCATGAAGCAAGATTGGCATATAGAGAATTATAATCGCATTGGGTGGAGTTCAGAGGGTCATTATTGGTTTATATGGGTTTATGTACGATACAACATACTCAAATTCAATCACTGTCATGCAGACTGCCATGGGGTATCTCCTCAAGAACGACTCCGAAACGTGCAACCAAGCGCCAGCCCATAAAAAGAAGGGATGAAAACCCAACAAAAAGAAAAAAAAAATGTAACGCCGATAATAGTCTTACAGGTCGCCTGGCCACCCCATCAGCCTGATGCACCCCCTAGGAGCTCAGCACCAGCATCAGCAGCAGATCTAGACGTCTTCGTATCCTCCGTGCTTCTCCCAGAGGTAGCTCTGCGCCACTGGTCCCTCTCGCAGTTCACGATCGGACCCAGCTCCATATTCCATGAGACTTTCGATCGCGCCTTCGCGTCAGCTTCGGCTACTATACCCGAATCGATATCCATGGCCGAACCAATCGTTGAGTGACTATGCAAGTCCTTGGGCAATTTCTTCGCCAACCCTTTAACCGTCCTCTCAAACATTGTCTCCATACTCTCGTGTCGGCGGCCCCAGAGCTTTTTATCCCGACTACTCGAGCTCGTCGGATTGTCGCGGAACGCGGCACTCGCCAACTTCCGCAGAGCCTCCTCGCCATGTCGTCCATCTTCAGCTGCTCGCTCGCGAATCTTCCTCGGATCGCCATCTCGCTCTGTGAAGACCGCTGTGGCGGAGTATGTGTGCTTGCTAGGGAAGTCGGGGAAGTGACTCGGGACATAGGATCGATTCGATTCGCTCTCTTCTCCTCTCAGGGCGTTCAAGAAGGGCAGCCTCCGGGACAGTTCGTCTTCGGGTGGTGGTGATGGGAGGAGTGTTGGGATGGTAGAGGTGGATAAAGGCGCTTGTATATAGTCCCTCAATTCGTCGTGAGAAAGGCGACCGCGCTTCAGAGCGAGCTCAAAGTCTTGGGGAATGGGTTGTATACGGCGAGATGATAGCATTGACTGGCGAACAAATGATGAAAGACGTAAAAGATCTGTAAACCAGGCGGGAATCGAGTTAGTTTGTCAAATCCTTCTTAATCCGGCCATAGCTGGAAACTATCACGTACGCTCTTCAGCTGCGCTTCGCAAGCTCGACATCGCCGTTGGCTCTGCAAGGTCGAACCCGACATCTTTGAGGAGTTGCCCGATCGAGCGACTCATGAGATGATCCATGTTGCTGTCATCCTGCACGGCGGGCTCGGTTGCCAACGGGAGGGAAACGGGTTCCTGTAGGCGGTGGTGATGGTGATAATGTTGCTTTGGTCGCTTCGCATCAGCTGCCTCCATAGAGGAGGAGCTACGCTTCATTGGAAGGCCGGACGACGCCATGGCCGGATGAGGTTGGAACGGAGTTGATGCGACGGAGCTTGTTGATGGGAGGGGAGTATGTCACGTGATAATCAGCTGATCCCAGCAGATGGTAGTAGTAGAGTAGTAAAGTAGTAGTAGAAGTGGTGAGGAAGAAAAATAACTCAGGAATTAATGAATTGAGTAGAGATAAGTCTGATTTAATTAGCACTTCCACTATACCCTAGTAAATAAGTGCAATAAAGTGTAGTGATAACTACTATAGTAACTATAGAGTGAGAGTATCGACCAATCCGGTGACTCGCTTATGTAGTCCGCCCGAAAGCTTCAACTTCCAACTTCAACTTGCCGCGCCTTTACTCCCTCTCTCTCCCCCTCCGCTTTCCACCCCACAACCACCCCGAGGCAGGCTTCCTTCTGTCTACTTTCCGACCAAGTGTTACATCGCCCGTCGATTGACACCGTCCATCCGCTACAATGCCTGCCGCTATCCCCCCCCATCACCGGCGTACGTGCCCCTTCTCATTGCAGCCGAGTTGCCCCGATCGGGCAGGTCGGACGACCTCGAATGCCTCGAAATCACTCACTAACGTCTTCTTTGATCTTAAAGATGCTCCGCCGCAACCTGGTCCTTGACCTGAGCACCGCTTTCGGTGAGTGAACATACGCCCCAAAGTCGACACTCGAGTGGCATGATCCGTGGACGAGCGGGATGGACACGGGTTCTATTACTTGCGACCGCACCGAAGCGCAATACGAAGGACCACAAACGCAAACGCAAAGAGAATCCCATCACTAACCAGACGCTTTCCTTGACCAGGCTTCGGTACTACCTTCGGCTACCTCTGGTGGTACGGTAAGTGATAATGACCTCACCCAACCGATCGCATGTCCACCACGAACTCCCCTAACATTCTCCTTCCTTTCTTCACAGGCTTCCACCTTCCCCGTGTCCGTGAGCGTGATACCTACTACGCTCGCCTGGAGCAGGAGCGCGCTGAGGCCCGCGAGTAAATCGCTCGCCATTAGTCGCCTGACCTCGCCTCGCCTCGATCATCTTCAATTCGCCTGTCGGCACATGTTCTCTATGTCAAGCAACTTCTGTTCTCCCAAAATAACAATAAAACATGTTCTTTGATCAAATGTCGCTCTCGCTAGACCTCCGCCTGTCTTGGGGCAGGCTGCACTGATAGACCGGGTTGGGTCGTGTCGTGTCGGGGCGTGAATGACGAGGCAATCGATTGTACATATACGCCTGCGAAGACTATGTTTTGAGGACCGGTTGAATAAGACCAAGACCTTTGATAACTCTACTGTCCTCCCTCGTTCTATCTAATCCACTACACCTATACCCGTAGTCATTCCCAAAAAGGAAATAGGAACGGATGGGAATGAAATGTGAAACCCCAGTATCAATATCAATACGATGGGGGTCGACATTATCCCACATCCCTCCTGTAGCCATTGATTCGTGATGATCTATCGAATTTAAACGCTAAATACGCCGGTATATGTACTCAAAACTCCCGCCCACCCGGAATGGATTTTGAATGCGGTCCGATGCGATGCGATGCGATGCGATGCGATCCTATCCTATCCTTTCCTGTGCCGAGCTCGTAGATCATAATCATAATGATAATCTCGTTGCCCTTGCCCTCGTTTCTTCATTCTTCTGTCGTGTCGTTGCTGTTCAAAAGAAGCCAGATGCGATCCAATCATTCACTGTTCGAGAGCAGAGAGTCCAGGTATCAGTTTTATTTTAGCACCCGTTCGAACGAGACGCCACGGACGGACCCGCCGGCCATGGAAGATCGGACGTTGCGCTTGAAGCTATCGCGGTTTGAACGGAGGTCTTCGGCGGCATCCTTGTTAAGAGGGTCGGAGGCATTTGGTTCGAGGAAAAGGAACTATCGAAGGATGAGGTTAGCTTGGCTCGGTTTGAGAGTGGAGAAATGAAGAGGAATCGGAAGCGAGGAAGTTATAGACTCACCTGCATTCCAACAATAACGGCATTCAAGTTCAACACCGGCTTCCAGTCCTCACGCAAGATGTTCAGGCAGACATTGCCCTCAAGGTCGATATTCGGGTGGTAGATCTTCTGCGTGCACTTGACCTTGGGCGGGTCATGGGGGAAATTCTGGTTGACGGTGAAGTTGAAGTGGAATACGCCACCCTTGTACATGCCCTCGTCGGGCTCGATGCTCAAGGTGAAGTTTAGGATATCGTCCGGGTTGGGGAAGGACATTTTCATGGTATTGCCGAGGGTGAGCTCTTGAAGATCTGTTACAGGGAGAAGAAGCCATAGTTAGAGCAGAATTCAAGTAGTGCCTTGCAAAGGGCTGGGAAGTGGGAGCTGGGAACTGAGGCCCGATCAAGGGTAAATTGGGATCGGAGAACTGACCTCGTTGCACTCGCAGTTGTGCGGCGGTGACCTTCTTTTTCTTCTTGCCAGCAGCACCTTCGGCATTTTCAGCCTGTTGCTGCTGCTGCTTCTATCCATGGTGTCAGCATCAAGGATCATCATGCGATCGGCAGTCTGGTAGCCTTACCATCGACCAGATCTTCAACATCTTGGCTCGAAATCACCACCCCACTTGGTGGCACGACTATGCGAGAGAAAGGAGCGAGCGCGGAGGCCGAGTGCTCTGAGAGGATGGGAAATATTAGACTCGGCAGCGTAGGTAGCCGAGTGTCTTGGGGTCGGAGGTTTAAAGTGGAGGAGGGTTGCAGGGAAGGAGAGAAGTTCTTGCGGGGGTCTGATGGGGCGCGGCTGCGTTTATCGCCTGCCGCAAAGAACGATGGTACATGACGTACTTTTAATACTTTTAGTAGTTCACACTTGAACACTAAACTACTATGCGTGTTCTTGAGGGTTCTCTTCTCTTTTCCAAATATAATCTCATTTACAATCGGAAAATAATTGGGTAGACTCCAGATTTCAGATCTGACAAAATTCATTGCGCCCCGAATGCATCCCTTTGCATCGCTATCCGGACAAAAGACGACATCCAGGTAAGGGTTCAACTCTGTGCCGCAA